CGACATACATGTCCTACTTGCCGACTGGACCTGGATCCATTGAGGACGTTGAAAACCAGTTCCGGTGGACAAGGTTCTATGCGACCTTCTCAGACAGGTGGGCAACGATCGCCGAGCGGTCATCCTTATGCCAGACCGGCGGAAGGACAATCGAGACCTGCCACTCCCCGAGGAACCGATTTCAATGCTACATTTACCGTTGTTTGGCGTATGCCTGTCCCAGGTGACTCGGCTTCTGCAGGAACATCACAACCGGAGATTTCATCAGAAACAACTTCTACATCTACACCTCCTGCGCCAGCAATTCCCTCCGCTGCCTCTGGTCCTACAGAATCTTCTACTTCGGGACTTCCATCTACTCCCTCTCCTCCACCTCAAATGTTCGGCTCTCCAATGCATGCCTCCCCCATTCCCATGGAGCGCAGTACCACTATCCCCGCGACAAATACAAATGTACCTGCAGCCGACTCGAGCTCGGATAACGTCGCTCGTCCAAGACCAGAAAGAAGACCGCACATCACTGTTGTCCATCATCATCATCCACCTCCTCCTGCATCAGATCATCTTCGACCTCCAACTCCTCACAATCATCACGTCCATCCCCCTCCTCCAGGTAATCAAACATCCGTAGGGACGGTACATTTCTTCTTCAATCATCCTCCTCCCGCTCCTCGACCTCCAGCACCTGTGCCGAATGAGAAACCTTTCATTCCTCAGTCTTTGGAGAGCTGGACAGAAGAAAGAGAAAGGAATTTAGGATGGAGATGTGATGCTCCGGAATGTCAAATTGCACCTCCTATCGAACCCGATGCCGATGTCGATGTCGACATGATCGATCCAAATTCTGAAGACGATTCTTCGAAAGAACTGCTAAGTATCTACTCACCTACTCAACCTCCGTTGGGGGAAGTGAAAGAAGGAGAAAAGGGGTTCGTCATGTTGGCTTGTGAACATAGATGGCATCGGACATGTTTGGAATCGTTTGAGATGGCTTCGGGTAGGTTTGAATTGGATCCAGATGCGGAGGGTAAGGTATGGGTAAGATGTGGGAAATGTAGGAAAGACGGTTGGATCAATCCTCGAGGCAGTCACACGAGGAGTACGGATGCGTTGGAGGTGGTTCCAGTCTAGATTGGTTGGAAAGCTGTAGCGTTAGTGATGTGATTGCTTTGTATGCATATACGTTCCCCCAATAGTATCTCCTTCATCTCTCGGTCTACTTGCACATGTCTACGGGTCACTTATCCACCGAAGTCCCATCTCACAATCATAGATTATTCGACAGATCCAAGAAACTACGAGTATAGCTAACTTATCGGATAGATCCGACGATCGGTCAACCGGCCAGTCCTCACTCAACTTTCGAACCTCGTCTCCTTCACCAACACCTCTCACCCTCAACACCTTTAGCTCAACCTCAGCATTCACAATACCCAAAGAGATGCTCTGGTACTCTATCTTATCTCTCTTGACGACTACCGCAGCTCTCCAGCTCCCTATCCCTCACAACCCCGACTCTCTAGGGTCACTTTCGTCCACAGGGCCAATTTCTGAGTTGGCGAAATTGAGACAAGATGATATCTTGGTTCCTGCTAGTGATATATCCTTGACGAACATAGGGGAAGAGTTCATGACTATTACTAGTGCTCATTATCCCGTATGTCTATCCCTTGTCCTCTCTTGTATCTTACGACCTCGCCTATCTATCTGTTCTGACCTGGTCTTGACGTTCCTTTTTCCATGACACCTACTATTACATACTGTTCTTCCCTCTACTATCATCCTCCTTCTCCCTACTATCATCCTCTCATTCCCTCGACAAACAACATTATTTCTACTCATTATGTAAGTGGTACTATCAGATGACCTATGAAACCGGATGTCCTATGTGAGCTTCAGGAGATTCACCTCTCTCTGCCCTTCCTGCCAACCTTGGAGGGATGCTCTGTAGGTGAAGCAGCTCTCGATGTAATTCTCCTCATACTTGTTTTGACAAAGTGTCAGATTTCCCACATATGATGGGAGGAACAGACGTCTATTTGTGTAGAACGAGATAGTTTAGGAAGATAAGAGAAATAAAGCTTACTTTCTCAGAAACATAGGATAAGGATAAAATCGACTGAAGGATGGTGTGATCCTACCGTTAGGTCGTTCTCTGGGTCAGTCCATCTAAAACCCTATAACAATAATCCTCCTCACATTGTCTCCCTCGATCGAGGGACAATGCCAATTTTGACTTGACTTGTTTTCCCACCCTGGGAATATCTACATTATGCTGTCATCGAAGGTTCTCGAATCCCTTTCTCTCCACCCCTAGCTTTGACTGGATCACAGCCCAAAACTTTCCTCTCTTCACTCATTGTGATAGACTCATCCGCAGATTCCTCGATGTGGGGTATGGTAAAGAACTCTTTTTCTATTTCTTTGAAAGTCGGAACGAACCATCTTCCGACCCCGTTGTGATGTGGATCAATGGTGGACCTGGATGTTCATCCGCTCTTGGGTTATTCATGGAACTTGGTAAATTCTCCCTTCTTTTCATCTAAAGTCAAACTGACGGATTAGGACCATGTTCGGTGAAAGATGATCCAAAAAATTGGAATGATACTGAATGGAACCCATATTCATGGAACAACAATGTGAGTGACCAGTCTTCTTCGTCATTCATACCGCAACATAAGCCCCGAGAAAAAACTTGTCCAGCTACAGTACAATCTGACCATTATTGCAGCTGACGGTTAGGCAAATGTTTTCTTCCTCGACGAACCTATCAGCGTCGGATTCAGTCATGCTAAACATGGTCAAACAGTCGGTACCACCGAAGAAGCTGCTAAAGATGTGCAAGCTTTCGTAGCTATGGTCAGTCCCTCCCTCCTGATTTATATAAACAACGCTGAATCGTTCAGTTCTTTGACGCTTTCAAAGAATTCGAAGGACGTGATTTCCATATGGCAGGAGAGAGTTACGGAGTGGGTCGCTCTTACTATCTTCATACTTGAAGCGCTAACAATACTCAGGGACGTTATTTACCAGTCTTCGCATCAGCTGTAGTAGATGGGAACAAAGCTTTGAAAGCCAGTGGGAGGACTCCGATTAATTTGAAAAGCGTCATGATAGGTAATGGCGGTACGGAATATCGTCAGCTATTTTCCTTCCCCTTACCTTATAAAGCTGAACATGTCAGAAACATTATCAGAATCGTATTATACCTTTGTGAGCTTGTCTCACGTACGTGATATAGAAGTTAGCTTACAAGTAGCAATGTACACTTCATGGTGGATTGAATGAGACGGTTCAAAGTATACAAAAATGCGTCGAACTGGCCAGTGCGGTGAGTCGTCAACGTAAGAGAAATGCAGTGAAAAGGTATTGATGATAGGTACCGAAATGTCATAAATATCTACAGAAGAATTGTATAGATTCTCATGATTATACGGAATGTGGGATGGCTGCTTTATATTGCGATGAAGCGTTGGGAGATTCGTTCGTGTCAGCTGGTGTGAACCCGTTAGTCGATTGTCTCTCCGCCCCTTTCCGCTCCACTTTTGCTTCCTCCCCCTCCGTCCCTCTTATTCCGATCTCTCTTCCCCCAATCTTTCCCCGTCTCTCCTCATTCCCATACCACTCTGCCTCTTGCCCCTCATCTGTGCCTGATGGCTCCCCCCTTATCCTCATGTCAATATCGTACAGCTGGTCCAGGATTGAATGCGGCCTGCCAACTGTATTAATCATGTCGGATATAACAATGAAAACAAAGATTGATCAACAGCTACGACGTCAGCAAACCATGTACACCTCAAGAACTAGGAGAATCACTTTGTTATTCCGTCACGTTCGTTCTTTTCATCGTTCCTCCATACATCCAGCCATTCTTGTTCACTCTCGCCCTTCCATCACCTTCAAGAGTAACTCAGTAAAGCTGCTGATTTGTCTGAGAGCCCGGACGGTTGACATACAGAGATAAGATCAAAACATACCTAGATCTCCCCGACGTACATGATATCCTCGGTGTCACTTCACACAAAGGTTGGAACAGCTGCAACGGCGGTGTCGGTACTGCCTTTGCCTTGACTTTGGATTTCTTGACCCCCACTACGGTGTTTCACGTCCGCGGATTATTAGAACGTGGTATTAGATTCTTGAATGTACGTCTTTCCTCTCTACCGGTATGGTCCACTGCTTATTGGCAGTATGCAGGGTACGTCACTAATATTTGAAAAGAGGTAGAATTGATGGATAGGACATACGACTTTATATGTAATCATATCGCTAATGAAATGTGGGTTTCAGCGATGGATTGGACTGGTAAAGAGGGGTTCGCGGCTGTGTCTTGGCAAGATTGGGAAGTGGAAGGGAAGAAGGCGGGATTGTTTAAGACTTATGAGAATCTGACTGTGAGTTTCTTCTCTTTGGTCAACTTCCCATAATATACATTTATCTCTTAAATATCACTTCCAACCTGTATCACACATCGGATGGACAGTAGTGTTTTCTTCAGCGTGTCTCTCATACCTCCCAACCCATCATATTCTCCCTCCTTGAGTAGTCTCAGTACGGTGTATCCAAAATTCCATATGGAGACTACACGTGTATTGACTGACAACAGCTTCTCAAAATTGTAGGAGCGGGTCATATGGTCCCTTATGACAAACCTAAAGAAGCGTTGACAATGTTGAGTTCATGGCTCCAAGCTGGACTTTGAATGAATAGAAAATAGAACAATGCATGTCATATCTGTCAAGTACCGCCCTCTCCTGCTACTGCGCGTCAGCACCTTTGCTCTTCCTGTCTCTGTGGCCATGGTTCATCGATCTGTGGTCAGTGATCAGTGACGAGGGGAATTTAGAAACGAAACCGCCACATTGCCACCTTTGAAAGTTTTTCGACGCGTCTTTCACCAAAAATTTGAACTTTTCTTTACGATGCAAGTGATTCATCACCCTAGCAGGTCTAGCATCTAGCAATTGAAAGGCGTAGAAAGAATTCATTTCAGGCGAAACAACAGGTATAGGGACGATTTTCGAGTAAGGACGCAAGACACAAGGAAAAATATACAAAATGGCAGAGGAAATCCATAATCTGTACGATACGATCTTGATCTTGGATTTTGGGTCGCAAGTGAGTCCTAATTCCCCACTCTGTCCCGAATCTAATGTGTACCTCACCTCCACTCTATCCTAGATGTTGTCTCATGGCCCCATGAGCTAGAAGCGATCGGTATAGGTTGAATGGGAGGACTTGGTACTTGTAGGAAATGGCGGGAGTGGTGTAAGTTCGGTAGCATCGAGTTGTCAGGACAAAGGGAGGAAAGGAAGTATGGGAATAAAGTGTACGAAAGAGAGGTCGTATTAAAAAAAAACCGAACAAATACGAGGGGTGTCAGTATAGAAAAGTGAATTTGAGACCCCATTGGTGTGGATAAGATCGAGAAGGCAGGAAAATAAAAGTACGGAGAAAAAGCTGATTTTAGTACTCACATTTGATCACGAGGAGATGTCGAGAGCTCAATGTGAGTTCTTTAATCTTTATTATATCATCATTCCAACAGATATCGAAATCTTTTCAATTCTGAATGACGTCGAGGTGGCAAATACCGTCTATGGGCATTTAGCTTTGGAGGTAATTTTACGTTCTATTCCAGACCAAGTATTAGGACCATAATATACTTTTAGTCTTCTTCCAAACGTTGAGACGAGGATGAGTGTGGAGAAAGCCTATCAAGGGTTTTTTCTTTTCCGCAAGTCTGTATTGTTGGGACTTCATGCGATCAAAAGAAGATAGGAAGGAGATAAAGGGGGAAGAAGGTGTTAAGAGGAATTATGGAAAACTTACCCTTAGGTATATTGCGAGATGTTACCCTGTACTCAAAAGATCAAAGATTTGAAATGGAAACCTAAAGGTATGTCTCACTTCTCCTGATCATGATACTCCTTCCTTATCACATATGCTACACACAAGTGCCTCATTGGACTTGACATCACTCACAAACTCTACTTTACCCTACCTGTCTTTCACTAGACCATTCCCTTACTTTCTAACGGAAACTTACTTACATTATGGAAGGATGCGATTTGCAATGTGAACAGAGCCGAGGTTAAGAGAAGTCATTTATGTACAGGAATCATCCTCTCCGGCTCACCTTACTCCGTTTACGCACCCGATGCACCTCACGTCGATCCGGATGTGTTCCAAGTCGGTGTACCCGTCTTAGGTATCTGTTATGGTCTCCAAGAAATTGCCCGGAGTCACGGTGGGAATGTTGAGGCGCATAGTCATAGAGAATATGGATATGCCAAGATACATGTGGAGAAGACTGGACATGGACATGCTGATAAGTTATTTGAGGGGATTGAGATGGATGAGGAGGGGGGCATGCAGGTGGGTCGACCGTTTACTCCCTTTCTCTAGTTCCTGCTTGGTCTGAGCCCTCTCTCCCGACTCTCCGAGTGCTTTCATCTCACTACATCCCGCCCTCTCAACTTCATGCCTCATTTCCCTTGGAAATATCGCACTTGCGGTTGAACCCCTTAGTCTTTAACTCGGGCAATCTGACGGAATGCCATGGATTATTCTTCAAAAAAAATCAAAAAACTGACCCCAGGTCTGGATGTCCCACGGCGACCAACTAACTTCTCTCCCACCTCATTTCATCACCATAGCTTCCACTCCCACTTCCCCCTACACCGCCATCGCACACGAGTCTGAACAGATATATGGTGTTCAATTCCACCCTGAAGTTTCACACAGTCCCAAAGGTAAAGAAGTCATCGGAGCGTTTGTCAGAAATGTGTGCGGTATCTCCGGTGGGTGGAGTATGGTGAGTTGGCATTTATCAACTGATCTATACAAGCTCACAAGTAGGATTCATTCATCCCTAAAGAGATTGCTAGAATACGAGAAATCTGCGGGGAAAAAGGTCGAGTCATAGGTGCTGTCAGTGGTGGTGTCGACTCCACCGTTGCTGCTAAACTCATGCATGAAGCTATAGGCGATCGGTAAGTCTATCTTCGTTCCCTCCGCCATTCCACGAAACCTCTCCCACTCATGTATGATTACTGCATATGTTGACTTGCAGATTTCACGCTTTTATGGTAGACAACGGCGTGTTGAGAAAAGATGAAGCTCAAAAAGTACATAAAATGTTAACTGTCGATCTTGGCGTAAATCTCACAGTCATCGACGCATCCGAACTTTTCCTTTCTCGTCTCAAAGGTGTCGAAGATCCAGAAAGAAAACGTAAAATCATCGGAAATACCTTTATCGAGGTTTTCGAAGCTGAAGCGTTGAAATTGGAAAATGCAGCTGAGAAAGAATTAGATGAAAAAGGTGGAGAAGCAAAAGGAAAGATTGAATGGTTACTTCAAGGTACTTTGTATCCAGATGTCATCGAGTCTATCAGTTTTAAAGGACCCAGTGCGACGATAAAGACTCATCATAATGTGGGAGGGTTGTTGGAGGATATGAAATTGAAGTTAATTGAGCCTTTGAGAGAGCTTTTCAAAGGTGAATTTCTTCGTCCGCCTCCCCTACACAACAGACATTTCCCTCGCTCGGCTAGCAGAGCCATGACTGTGTCAAATGGACGATAGCTCACTCATAGACGAAGTCCGCGCCCTAGGTCGATTACTCAATATCCCGGCACATCTCGTTGGACGTCATCCCTTCCCCGGTCCAGGTCTCGCAATCCGTATTCTCGGAGAAGTCACCCGAGAACAAATAAGTATCCTCCAACATGCAGACGACATTTATATCGAAGAGATTCGCGCCGCAGGTTTATACGATCAAATTTCACAAGCTTTCGTAGCTCTTTTACCTGTCAAAGCGGTCGGTGTAGCAGGGGACGCTAGGACATATGATCAAGTGGTAGCTTTAAGAGCTGTATCGACGGAAGATTTCATGACTGCTGATTGGTTTGTTTTCCCACCTCAGGTGTTGAAGAAGATTTCCTCGCGGATAACTAATGAGGTTAGTCTCTTTTTTTCCTTTTTTTCATGAGTCATATGTAAAATGTCAAGACCGTTTGATCAGTCATCGGATGGATTTTGAGGAGTAACAGAGTAATGAGGGAAGATATTGTTTGGTGGCTGATTGTACAGGTGAAAGGTGTCAATAGAGTAGTGTATGATATAACTTCGAAACCTCCAGGGACGTGAGTGTTTCATGAATCTCGGTCCAATATTCGTGGCTGACGAAAAGTGTCGAATGGTTATGAATTGTCAGGATTTAATGCTTCATTAGAGTACAAATCCTTAACCTCGTATACTTACTCCCCTCACTCCAGCCCGTTTTTTGACCCGCGATATTAGAACTTATCTTTAAGAAAGAGCAACGTCTCACCTAGGTACCTCAGGAGAGTTCCGCCCGATCAGACTAACAAGACTAACGACGTTACGCCCTTTCACCCTAAAGGTAGGCTCGTCAGAGCTCTCCCTGGACCAATTTACTTTTTCTTCTTCAGCTCTTTACGTTCCACACAAGATTTGTCTAGCAAGATGTCCGAACGTACTGGTACTCCCATGACGCTCGAAGACTTCCTCAATTTAAAAGTCGCCCTCAAGCCCACTGATGGAGAAGCAATGGATGTCAAACTGCACGTTTTGTTTACCCACAGGTTTGCTGCCTATTATCCTCGTCAGCCGCTTGTAAACTGATAGGCAGCACCTTCTTTGAGGGTTTGTTCAGCATTTCAGATAAGGGTTTAGACCAAGCAGATGAGCCCCCAATCGAACTCGAAGTCACTCGGGCCCTGTTGGAAGTTATGGTGGACCAGATGGGCGGTGGGAAGACCTGGCTGAAAGCCGGAGCCGAAGAAATCTTCGCCGGAATCACCTTTTGCGACAAATACGAATTCGAAACTCTCCTCGAAATATTCCTCGCCCATCTGTTCGAACATGTCGCTCATAATCCATGGCAAGTTTTCACCTGGGCGTCGTCTTATGATCGTCCCGGACTGGCAGCTGCTGCCATCCGGGTGTTCCACAAACATCACAGATGTTGTGATTTTCGTCTGTTACATTTCCCCTCGGAATTTCTCATCGACGTCAATCCTCGTTATATGGCGGCGTTGATACGGGCTATGTACACATGCAGTGTCAGTCTGCCAAATTATAATCAGAGACTCAAGGAGAAAGAATGGGAGACTGTCAGCGTTCATTTCTTGTCCGCTTTGTGAGTGGATCAATTCCTTCCAACCGCTCTACTCGTACAGTATCACTGACGGCAGGACATACACTTAGGACAATAGTTGGAGAGATATTTATGAGTAGACATTGATTTTCTACATACCTTTTTATCAAACCATGAATGAGACTTAGGTCTTGAGCAGCGTATCGAGATTGTGTGTCGGAGACACCTCTGATCGCCGACAGCCGCGACAACAGGGCAAGCAAAAAGATCAATGAAAAACCCTTCCTGCTCACGATGATTCCGGTCCTTTGATCGAGCTGCCGTACAATATAATTCGACTCGTGGAATGCTGCACGTCGTCTACCATCGATAAGAGTCTTGGATACGTCTGAATCACTCTGCACTCGGAAAGCAAGGTATGTCGCATGCACAACGTGCCAAGTGCATAGTCGAGACGGACCAAACACTTTGAGGGTTGCCACACGCCACATTCTACTCTTCGCTATTGGTCGGGTTATGCACCACTACTTTTCTTTACCTTTTCCATCCATGGACTCACTCACTCTGTGTCAAAGATCCTAAAGTATCAAGTTAGACGCGCTACGAGTAGAGTAGCTACTAGTGACATAATAGATCGTTACCTCGGTCTTGGTCGCCAGGCAACCCAACCTTGGCATTCAATTGCTGTTCTCTTCCGTTGCTTCTCTCCACATCGACAAACATTTGGTTCAAATTTACAAATTCACCAAGATGCTCAATCGATCACTTTCCTCTTCAAACCTCCATGATCTCCTCAGTATGGAAGTAGCCCTCAAGCCCTCAGACGGTGACGCCATCAACATCAAAGTTCATCTGCTATGCAGTCATAGGTCAGTCAGTTCTCCACGCCTCCCAACTCGCATATCTGACATTCAGCTCAGTATTCAAAGATATGTTGACTATACCTTCATCAACCACCGACAAGACGGAAGAAGAAACAACCATCGAGCTAGACATAATCGAGGCAGACCTCAAGATCATATTCGACATGATGAATGGAGGTGAAGATTTCGAAAAGGTAGAACCTATACAACTTTACAGTCTCATAGACTTGTGCGATAAATACGATATGGATGGACTTCGTGATCGACTTTTAATCCGTGTTACTCGTCATGTACCTTACGATCCATGGAGAGCTTTTTGTCTAGCATCACACTACGATATACCTATCCTTGCTGTTGCTGCTATACGACAATTTGGTCTTCATGAGAAAACGCAACAAATAACTCTTTGGAATTTTCCACCTCTTTTATGTAGTGAGACCGAACCGCGATATCTTTCTTCGTTGATTCATGGATTATACTCTCAGACCGACCATCGTCGCCCGAAAGATCTTTTCAGCGTACGTGGTTTCGAATCGGTCAGTCAGTCCTTCTCGGCCCGCTTGTGAGCTTTTTCTTTGACCTTGACCATCACGCTGATGATACTAGGAATGAAATCAGATCCATATAACACAAAGACTCGGGACTCACTTTCTCATCAACCACTCTCACATAGTAACTTCATTCGAGTGACTCGAAACCATCATCATCATCCTTGTCATCCTCCGAATAACATCTCACATTCAAATGAATTGCTCTTCATGTGTCGCGCATACTTGTTCAACGAGATCCTTGAGCATCCGATCGTCACTCACTCAAATGTCGAACCTCCCACTCGGATCGATGATCGCACAGGGTCGTATGGGACTAAGAAATGGAAGTTCGTTGGCCTTCTTACTTCGTGTGTCAAGGTGAAGTACCTACTTCAAACCGAATTCCCATCCCAATCTGGTCAGTATGTGTTCTTTTGATTCACGTGCACCGCTGACCTCAGTGATAAAGTCCTTTCACTTTCACAACCCAGCTTCGTTATTGGTTTCATATCCTTGACCATTATGACGCTACCCTAAAAAGGCAGTTAGTTCATGTCCCCTTACCTCCTGCAGGTACTGCGCTCGGTCCCCATCGCCGGAGATGGAACCTCAGTCGGTCACCTGTGTGCGAGGGATGTGGACCTACTGAAACCATACTAGCGTCTGACGCCCGTCTCATAACTACGTACAACATCCATACATCTAGTCGATCTCGTCTCCAGTTGCCTTCCGTCTCTCTCACACACACTTCTCTTTCCTGATCCTCACATTCCTCAACATGTCGGATAAAACCGCTGCACTCTTGACAATCCAAGATTTCTTCAACATGGAAATCGGTCTCAAGCCCACCGATGGGGATGCAATCATGGTAAAAGCTCACATTTTATGTAGTGGAAGGTCCGTCCTATCTCTCGTCAGCCGTTACCGTAGCTGATCAACAGCACATTCTTCAGAGATATGTTGACACTGCCCCAATCGTCATCCAAGGGCCACTCGGATAAAATCATGGTCGATCTCGACGTCACTCAAGCGATCTTGAAGATGATAGTCGATATGATAAACGATAAACAGATCCCTCAGAAACCCACCTCGGCTCAGTTTTTCACTGCCATCGACTTCTGCGATAGATACGCTATGGATGGACTTCGAGACCGATTCCTCCTAAAACTTTCCGACTACGTCGAAGATGAGCCTTGGAAATGCTTTTGCATCGCATCTGATCACCATCTTCCGGAACTAGCGACCGGTGCAGTCTCGTCCTTCGCCCACGATTCTCGGATAGATGGATTACGTCTCCTTTCCTTCCCTGCACATGTCGCCGAGGAAGCAGCTCCTAATTATGTGGCCGCCTTGGTAAGAGCAATGTACAGTTACAGTCGAGCTTTTCTTCATGCGGAGCAGAGACTCAAGAGTGAGGATTGGCAAGTTGTGAGCCAACACTTTTCCAAAGCTATGTGAGTGTCTTTTATCGTCATGAACCCGCTGACCGTATCAGAAAAGACGTATGATATGACACGTCTCGGACAGTCAGTTTCAACACACGATATACCACCGCATGCGTCAATCTTTATGCACATACTATCATCTCCGGACGGTTCACATGGTCCGGCTCACTGACGCCGATGAAGATACTACTCGCTGAACGGCATCGCCAAGACTTCGCCATGCGACGATATTTCACCTACTTACCGATCAAGTGTTTGTTTGAGAGATCTGACTCTCCCTACACTGATGATCCTTTATTTCCATTCAATACCTCGTCCGATCAAAACCATATCTGGTGTCACTGGGCATCGGCGAAAGGCGTTCGACAACGCAAGCGACGGGGTTCTCCTCCCGGGACACATCCCACCAACATAACCCAGTTCATGCATATCCGTGAAAGCGAACATACTTGAGAGGTGCAAATGTGTGAGTCCGTTCCCTCAATGTGACGGTGACGAGCTGATGCGCCCAAGTCGAGTGTTCGATTATAAGATTGACCTCGTCATGATGATGAACACTGGCGCATCACTTCCCCTGAATATCATATGGATCTTCGACGTAGATGCTGCTGAGGAGAGAGATGAGTTAGCTCACAATCTCATGGCAATAGATCAAGTTCGTCTTGCCATATGCGCTCACTGCAGGATTGGAGTCATTGAGGATGACATGTCAGTCCGTCTCTGGGTGACTAAAATCAGTCGCTCATCATCATCAATGCATTCCAATCATGTGTGCTCTTTTCGAATTCATCAAGACTAACAGATACGTTTCCGGCCGTACTCGTAGAGTCTTGACTTATCAGTACTTTAAGGTCGGGGTGGGGTCTTCTGTGGGGGGGGCGTCCCAGTCAATCCATTCCGGGTGGCGTGGGTCGCCAGTAGTAGGCTGAAAGTGCGTTTCTACTTCGGCTCTCCATTGGGTGAAATTTACCTTCGGTAACCATCTCAAAGGGGCCGCTGCCTCACTGAGGCCCCAGAGTGCCCTTTTTACGTCTTGTCGGGCCTTAGTCTCTTCATCTTCAAAGGCAACAGTCGTACCATTTTGCATAGTCGTTGTGGCCTGATCAAAGTTGTGCATTGCGGTCAAGTATTCTCGATACTTGCTCTTCCATACCCGGACATTTGCGAGGAATTGGCGAATAGCCTCTGGAAGAGAAACCAGAGTCTCAGCTCCTTGTGTGGTGCCTGACGAAGATATCTCAACAGGAAGGGTGAGACGAGCTTCAGACATTATTGTTCGTTGTTTGTTCTCTTCATGTTGATGATCAAAATGTGACAGCTTTATACGAGTAGTTTGTGTGACGGTTTCGGAGTTGGAATTACCACAAGGGAGGGTGCCCGCTAGCCCTTGGCCCATCGCCCATCGCCCATCGCCCATCGCCCATCGCCCATCGCCCATCGCCCACAGATTGTGCTGACATGTCTAGGCTTTTCACCTTGATCTCCGATCAATCCACTTCATCGATTCAACCTACGTCGGGGGCTATCTTCGCCCCATGGCAGCGCGTAGCGTCGGGATGAGGAGGGCTGTGTTCGTACCAGAAGGCAAACTCACGCGCATCGTAGGTTGGACGATGGGGTGAGGATCTTGATCGAGAGGTGCCCTTGGCCTCACCACCACTACTTCACTTATCAGAGCACTTCTATTTTGGATACATGCCTCGAATCTCAGCCCTACTCTCTCTCTTCATGCTCCATGCTCCAAGTATCATGTCTGGCCGCCGTACGTCGTCCCGGTCATACTCCTTCTTGTGATATCTCGACTGGCTGACCGAGAGAGCGATTGAGGGATCCCGAGGGAGATGGTCAAAGCGTTTGCCCATCACATCACACTTGATATCTGAACCACCACTACATTACTTTTCGTAAGGGACCCGCAGCTCATCTACTTATCGAGATGGGATGACCACTTTGGCAGACAAGTAGCCGTCTCAGACGATCCCGATACTATGATGTGTATGTCTCAGGCCAGGATTGGCTACACGGTCAAGGTGCAGGTGTATCTGGTCTATCCTCACAGGTCAGTCTCCTCCGCCCGACAAAACTTGTCGCTGACAACTTCAGCTTAATCTAGCTTGATTTCCCGACACTTCTCGCACGATGCACTTTGAGTTATGGCCGGCTTGACTCAGGCTATGCATAGTCGAAGGTTCGGACGCTGAATGCCTGACAGTAGTCATGTCAACCCTTTCTCGGCCTACAACTCCTGCGACTGGCAATATAGCCCATCGGTCGGAAGATTCATGAGGGTTAATCAGTAGTGTGGTAAGTAGTCTGAAATTGTCCATTTTGACGGGCTGACCGAATAGACGACCGTTCTCGCTTTTCCCGAACCCATCTCAGAACGTCAGAACTCTCCCATAATCCCTACCTATGTCAGCATCACTTCCACTGGGGTTTCAGACATCCGATCCGACAATATGGAGAATGTCCAACTCTCGCCCTCGACTGCCTATCGTCCGCAATCTACGAACGCCGCTAGATCCCAAGAGCCAGATCAAATAGCCATGCGTAAAACATGCAACATCTCACCTCATGTTCGGGCAAGCTCGTTCTGCCATGTGTATTCGGGTCAAACGTCAATCACTCCCCATCCTCATGGTTATATCACTCATATCGTCTGACTCTGATATATACCCACTTCGTCAGCGTCCTCTTCTATCCACTCGCATACGTCTTTCAGCTACTCTGAAAGACCTCGAAGAAGATCTCCAGTCATGGACAGTCAAGGAAACCCCCTCTTACAGGATATTCTTCTCCAACCTACATCTGGTCCCCCCATAGCGGTAAAAGCTTACCTCCTCTACGCTCACAGGTCAGTCGTCACCGGTAGGAATGTGTGAAATATCGCTGATGAATAACAGTACGGTCTTTCATGACATGATCGACCTTACACTCAATCATGGCTCGGGTCAAAATACGACCAATCTGGAGGATTACTCGCTCGACATCAACGGCACCACAGACGAAGTGACTTTCTTGGTCGAGCTGCTTAACGGACGTAGACTCTCGGGACAAGAAACCTGGGCTCAGATGAAGGCGACTATCGGCACCTGCGAGAAGTACGGATTCGACTTACACAGGCAACTCATCGTCCTCAGTTTGTACGATCGTACCAATCTAGACCCCTGGGAGATTTTCTGTTTGGCAAGTCACTACAACATGCTTTCACTAGCACGTAAAGCTATAGCATCTTTCTCGGAAAATCCAAACACTACGAACCTGTCCTTGGCAACACTCACAGGACCCCAATTGGCTTCCGTAAACTCGGAGTATATGGCGGCACTTGTACGTGCCATGTCCCCGCAAACGATGGAGTCGCTTCAAGTTCGCATCAGAAACGTGAGCGGACAGACTTTTGGTCCAACGCAGAGTTGGCAGTTGGTAAGCGAGAGATTCACGCTGAATAGGTGAGTGTCACCTCCAAATGTAGGGCAGCTGGTTGACGATGAGTTCCAGTAGGAATGTCGCCATTGATAGGTAAGCGCGATCGCAAGTGATTGGGCGGCTAAGCTGACGAGAGGTTCAATGGCTAGAACTCCGGATTGGCACTGGAACCCTGCTTCACCCGTTCCTAGTCCCACAAACGGGGTGTTTTTCTATGACCCGAACCCGTGAAAAGCCTTGCTGGATGTCTAGCGTCACCTCAGCATCACGATGCATGGTGAATCACCCCAGTGATGTCTCTGCTCGATTGTCCGGGTTGATCTTCCTAAATATTGAATCATACAAGTCCAAACAGGGATTGGCAGGAGTTTTGATGGTGGAGCTCAAAGGCTACGTCAAGGAAGAGTAAGGGCAGACCCAATCGATACAACATCAAATTTCGTGAGCCATCAGTCACACTTGCCGAAATTGAGCTGATCAGAAGCCCATTGACCCGACCGGCATCATGCATCCTTTTTCTCTTAGGTCGGATCACTGATACGAGGAGCCGCTCATCGGTTTCACTAACATGCAACGAGGTCAGGGTTGTAGGACTTGCTTAGTCTCTATTCCCTGGACATTTACTGTGTGTCACCGATCACTTGCCGGCACCTATGAGACCGGGGTGTCTTCTGGATCTCCCAAAATTCCCACATACAATACTTCGCGTGAGCCCAATTCTACTCACTCCCTATCTTTCTCATCATTTCATCCTCAGCAGCCATGTTGGACGAAACGACGCATCAAAACCCGCTGTTGCAAGATATCCTTCTGAAACCTACCTCGGGTTACCCGATCCCCGTGAAGGCACACCTCCTCTATACGCACAGGTGAGTCCTCCCCAACAAGGCCAGGTGACGGCTAATGTGCAGTACCGTATTTCGTGACATGATCGACATCACCATCAAGTCGAACTCCGGTTTGCGTCAATCCCCAAACGAATTGCGGTCGTTTGAAATCGACACCACCGAAACGAACCTCGCATTCTTCGTACAAATGCTCAAGGGACGAAAACCTTGGAAACGAGGGTCCTGGGCCTAGGTCAAGACTGCTCTAGACCTGTGCGAGAAGTATGGCTTCGAACTATACAAAGAACACCTCATTCTTCACTTGTTCAAGTTCACGGAAGACGAACCTTGGGCGATATTCTGTATTGCAAGTGAATACAACGTACTCGCATTGGCGCGCAAGGCCATTACCTCTTTCGCCAAACATCCAGAGACTCGCATATTCAACTTACATACACTTGGCGGTCCTCACATTGCATCGGTGGACCCGAACTGCATGGCCGGGCTGGTGCGTCTCTTGGCGGATCGACGTCTAGCACAACGTTACGACAGCGCCGGTCAAGTCGTGTATAACACCTATACGGAGAGTGATTGGAAGACGATCAGTAAGGGCTTCAAACCTGTCTGGTGAGTAGGCTCCAGAATCGAGAAGTTGTCCGGCTGACGAGAACAGATCTTGTAGTCTTACTCTTGGGTGGAATATGACCTAATCATGCAGTATAATCTGGTATGAATCGGATGTTCAGGGAACCTAGTCGATTGATCTATGAGAATCAGGGGTAAGACGTAACATGCATACTGATACACAGGGTCGAGCTACTTACCTTCCTGGAAAGAGTTTAAATTATAAGCATTGACTTCACTTCTACATCTCTACAGTTGAGACTGGCTCGTAGATCGATATCATCACTTTTCGTCAAACAACATGAATACCAAGTACGCCGACAAAACTGCCGACATCTTGCTCAAGAGCAACGATGAGAAGCTCTTCCGTGTTCATTCGTACATCCTCAAGGCCCATAGGTACGTGAAGTTGAAGACAGATGTCAAGGCTGACGAGAGTAGTACCGTTTTTCGCGACATGATAAGTCTCCCCTCTACGAATGACAAAAAAGATCCCATAACCCTCGATATGACGTCCGTTCAACTCGAAATCTTCCTCGACTTCATGCATGAAACGGATCCCACGCTTGCGTCTAAGTGGGCAGATTGTATGACTCTCATCGAACACCTGAAACAGTATGGCTGCGAGTCTCTAGTAGAACGGGTTGTTGTACGCCTCGGCACGGTTGCGGATCAAGCTCCATGGGAGGTATTTGCCCTGGCGAGTCAACATGACAACTTGGGGCTTGCCTTGACCGCACTCCGACATTTCGGGATGGACCATAGAACGTCTGCGCTGAATATGAGCAATGTTAGCAAGGCAATGGCGAGTAGCGTGACTTCTATGTACATGACTGCCTTAGCCGGGGCCATGGAAGGGCGGGTGATCTCCTTCCGCGGGGAAGTAAGAAACTGGGGAGAGGTTAGTGGTAAGTTCACTCTTCCTAAGTGATCACGAGGTAAGTAAATCTTCGTTTGGATAAAGAAGATTATATTCACACCCAGATCCATGATGAAGCAAAGGTGACTCGGAAGGTCTGAGAGAAATGCTCGAGTAGGGAGCACCTTTTCCTATACGCTATCATGCTATGTACCTTATCCACCAATTGTCTAAGCTTTGATTGTGTTGGATTCATTGACCATCAAGTTACTTGCCTCTAGTTTATGTAATTCCCGCTGGCCAGAGGGCCAGAGGGCCTGAATGTCACCTGCCACATTGAAATGTTTGAACGTCGAAGACTACTTACTCTATCCGTCCTAGTTACTTCCACCAACCCTTTTTGCTTTTCTCTCTCTCTCTTAAGTCTTGTTGTCCCTTGAAAATGTCCACCGTTCCCAAATACTCTGAGAAGAGCGCCGACGTAGAGCTAGTTACAAGTGATGATGCTCATTTCCGAGTTCATTCGTATATGTTAAAAGCGCACAGGTGGGGAGTTTCCTCTGCATCCTACCTTCCTTCCTTCTTCCATCCAACTCCAACCTCCAACCTCTCATCCTCCATTCATCGCCTCTCTCTCTTGTGATCCAGATCCCAAAGTCAGGAAACAGAAAAGTATGCAAATGAATGTAAGACATAAAAGACCTCTCACTAACTCGCAGTACCCTCTTCCGAGACATGTTAGACCTTTCCACTCCTCTTGACCCAAACGAACCTATATCTCTTGAAATCACACAAGAAGACCTAACCGACTTTCTCGATATAATGTACGATCATTCCCCTTCTTTAACATCTTGGTCAAAATGTCAAACCCTCCTATCTAATCTGGACAAATACGGTAGTGATAAACTTATCGAAAGAGTTCTCGTCCGTTCGACTCCTATGGCATCTAAACATCCTTGGGAGATATTCGCATTTGCTAGTAGACATGATAATGTAGCTCTTGCAAGAGAAGCTTTAAGACATTTTGGGAATGTAACTAGCTTAACACATATGGAAATTGGTGGAATCACTAGAGCTATGGGAGAACAAGTTGATCCTATTTATTTATTAGGTTTAGCTCAAGCTATGGGGAAATGGCCAAAACAAAATAGAGCTAAAGTTGATTGGTTAAATATAGCTATTAGTTTTAGTCTTCCTACGTGAGATAGAGCAGTTCATCTTTGAGGTTGGTGTAGTAGGGGTGTTGAGTGAGTTGAAATTGGAAGGGAGTATACAAGTAGTGTGATGTGTCCGTGGATCCTTGAATTTACCTGTTATTGGTGCTTTGTTGGATGGTGTACTGTTCGTTGGAGTAAAATTGATTATAGCAACAACATTGCATATGAAATAGGTATATAACAAAGAATCACTATCTCACTCTGTAGGAAACATTGAGGAATGAGATGATCATATGAGTAATCTACCACACAACAAACTAATGCTTCATCGCAGACCCAATCTTACTTTTCCACACATTAGCCTTCTCAAACCCATTCACCCCTTTCCTATAATCATAAACAGCTTTCATAGCTTCCTCTTGCGAAGTCACAACGAAGGGACCGTACTGTATCACAGGTTGATCAAGGGGTTCACCAGCGATAAGCACTACACGAGTCTGTTCTCCCTCGACATTATCGGGTCGGGAAAGAAGAATACCGTTTTGACCCTTCTCAGAGGTGAAGACGAGGGTGTGGTGTTTGGCATAAAAGGTTGGATTGTTGTCGATTTGAAGAGTACCTGTGATGACTATTGATCAGCAACATGCCTCATGTGAAGAGGAGCATGAAAATGGGATATGATGAGTTTCGAGTTTAGTCGCGATGTGTTGGAACAGATTCGAATGATTATTGTCGAATGAGTGACGCTGGGTGACAAGGACGTGATTGGAAGATAAGTCGAGATAGACGTACTATAGACAAAAGCAGTCCAACCTTCTGGAATGAGTTGAAAGACTGAAATTCCAGGTTTTTGTAATTTGATGTCGATGTACCAACAACCCCCCACAGGTCTCACGAACCCCTACCTATCAGTCATTGAGCTCATGTACAGAAGGAAAGCAAAGAATATATATATGAGATAGAAATATCAAGAACTGACGGTGGCACCATGAGATTCTCCCGAGATGATGGTTATCTCCACTCCGTCCTTAGGATGAACAGTAGTGATACTGTCGATCAGCCAAGCTCTCAATATGTAGGAGGGAAAAGAGATATACAAAGGAATCCACTCACTCCTCCGCTTTTTTCTCTTGGTAACTCGGTTCGATATATTTCTTATCTTTTGGTAAATCGACCCATAATTGTAAACCCTCCACTACATCTTCTTCACCAGCATCAGGTTCAAAAAGAGGCATTTCAGAATGTACTATACCCCTACCGGCCGTCATCCATTGTACGTCACTTTTTTCTAATCTACCTGTCAGTTCGAGTTTACATTTCACACCTTTTTTCTCCGCCATCTTTACAAAACTCATGATCGTCATCGATTTGTATATTCCATTTGGGAGCTATGAAGTGATATGAAAGAGAAAAGATCAAAGACATACATTCCTGAATTTCCCAGAAAATCCTCATGTTGCATCTTTCCTTCCAACACATAAGTTACGGTTGTTTGACCTCTCTGTTTGGTCAATATCACTCCGTCTTCTCTCTGCTCTCTTCATCCGCTCGACGATAATGAGGTACATGGCATTGTACTGACATGAGGATGATCCGGGAATCCGCTGCCAGGTGAAATAGCAGCATGATCTAACCTATTTATCAGCGTGTCAAGAAGATGAGAAGGGAACAGTAGACTGACATCAGAAAAGGACTCAAATTTCTCAAAGCTTGACTTCCTATCGACCTTCTGACCGTTGCTCCCACCCCTTCTGGAGTTTCCGCAGCATGAACGGCTTTGGCTACAGATCTGGATAGTTGAGTAACTTGAGATGTCATTTTGCGAAGTGATGATTTATTGGTAGATCGAATTTGAGTGATAAGTGATTGTAAAGGAGGCATGAAAGTGGGTAATGAGAATAGGTCAATTATCTTTTCATATTCCCCAACAGGTCTGCGACACGGCGTATAGGGTAAAGGAGTCCGGCAGGGACTATTCCAGAAATTTGATCAGCTGTGAGTTTATTGCATACTCTGCCGCGACCGTATGTACCAAGCTGACAATGAGAAAGATGAGAAATCAGAGGGGAAGAATTAGGTCAAGTGTGGGATTATGTTGCCACTTTGGGTAAGTTAAGTGTAGTGCAATAGCGCGCCTATTTTGGCACAGTCGCTTTCCAACAAATTCACTCAATCTCGGAGATGTACGTATCTCCGAAGTAAGTCATCATACAGCCGCAATCTCATTCGCCCATATCTTCAATAGCTTTCTTGATCTTGTCTTGCATCCTCGTCCACTGTTCTTCAGCATAAAGACTGTGATCGTAAGGGGAGAATGGTTCACCTTGTTATTGCAACTCTTGGCGTCTCTGCCTGGTATCTGCTGAGAGACTTCACTCCAACTTACTCCCATCTATCCCGTCAGCCACATCGTATCAAACTACACGTATTTCTTCTCCTCATCTTCTCACCTAACTTCTCTTCGGACAAAACGTCGTCCCGTCGGGTTACACCTACTTCCACTCAAGCCGCCTTATCGTCTGACTTGCTGACTCGATCAAATAAAGTATAGATTGACAAAGAGTACGGGCGTAATGGTTACGAAAGATGGGGAGACGAACGAGGAGGGAGAAAGGCACTGGAGATCGAAAACGACCCCAAAAACCTTTACTGACCTTTTTCGGACACATAATCTCATACAACATCTTCAACTCTTCTCCACTCCAAGCACCCATCTTTTTATCTCCCTCCATCACACTCTTCCTCGGAGATTTCTTGGCTTTCTTAGGCGAAGGGGTTGGAGGTTTGATATCGAGTTCGGAAGAGTTAGAAGCTTCACGTTTGACAGGGGTTACAGGTGCCATGTTGGTTGTTCTTTGTGTTTCGTGAAAGAATACTAAGATGACAGTGAGGAAATTGGAGGAGAAGAAGGGGATGAGTAACAGGTTGGAAACGGTCGTCAAGGTGAATGGTCCTTCATCTTTGTATTGAATTTTAAGGGTAAGGGCGGAGAGACATTCCTTTACCTTAGAATGATACCGTACTTACCCTTAAAAGGAAATATACTTGAAAGTCATACCAATCAGTAAACTACTCGTACCGGTCCAGTCATGCCAGTCAGGATATGATGGACGAGTATGATGGGCCAGTATAGAGGCTCGAAAGCGAAAGACATGACGCTGACATGGACATTTCAACCAGATGAAAATAACTTCACTACAACTTTATCAAAGAATATCCATCAAATCAGTCCTGTCTCCTAAACCGACACTGATGTTGTCCATACGTTCGGAACCATAGGATAAGACGAGATAATGATTTTTGATGAACATGTCTCCGAGAACGGTGAAACTTGACATTCCGCCCTGTAGGTCAGCTGTGAGTCCTGATCATGTTCAATCACTTGATCACTGATACGAGTATGATAAAAGTAGGGGTCAAACAGGTATTTCTTATAGTTTCGAGAGGTATAAGCTGGGAAGAGCGTGGAACTAAAAGAAAAAGAACATCGTTGGGGTAGAGAAGAAGAAGAAGAAGAAGAAGAAGAAGAAAATTTTAGAACACACCTGTATTCCAGAAATACACTGTCCATCATAAGTCGAACTAACTTTCCAAGCTATATCTTCGATCGGTACACCAAACCTTCTTCCGGCTATAGTAAAGAAAACGTTTTGTTCAGAAGGATACGATACCGTACAAGGAACATACCAAATCCCACTTTTATCATCTTGAAAGGAACCTCCTATATCACCATGAATCGTCGTAGCAACTTGAGTTGAGGTGATGATTAAAGTCGTACCAGTATCGATAATAGCTCTTCTAGGAGTTATATTATCATTCACCAAGACTGAATTTGTTCCTGTTGAAATATCATCCAAAGTTATACCCCAATAATTTAAACTTGTAACTGATGTCCAAGTTAAACCATTTCTTCCTCCAATAATATAACCATCTTCGATCCCACCGAAAACATAAGAACCACTACCTTCATGTAAAACAACACCTTGATTACTTTTTCCTTTTACTAATCTTATACCTAAAACAGATTCCGGTAATTGATTATTTTTAACTAATCTTGAAAATAAAGTTCTTCCTCCTGATTCATTCGAAGAAATAGGTATTGTCGATAATCCATCTTGACCTAAACCCATTATACCAGATTTGACGGTTTTTGAAAATCCATTACCTGAAACAAATTCCGCTATCGCAAAAGTCAAATTGGAATTCAAGATGGTACCGATTTCAGTATTGATTTCTGTTGAACCGAGAGAGATGGAAGGAAATGAGGAAGATGTTTCTGTACCTAATGATAATTGATCAAAAGCTGTATAACCGAAAACACCTGATCCATCGGCATAACCGAAATCCCATGTGTATGAATCGTTTATGAATGTTGATGATTGCGATGGATCGAAAATTGTATGATTTTGTGGTGAACAGGTGTAACATGTGGGACCAAAGAGGAAAAGATCGGAAGAACCTGTATCTGGAAGAACTGGAAGGGATTGTGGTGGTGTACCGATGGAAATGTAAGTGTACCACTCTTTGTCAGCTCATTGTATTCGTACTTGGACGACCTCATCCTCTGCACAACAATATCATCATTCCCATAGTAGTGGATATTCAAGCAAAGGTTGTAGACCCGAGGAATACGCCAAGAGGATGAGAGAGAAGAGAATGAGAAAAGGAAGATAGCTCACCTCAGTATCTCCGGCATCACCTTTAGCGACAGCTTCAGCCGCTCCCCATCCCGATCCACCAACACTTATCCCCATATCCAATCCAGTAGCTTTGAGCAAACTTTCTACCATTCCTTCGTCCTCGTTCTCATCCGTATCAGATCGATCTTGAGTGTTCAAACTATGTTGCGACCCTCCAACGAGATTATCCCTTTCCACACCTCTGTTCCTTTTCCACGGTATTGGTCTGCCCGCACCATAACCACCGAAACCTTTACCGCCTCCCCATCTAGGAAATTTTATTTTGTCCGATTGTCTATCCAACTGGTAATCATCATCATGTTGAGATTCCTTTTCCCACAAATCCGTCACCATATCTCTTTCTTCCATATCTTCATTCTTTTTCCACGCTGCTGCACCAGGGTAACGCGGAAATCCGGGTACGCCGAGGGGTCGATCTGTCCAACGATACGGTGGCAATGGTGGACTTCTGACAGAGACAGGTTGCTTATCCTTTTCTTTTCTCTCCAAGTGACGAGCCATTTCTCTTTTCCTCACCGTTTCAGCGTTTCTCTTCCAAGCTTTACCTCCAGGAGATCCGAATCCGTGTGAACCACCGAAAGGACTTCCCATCTTCTTAGGTGCGGTTTCAACTTCTTTCTCCTGTTCCTCGGCTTGTTCCTTTTCCTTTTCCTTCTGCTCTTCTTTTTGCTTGGCTTTCTCCTCTGCTTTCTCTTTCGCTTTCTCCTTCTTCTCTTCTTTCTCTTTCTCTTTCTCTTTCTCACTCTTAGACTTTTTCCTCGATCTCAACTCTCTTTTCTCAAGTCCCACTTCTCTCTGCCAAGCATCCCTGTTCCCCGAGGTACTTGTGATCGTATCTATAAGCGGACGAGTATCTATAGTTGCAGTGAGACCAAGTTTGACACCCCATGAAGCCAATTGACGTTGGAGTACCTCTTCTGCTGGAGCTGTATGAAAAGCCGGGTCAGAGAGAACAGGCATGGAAATTTGTCCCATGACTGACGAAATGGTGATGAAAGTAGTCACCAACATGATAATAGTGAACATCTTGGCAGTCGACAACCAGTATCGACGGAGAGAAGAGGAGGTGTGAGAGGTGAAGATGAGAAGGAAGAGCTGATGAGGATGAGGATGAGAAAAGACAAGCGCGATAAAAGATATATGTGACTGGACGGATATGTTTTCGTTGTTGTGAGTTGTCACATAAGTTTGATATGATTGGGGTAAAAGGGGACTAGTCTCAGTTGCTGTAAGGTAGCAAGCGTTTCATCCCCTGATTATGTTATGAGGAATGAGTAAGAATTTAGTAAGTAAGATTTGCACATTGAGTAACGACAAATGGTGATCGATGGCCGATGGAAGTATTAGCCATGTGATAAATGAAAGTCGTCGACCGTCGGAAGTTGAGATGCTTGCTACAATAAAAGAATATGCCGTTTAAACACAAACATTCGGACAATCTCGAAGATCGGAGACTATGTGAGTTAGTGTCGATATACATGGTCTGTGTATGTCCAGGAAGAGAACTGTTCATACCGATGACCGATGCCGTGAAGAGAACTCGATCGAAATGTTCTGGACAAAACTATGGGGGCTATCGAGAGAGATCGACATGGTCGTTTGAGATTGAACGTTAAGGAGTGAGTTCACCTGAAAGCGGCTGATGTATACTCACCATGATAACTCTTCAAGGTCCGGTCAGAGAAGCAATCTGAGCTGTGTACGAAGATCGGAAACTCGGACAAGGTGAACACGGGGCACATGCTTCTCTCTCCAGGCCCCCCAGTGATCCCAGTGATTGAGACAACGTTGTCGATCGTCAGATGATGGTCGCCATCTCTTCCAAGACGACGTTGAGAGTGACTCGACGACCGAATATGGGGTAATGGGGTTACTGGAAAAGACAAGCTGTGCGCTATACGCCGTGCCATGATCAAGCATCAACTTTATGTTGTTCTCTAATGAAATCTGGTCTGTTCTCAACCCAGCATTAAGGTTAAATTTGCTTCCGTTCCCTCTCACGCTTGACCCCCACCCAACCCCTGTACCCTGTTTGCCTCTCAACTTGCTTATCGCTTCATTCATCCTTGTCATCCTTCATCTCATTATACTTATACACAATCCTGTTTTAACACCTTATCCGGCTGACAGGAAAGTGGATGACATAAGATCTACAAAGTGAAACCCGAACAGACTCGAGGAACAAGATCAGACACCGATATCGAGATTACTCGTCCTGGTGGCTTTGCTCAACCTTTTTTTAACCAATCGTCTCTCTCCCCACCTCCCCACTTCAATCAAATCCGCTTTCGGGTGTCTCACACTTGTGTCTTGTGTCACACCACTTCATCGACCACCAAGCTTTCGATTCAATAACAACAACAACTTTCTCGAAGAAACCCAATAACATACAAATATCCGATAAGACACCAAAGCTCGTAATATGAAATCCCTTCGCCGCTCGTTGAATAACAACGGGCATTCTCAACCTTCCCCACCTCTTTCTTCCGGTATCACACCAGGTCCGCTTGGTAGGCCATCCGAACGCGTCGCTCCACCTCAGAAAGTCATCAAAGCTCTCGTTTCTATGAGAAGTACAAACCCTCAGGAGTTGAGTTATACCAAAGGCGACTTTTGGTACGTTACTGGAGAACGTGAAGGGTGGTACGAAGCTCTCAGTGAGTCAATTTCATCTCATCGCGACCCTACTCTTCGCCCCCATTTGAACTCGTATAGGATGGCCCGATCGAAACATCCCTCCGAGACCAGGACAAAGACGTAGATCAAGGACACAGCTGACGCGTAGATCCTTTGACGGGCTCGAGGGGTTTGGTCCCTAAAACTGACTTTGAAGAGTTTGGAAGGGGTGGTAAACCTCAATTGAAATCGACGCAGTCGTCCGAAGGTTCCAGCAGCAGGTGGGTTCACTCGAATGCACTTATATATCTCAGACTTTGTGATCTGTGCTGACTTATCAAGACCTATAACACCAGCGACACATCAATCGATACCTTCCAACGACATGAGATCGATCCCGAGTACCAAATCGTCTGTTTCTTCGGCCATACCAAAGAAACACAAGCAGCCGTGAGTTCTGACCGATCGAGCACGCGAAAACTTGGTTGACTTACACCGCAGAGTATACGCAATCGTGCAGTACGACTTCCATGCCGAAAGGCCAGATGAGCTGGATGCCAGAAAGGGAGAACCCATTGTGGTCATTGCTCAGAGTAATCATGAATGGTACGTCAGCCACTCGCACCCTTTGTTTCAATGCGATGAGCTGATCAACTCAGGTTTGTCGCAAAGCCTATAGGTCGACTTGGAGGACCTGGATTGATCCCGGTGGCTTTTGTCGAGATTCGCGATCCCGCCACTGGAAAGCCCATCGAAGTGTCTCCCGATACGATTCCCATGGTAGAAGAATGGAAGAAAGCTACGGCCGAGTATAAAGCTGCCGCCATCCCACTTGGTCGTTTAGACCTGGAGGGTGCCGCTCCAGTGGTTGATTCGCCATACGCCCATGCGTCGAACAAATCTGCATCATCCTCTTCGGTCGTCCTCCCCCTCAATCCAGCAGGGGTGACGTCTTCCCTACCTCGAACGAGCTCATCAACCTCGGTCAACCAGATTCAGACGCAGAGTGTCCATGTTTATCGACCGAACGAAGACACCGAATTACCCTTAGGTGATTTTCTTGATTTGACAATACCTTCCTTCCACAACGAACAAGGTAAATACTGGTATCGTCTCCATGTGGTCTTCCTTCCCGACAACCCGGCTTCACCCGCTCTCACACTCTCTTTGTATAGAGAGTACGACGATTTTTACGCCTTTCAAATCAATCTTCTCAACTTTTGTCCGGTCGAAGCTGGCCGGGAACCCGCTCCGGGGGAGACATCTCCGCCCGAAAGGATCCTTCCGTTCATGCCTGGTCCCGTCGCCGAAGAAAACGATGAAATCACTGAACTTCGACGTGAAGATCTTGATGCTTATGTCAAAGCATTGTTGGAACTTCGAGAACGAGGTGCTGGACATGTCTTACGTCATCGTCATTTAAGAGAATTCTTTGCTGCTAGAGAAGGTGATTACTGTGAAGAAACACCCCGACCTGATATCATGGAAGAGCTTGAAGAACATTTATCAGACATGCGTATGCCTTCCAGACATGATGTTTATTCAAACGATCGAACAGGTGCAAGTTCAAGTATGTCTTCACATTCAAATAGAGATAATCAATCTTCACAAGGATGGAATCAAAGTTCACGTATTTCCGCTTCACATATAGCTCCTGGTAATCCTCTTCCTCCTATCGATCCTACACTCCGACCGGATTCTACTTCTTACGCTAGATCATCAGGTCATTACATGTCCGGAGGTCCATCAACAGGTTCATCTTGGGGTATGACACCTCAATCTTCTTCTGGTCCAGGTCCAGGACATGTAACAAACATGTCGACAACATCCACAACCGGTCAACCACCATATGTGAAAATCAAGATTTACGATCGTGCGACAGATGATTTGATAGCAATACGTGTACATCCTAATGTATCTTTGGCGGAATTGTTTGAGAAAGTCAGAGGGAGATTAGGTTCAAATGTCGGAGCATTGAGATATAGGACAGGTGTGGCTATGGCAGGTGTACCACAAGCGTATAAGGAAATTGGAGATGATAGAGATTTGAAAGATTGGATAACGGGAGAAGATCAAAAGTTGGTTTTGTATGCTGAACAGGCTTGAGAAGGAAATATTTTTCGACAAGGATAATAAATTTTACAGATCTTAATGCATATCTTGGGTTCTAAAGGTTATTCGCGCTGCCCGCAGTTGTAATACGTTCACCCATACTCAACGTCCCCAGCTGTAGAGTAGCGTACGAGTAAGTCGAGTACTCCAGTAGTGACCCGGCAAAAGTGTGATCTGCCTCGCGTGCCTATTCAAAAATGTCGCAGCGGCGTGCCTATTTCGGACCAACCTTCCCTCAACTGCTTTTCTCCCCTTGAGAATACTAGACTTTCGTCTTCACTCACTCCACTCCAGTATCGTACATCTCTATAGACATATCTCCATTGTGAAGAGTACACGCCGTAGTGGGATAACTAGGGTGTAGCTAGACAACATGGTAAGCTGCCCTCCCCAGTGTAGATGACAAGCTCATGGTCAGGTTAGGATTATCATCAAGGGTGGTGTTTGGCGTAACACTGGTGAGTATCCCTCTCTCTCCCCCTCTCTCCTCATGACTTCTTTCGTTGATCCTCCTACTTCATGATATCTCTTTTTATCTCTTTGTGTATTTGATGTTTCATCAGAACCCCTCTCATTTAGATACAACGCGTTTCAGCGTGTGGAAGAATCATCTTCGGCTTTTACCCAGCCCACATCAGTCGAAATACTATGTCTCATCATCGGTGATAATCGCCATTCATTGCGTGCATAGGATCTAAATGGGGATACTAATGTACAGAGGACGAAATTCTCAAAGCTGCCATATCGAAATATGGCAAGAATGTGAGTGTATCCATTGCCTCATGAAGAAAAGTACTGAGGAAATAGCAATGGGCTCGAATTTCTTCTTTATTAGTGAGGAAAACAGCGAAACAATGTAAAGCTAGATGGTACGAATGGTTGGATCCTAGTATCAAAAAGATTGAATGGTCAAAAGTATGTTGTTTATGTTGCTTTTGAATCTCTCGCTACCGTACACCTCTCCACCCCCTCACTCCCTCACTCCCTCCACCCCCCTCATCCCCTTTTGTTCATCAAACTCTCTTCGTGTTCTTCCGTTCCATCTCCCATTCTGACAAAGTCACAAGAGTCACTTCCAATTCAGGCTGTTCCGCTTGTGTATGTGGGTATTCTTCCGTCCGAAGATGATCCGGAGTCATTACAGAATCGGGTAAGAAGAGGATGAGCTAACTTCAAGACCGAAGATGAAAAACTTCTTCATCTCGCGAAACTCATACCCACTCAATGGCGTACCATCGCTCCTATCGTAGGACGTACAGCCACACAATGTCTAGAGCGATATCAGAAGCTATTGGACGATGCTGAGGCTCAAGATAATGACGAGTTGGGATTGGGCGCAGGGGACGACGAAGCTTCAAGACCTGCTGAAGGAAGTAGTAGAGGACTGAGACCGGGAGAAATTGATACGGATCCGGAGACAAGGGCTGCCAGACCTGATCCTATCGATATGGATGATGATGGTGAGTTGTTCTTTCCAATCATGGATCAGTCCTCCTTGCTGCGATTGTTGTCTATCTCCAGCAACTACCACCTCGCTTCGTGGGCAGTGTCGTTCAACGCCTCACGAGGCCCGCGAGCAGGGCTCTTTATTCTACTCTCGCGGAAGTCGCCCTGCAACGTGTGCTTGGATGCGGTGCCAGTGAATGGCGGACCTAGCTGACATCGTAGAAAAAGAGATGTTGTCAGAAGCCAGAGCTAGACTGGCCAACACTCAAGGCAAGAAAGCGAAGCGAAAAGCTAGGGAGAGGCAGTTGGAGGAGGCGCGAAGACTAGCTTTTTTGCAGAAGAAACGCGAATTGAAAGCTGCTGGCATAAAGTCAGTCGGATCTTACCTCCCAAACCCACGGGTATGAAGCTGACAATGCGTAGCCTTAGATTGAAGCCAAAGAAGAAAGGCATGGATGTGAGTAAGCTTCATTCGCCCCTCTGTAGTAGCTGATATCTCAGTATAACGCCGACATTCCATTTGAGAAACAGCCTGCCCCTGGGTTCTACGACGTGACGGACGAAAATGCCAAAGCATATGCGGCCCCTGTGGGGCAAACATTACGGACCCTGGAAGGAAAGCGCAAGCAGGAGCTCGAGGAACAAGAAGAGCAGAACAAACGGCGGCGAGGGGAAGACGGCAAGCCAAAGTCTAACCAGACCGCCCAGTTCGTTGCTGCCCGCGAAGCACAGATCAAGAAGCTCAAAGAGCAAGATCAGATCATTCGGAGACGGAAATTAAATCTTCCCACCCCTCAAGTAGGAGAGAGGGAGCTCGAAGATATCGTCAAGATTGGTCAAGCTGGTGAGATGGCTAGGGGGTTGGTGAATGGGGAGAACGAGGCTACTGGAAAGCTGCTGGGGGATTATGAAGGGTTGGGCAATGCAAAGATGGCACGTACGCCAAGAACTGCACCCGAACGTGAGTCGAGCAGTTCGCCGCACTCACCAGCTTGTCCCATTGTCCATCCATGTACAGCTCCCACAGCCAAGACCAATGAATACAATAATGGTGCCGCTGTTTGGGTTTTGACATCGAAAGGAAATGCATGACAATGCTGACGTATAAAGAGGACAATATCATGAACGAGGCAAGAAATCTACGACAACTTTCAAGCGTTGAAACTCCTCTCCTGGGTCAGGAAAACACTCCACTCCGTACTGCCGAAGATCAAGGTACTGGGTTTGGCGGTGCAACGCCTCGTCAAGCCGTACAGTTCACTCCCAATCCACTTGCTACCCCTGCCCACGGAGGCGCTCTCGCCACTCCTCGTGCTGCTGGCGGAGTAACTGCCACACCCCTTCGCACGCCTATGCGAGACAATCTGAGCATCAACACTGGTGCCACGCCATATAGCGAGACTCCTCGGGACGAACGCCTTCGACTTGCCGCTTCTCGTCGTGCGCTCAAAGCCGGTTTCGCCGCTTTGCCTAAACCAGAGAATAACTTTGAGCTTGCGGAAGTGGATGATGAGGAGGAAGAGGAAGACGCCCCAGTCCTCACCGAGGAAGATGCGGCCGAAAGGGACGCTCGTCTGAAAGCTGCCCGCGAAGAAGAAGAGCGTCTCGAGCTGGAACGTCGAAGCTCCGTGGTCAAGAAGGGTCTGCCTAGACCTGTCAACGTTAACTTGGAACGTCTGGTCCAGGATCTAGACGCAGCCACCGAAGGCGAGTACGAGGACGACTCAATGGCGGCGGCGATACACTTGATCAACTTGGAAGTGGCTCGATTAGTGAAGCACGACTCTATCGCCCATCCTCTTCCTGGCACCTTCACCCCTGGGGGCATGCTGTCAGAATATGACATGCCGCCTGATTCTTTCATTTCTCAAGCACGTAGTATCATCCATTCGGAACTCGCACAAAGTATGGGATTACCAGGAGCGTCCGATGAACAACTTCGACTCGCCATATCTTCGACTGTCGACGACACACCCGACGCGTTCATCGCCACTTGGGCGGAAACTCGACAACAACTCGTTTTCTCCCCCGATCTGGATCAATGGATCGAAGCCACCACTCTCAGCCCGGAACAGCTGAGAGGAGCGTACGAGTACTCCATCACTCAATCGCGCGAGTCAATGGTGCAAGAAGCGACGAAAGCCAGTAAGGCGGAGAAAAAGCTGGCAAAGCAGTTGGGAGGGTATCAGGCGATCAATGCCAAGCATAGAGCGGGGATTTTGGAGGCGATGGAGGAGTTGCAACAGGCTCAAAGGGATTTGGAGACGTTTGGAATGTTGAGAGTTATGGAGGAGGCCGCTGCGCCGATTAGGATAGAGCTAAAAAGGGAAGAGGTGGCGAGGTTGGAAAGAAGAGAGAGGGATTTACAGGCAAAATACGCGGAACTGGTCGATGAGCGGAAAGAGAGGTTGGCGGCTATCGAGCAGGTAAGTCATGAGTCACCTTGTTCAATTTGCACACACTACCCCTCTTTCTTCCTTTCGGTGCGGAAGTGGTTATGCTCTGAGAATGCATCTGCGAGGTGGTACTGATATACAGCTGGAAGAGGATAAGATTGTCCTAGCCGCTCAGGCACAGCTGGACCTCGAACAAGCCAACGGTGGAGATGGAGACGAGGTCATGAAAGGGGCTAATGGAATCGGAGAGGTGAATGGGGATTGAGAGTGACATCTTTCAGCGGGTAAGTGTGACCTCTGATATGCATGTATTGCAGTTGCGTAAGTTACGTCGTGTGACATTTAGCAGAGTCATTCCACATACAGTTGCTCTTTTATAAATGCCAGATGCGCACATTTGATTTTTTGGTCAATATCACTAATTGGTTACTTTACGATCGTTGTCGTGACAATTTTTATGGTTTGAAACATATCGCCACTGAACTGTCACACTCCCTTCATCACCCCTCCCTCCCCGTATTTAACCCATTCAACTTATCACCTCCATACCTCTTCTACTTCCCCAACAGCGTCAATCTCAAGCCTCAAACTACTCATTGACTTAATCACGGACTCACCATCCTCCATCACCCCAATCGCTTGACTTCAAACACCATGATTTCCTTCTTTGCCAATATCCCCGGAGTTCAACGACCATCTCCTTCGACAACAGTACCAAAGACTAAACCATCGAACAAAATCCCACCTCCTAAACCTCGACCACCTGTACATACTTGGGATTCTTTGAGAACGAAGGGAACACCTTTGATAGTACATGCTTCTTCCATCTCCAATTCGTCAAAACGTGTGACTTCTCCTAGACCTTTGGAAACTACCAAATCGTCCAAGGACAAATATTCTCATACCGTCTCTGGGTCATCTAAATCCAAAACTTCAGACTCTCAATCTATCTCTGGATCGTCTAAATTGAAGACTTCCAATTCTCAAATTTCCTCTGGGTCATCAAAATCCTTTTCGAGCTCCAAGTCGACAAGTGACAAGGTCAAATCTAGATCGTCCAGTGCGACTGAAGATGATATCTCTAGTAACTACACATCTCGCTCAGCGGGCCAAGGTACATTCAAAGATGATGGATCAACAAATACGTATCATTCTCGTAAGAACGTAACATCTACTTTGAAAAAAGAGAAAGTTGGTAGGAAAGTATCTGAAGTTCGATCTGGAGTTAAATCGATAAAGAGGGCGAAGAAAGGTTGGGAAAGTGTAATGAGGGTTTATTCAGAATCAGAATCGGAATCAGAATCGGAATCAGAATCGAATTCGGATTCAACTTCATCCTCTTCTGACTCGGAATCAACTTCGGGGGATGTATCTTCCATTGCGCGTAAGGAGGGGAGGAACGGAAATGGGAAAATCACGGAGAAGAGGAAGAGAAAAAAAGGAGAAAAAAATGGAAGTGGAAAGAGAAAGAAGAGAAAGATCGGGGTTCCATTAGATTGGGGATTGTCTGTTGTGGAAAGACAGGTGTTTGATATTGAAGAATCTAATGAGGAACGGTGGAAAGGTTTTTTGGGATCTGAAGTGGCCTTGAGAGGAATGAAAGATCCTGTAGAATTTGTGAAGGATCAGATAGGAGTAGAGGAGAGATTGAAGGGATTGGAAAGATATGTCGCTTGTGAGTCATTCCTACTCTTCCAAACCTACCCCATTCAATCTTGATCGTACTTCTCCATTCACTTTCGATCAGCTTAGTGACTGGGAAGAACCCTCACGAGGGTTTGGACTTGATGTGAAGAGATGACATGATTCTCGATGAGCAGCGAAGTCAGGGTGAAGAGGAATAAAAGCTAATATCAGTCTTTCCGCAACCTGGTTTTGAGAAAGAAGCCATGCCCAGTGTAGAACTACAATATCCCGTAGTCGGATGTACGGAACGGTGAGTGGACAAGAATCTCACTAGGCGACGACTGAGGTTTGCAGGTTCTTGTTACTTCATACGACTACTGTTGGGGAATACCAACCGATCTCTGAACTTCGAAATTGTTTGAGGATCATTCTTGATGGTAAGTATTTCTTTTACCCGATATAGCCCCCTACTCACTCCCCTTTCTGACCCTTCCTCCTTGGGTGGTGTATGTACAGTTCGCTCATTTTTCACCTGGACTTTCTGAATCTTCTTCCTGCCTATGACTCAACAACACCTGATTATTACATACACAAAATACTCTTTTCGAAACACTGACAACCAGTCTACATCCCTCCATCCCATCGTCACATATTCGGTACCCTTTCCGATACTTTTGACCCTTCCTCCTCCCCTCAACCTCATACTCCTCTTCACGCATCCCTCTCTCCAGCTCCGACTGACTCACCCGCCCCTCATCCCGAAGGAACCATAGCAGATTCTCTCCGTCGTGCTCTTTCTCGTAATCGTCGTGACGGTCCCGCTTTCCTTCGCGCCATGGATCGTTTCAACTCTGCGATCAAAGATCTTCAGAAGCAAGGTTTACTTAGATCATACTTGAGAGAAAGACCGAAAAGTTTAACTCAAAGGGAATGGGGAAGAGTGGTGGAAGTGGTACATGAACAAGCTTATGCAAGAACGGTAGGACCTTGGTCACATGAATTAGAACATCATCCTAAACATCCGGACGAGGTGGCCAAAGTGATCACAGCGAAAGAAGATAGTTATGGAGAGTTGAGACATGCTTTCGTGAATAAAGTTATTGAACAAACTAAATTGAGTTCAGGGTCGGTTTTGTGAGTCTCACTATCACTTCTGTCATTCCCTTCTGTCCCAGCTACCCGATCGTATGACAAGCAAAATCTCCCAGAACTTCATGAAGATGGAACTTTATATAGATGATACGATTGGATATACTGACAGTCAGCGTGGATTTAGGCAGCGGAGTGGGCAATTGCGTCGTTCAAGCTGCTCTTCAAGCAGGGAGTAAAGCATACGGATTCGAACTTCTCCCCATACCATCTCTATGTGCTAGGAGACAAGTGGAAGAGGTCAAAAGACGTTGGGCCATGTGGTGTTTGAAAGGAAACGATGAGGTAGAGGTTCATGAATGTGATTTCAGAGGGAATGAAGAGGTCATGAGACGGTTAAGAGAAGCTGATGTCGTGGTGGGTCAAGTCTCCTACTTCACCTAAACCTTATGACCCGTCCGTGTTCCGTAGCCCTCGCTGAGATTCTTCGTGCTTATCAATCTTCGATGTTTTTGAGTCAACATAGGGGAGGGGATGATAGCCTCGGCTTTCTCCTCTCATCATTCTTCGACGTTCCAGAATCGTCTTCGGGGAGGGGCTATCGATGTGGAGAAATCAGCGCCGTGCTAATGATCAGTTGGTCAATAACGAAGTATTCCCTTCTTCTCTCAATATTGAACTAGAACACATGTTCCTCGATTTGAAAGAAGGTGCGACGATCGTCAGTTTAAAACCTTTCGTCTCGGAATCATTCCGTATGACAGAATCGAATGTGAGTGTGGGCTTTCCTTCTTCCCTTCTCCCCTTCTTTGTTGTCACCCTCACTCAACAACCCATCGATCCTCATCCACCTCACTTGGTGAGAATGTCAGACATAAGCTAGAGAAGGGAGTAATACTTGTGATATCAGGAAAACGGTGCTGACAATCAGTGCGATTCATTCGCCGCTATCGTCCGTTCTACCTCGCATACCTACGCACGCGATTGGGTGTCGTGGAAAGGCGATTCGGGAGGATATCATTGTCAAGTGATCGATCGTTCTATGAGGAGGAAGTTCGAGGAAGGATTGAGAAAAACGTCCCGACGAGTGTAGTCTGTAATCCTTAAACTATTGGGAGAGAAAGTGAGATGTGCTGGTTTGCGAAAGGAAAGGTAATTTTAGAAGCCGTGATCGTGATTGGTGTTGTTGTCATACGCGGGTCTCAAATGTCTTGAGCTGCAATGCTTCCTGTTAGTAGGGGATGCTTCAAGTGCTGATAGTAGTGAAGATGGGGATGCCCTAATTGCTTGATGGTAGTGAAGAGTGATGTGAATGCAAAGAATGCTATGACTTTTTGACGTGATTAACGATTTCTCCTTCCCTACTCCACCTCTGACTCCGACTTCTTCTGAAACCCTCGATTCCCCTTTCCCAACCCCCGTCAACCCACTCTGATAATTTCGGAGTTCTCATACTTCTTACCTCATTCCATCTGAGTAACACCAACTTGAGCAGGTCTCAAAACTCTATTCCCAATCATCCATCCTTCTTTCTGTACGTCAAATACCTCTCCTGGTCCCCATTCACTCTTTTCTTCCTTTATCTCATCAACTTTCCCTTCCGAATCACTCAAACCACCATCCTCTCTAACCTTAGAAATCGGTACTGATTCTTTAGGTATTTGAAAAACAGCTTCATGTAAATTAGGATCAAATTTCTCTCCTAAAATCTTTTCAAAAGGTTTAACACCATTCCTAGCTAAAGTCGCACATAAAGCTTTATGAGTTAATTGAACACCTTTATATAATTGATATAAAGATTTGTTCTCTTCTGTTGAGGTTGGAGCTGGAACGGAAGATAATGCTAATGATAAATCATCCGCTGTTGATAATAATGAACGAGCGAAAGATGAGATTGCGAATTCTGATGCTTTTTGACGTTCTTCTATTCCACGTCGAGTGGCTGTTTGAACTTCCGCTCGGGTGTATAAAAGGTCTTTCTGATGATGAGTTTTACTTTAACTTTTATATCATTTTGGTATGCTTCAATAATCTTCCTCTCGAGTACATTTCTAATCTCCAGGGTTCCACACCGTTTATTTGGGGAACCAATTCGTTTGATTTCTGACTTTTTTATGGGTGTAGTATGGATGATGTCTGCCAGTCCACAAGACCTCCTGGAATCTTAAAACATCCTCTTATGTTGAAATTTATATTGAAAAAGACCTTTCCCAGAGGTGTATTTATTGACGTGAGATACTACAGTTTGCCTCCAAATTCGAGGGGAAAAGAAGGAGAAGTGTCAAGGTAAATGGGAGAAAGTAAACTAAATGACCCACCTCCAACTCTTTGATCCTACTTTCTAAACTCGCGATTTTCTCTTCCGTAGCTTTCTTCTCCACTTCTAACTTCCCATCCTTCACCTCCGTCGTTGACCCCGTTCCTACTTGTGTCGCCTCTGGTTTCACCTCGCCACCATCTGTTTCCAACCCAGCAGTTGACGAGTATGGTCGGAAATAACTTCGATGAGTCGTAGATGAAATGGATGCAATTCTCGGGAGTGGTCTGATTGGTACAGTTAGAGATTGACGAGTTAAACGAAGAACGATTGATGGTCTAGTCATGATGTACGGCGTATACAAAGTCGTAAGTGTGACTTTTGAAAGTTAGTGGTCACACTCCTGCCCCGACATTTCATTTTCCTATCCGACCAAAATGCCACATACAAATCAAGTTGTATTCCCGAAAACGCCGTGTTCCCATTCCTCCTTTGTGTGGTGCCACTCCGAACGTTTGGACTAGGATACGTTGTGGCACCTTCCCTCACCGCCACCTTGAACACCACCTCCCCCTTACACAAGTACAAGCCCACCACCTAGACTCTTCCATCGTCTTCAGACGGTTCACCGTCGAATCCGTCGACAAATTATACATCTTGATTTCACCCGTATCACCCTTTCAGGTGATCATCCCCACAGAAAAAAATTCCCATTGCCCCCCTTCCAGCCCCTTTTCCCGATATTCATCACCAAACCATGCCACCTCCCGTTTCTGCTGAACGTGGCGAAACCTCTCTTCCTGACCAAATCACCAACTCTGAGGATTTAACACCTCTCCCTGAAAACGAAACTCCTGTACTTCAAATAGATCCGGATCTAGTAGATCTCCCAGCTCCAGCTCATAACCCTCCTTCTCATGAGGTCGAACATGAAATCGACGAACATGAACCTCCGACACTTGCAAGTATCAAACCGGACGCTCCTATGGGTATAACGGAGAGTATAGCGAGTGCACCTAATCCTCGTCATACGGATTTCACACCACCTGATTTTGATAAGGTTGAAGAAGAAGAGGAAGGGGGTATACCTGGAAGTCCGACCACAAAAGCTATAAGAGCTGTTGCTCCTCCGAATGCAATGATGCCAGATCCTAAATGGCCTCCTGTGAGTTTTACATCTCTTTCTTAAAACTCCTTCGTCATGTTTTGCTAGTGAGAGAATGGCAGCCCTGTACCGCACCTCAGAGTTGGTGGGGTGGACCACTTGGAGGACATGTCATGGGAAGAGGATGTGTCATGTGAAGAGGGCGATGAGACAAGTGTGATTTGGAGAAACAAAAAAGTGGAGGAATGATAGTTTTGAATGTGGCAATATCTGTCTTGGAGATAATGCAATAAGATACATGGCTGACTTATAGCCCCCACCGAATGCAAGTGTTAATTTGTTCATTGGACGAGCATTGTTATCCCACGGTAATGATAATTGGCCATTGGTGAGTGCTTCTACCACATGTATAGAATGTTGTTGACACTTTCTCTTCCATCACTCCTGCAACATCTTTACCATTACAAATATGAACGCCGCCCTCCACGTAAATATCATTCTTCTTCCACATTCAATCTTGATGCCTCCTCCCACCGTGAACTACTTCCCCGAATTTTCCTTCCCCCTCTCAGAAACCAAACGACATCGTCAATTGGATCCGAAAGCACTATCCCTCCGAATGGGACGGTGACGAAGGTCGCTGTTCCGCTCATCGCGTCCGAACTTATCTCGCTCGTAAAGGTGCCGACATGTATTACGAAAAACTGAATCAAGGTTGTATAGCCGGTTGGCGTATTCGTCAAAATCATCTTTGGAGATTCGAAAATGGTGGTTTTCAAGGTCGTGGAATGAAACAAGAAGAAGCTATAGCTCAAGCACAAAAAGAATCAGAAGCAGTAGCAACTGCAGCTCATAAACTTGCCGCTGCAGAAGCTTTAGCTCAAGGTCATCCAGGTATAAAAGTTTCAATGTCAACAGCTGGTATTTCCGATGGTGGACCAACAAACAAACGTCAACGTGTTAAAGGTCCCTCACAATCACGTCGTAATCGTAAAAAAGAAGATTTATCATCCGGTTTAGGTGATCAAAGTTTTTACCAAGCTACTGCCAATTTCGATTTATCTTCCGCAAATGGTACGACTGGTGAAGGAAGTGGTGAACAAACCGATACAAGTGGATTACCTATTGATCCAATGTTAATACCTGATCAACAAGAAGATGGAATGGATATCAATATGGTTCATCAAGCTATGCAAGCTGCTGCAGCTGCTAATGCGGGTCAAATTGATGAGTTGGAAATTGGTATGCCATTACCTATTGAGATGCAAATGCATGGAGAGGGTGATGAAGGTGATGAAAGGTATAGAGGGGATGAACAATTTTATGGGAATTCAAGTCAAACGGGTCATTCGTATGGTTCTGGGAATTATGGATACGAAGGAGGACAGGTTTATGGGTATCAACAACGGTGATAAATCTTCGCATTTAGTCGGATATCAGAGAGATTATCCATGCGTTGCGTGGGTGTTTAGTGTGGAGTAGTGGGAAGGGGGTGTGTGGGTTGTCATGTGTGGGCTGCGAGTAGGTGGTCATGACCATGAGCATATGTGAAGGGACGAACGGTGTGTAGATAAGGGAAAAGATTTAGGGGTTGTAGAAGTTTTTGATGTATACCCAATAAGGCTTTTCAGAATATCAATTACGAAGGAGAGAGCTGAGGACTGACCACAGCTCCAAACTTTGAAAGTCAAAAAAACAAAGTACGAGTAGGAGAAATACAGGTCGGTCGGTGCCTTTGATGCACAGGGGTGAAACATCAGTCGTCAATCACCCATCACCCATCAACGGCACGAGACACAAACGCACACAATCCTCATCCCCGTCCTTCCAATCATTTTCCCCTTTAGAAGGCCAACTTCGGGCAGATTCGCCAAGGATGAACAGCATTTTTGCCCCTTTACCCTTTCTTTTTCTCTCACAACTTGATCTCTCCCTTGAGAAAAACCTCATAAAAGGTGAGTGTATAGCCTCTAGAAGTCTCTTCCCGCTCTGCTCGGTCTTGTGAAATAAACATATAAACCAGGACTTTTGATCGTTTTGCCCCCATCTCGTTCTTCTTAAAACCTTCTCCCATCACCCTCACTCAATTCAATAAGCAGAGATAATTGGTCCGTAAGATAAGACAACAAACCAACAGAAGTAGAACATCCACAAGCAGACGAAGAAGAGGGAGAAGAAGGGTGAGAAAAGTCAAGAAAATGTCATTCCATCCTCTACGTCAAACGTTGAGAGCTACTTTGATAGCTGGCTTGTTAGTTTTTGGACATGTATTATTAGGGTCTGCAGCATCAGCTCGTGAGTTTCTTTCTTCTTCTCCTCATAGTCATTTTTTACAATCGCTTCATCCCTTCGCTCGACTTACGCTACTCATCACTCCCCTCTCCCATCTCGGGCTTTTTTTCCCCCTCCTTTCGTCAGAGTGAAAATGGGTTAGACTTCTGGTAGATGCCATTGAATGGCTGGTCAGAAAACGGCCAGGGAGGATTATCCTTTATAGTTCTAAGATCAGGGGGATAGGTGATCCTTTCCAGTCGGAAGACATGTCGAGTGGGTGGATCGCACCGCACGAGTTGTGACTACTAGACATCGAGGAGTTAGTTGAGAGTTATCTGCTCAAGGCAGTTGGGAAGAGTCAGAATTGAGAATTGAGAATTAAGACAGAAATGACTAAAGTGTCGCTCGGTCGCGTACCAGATGTGAAGAGAAGGTTAGGAAGGGATGTGGAATGGGAAAAGGAGAAAATCAGAATAAAAGAAAAAGATGCTAAGTGCTAATAATCTTTCTAGCTAGAAATATCGTCCTACCATTAGCTTCAAACCTACGTACAACCTCAGCTGTCATATTTCTCACTCTGTTATGGCAATCTTTCACATTACTCGAATTGGTAGATGCTCGTCATACGGCCGATAGGTTTAATGGAGAATTCGGAATGAATCATATTGGAAGAGATGAGGGAAGAGTTTTCGGGACTACTGCGGTAGAATTTATACATAATTCAGTTTTACTTGGTGCTTGGGCAGGTGAGTGATCTTTACTTCCTCTGTGATCTCAACTTTGTTGGTCATCCTACTCTGACTTTGTCCAACGTCGTCGCCTCTGTCCAACCTCCTCAGCCAGTGTTCCGACCTCCGCAGCCTGTGTCCAACCTCTCAACAGAAAGGTGGAACATGTTGGCGGATACTTTGAACAGGTGGACTTCTCCCTGTAAGATGGATGTACGATGTGGGTGAACCTGTAGGATCTTCCTCGTGGTTCGATGTTCGGGATACGAGATGATAGGAGTTCATTGATTTTCGGAGGTGGACAGCTGAGTGGGCAATTTTGAGAATTGTATATCATAAAGGTCAATGACGCTGATAGACAGCTTGGTCAACAACCGCTCTTGACTCTTTCTCCGCCTTGTCCATGGCCTCTTCTCTCAATCTTGAATTAGGTGAGTCAATGCGTTTCCTCTCATTTCCTCTGAGTGATTCATCCCTTGAGCAATTGAGATCACTTGTGAAATGATGGAACAGTATCACCTAAGGAATGATGGAACAGTATCACTTGCGAAACGATGAAAGAGCATCACTCACGAAACGATGAAGAAGAGAAATATTCCACTGACAAGACAGTATTCCTTCCCGCCACGGCGACCATCATCCTCATCAGTGTCCTCCTCCTTCAAACCCAATTAGTTCTCAGCATAGCCCGTCATGCCTACACTCACGGTGGTATTTTCACTTCCGACTTTTGGCGCGGTCGTACAGGTTGGTGGACCGAACGTGTGAGGTTAGACGTCGAGAACATTCCTTCGGAAACACCAACCTTGTCTGTCGTCCAAGTTGAAGTACCGGAGAAATTAATTTCACCTTGATATTTCCATCTTCCTCCTCTCTCTTCTCTCTCGAGATCTTCTCTAATGAAATTGAATTTTGACGAAGAGGAACAATGTGGATAATTGTAATGTAATGTATGTCCTACATCATTAGAGCTGGGATGATGTAAGATAGCTTTTTTTTAATCAGTACACATATGTCATATGCAATCATTTAGCCATGTCTTAGTCAATACGCAGACAAATACCATACACCCTTGTTCACAAATCCCTCAATTCCACCAAAAAATATAAACAAATCAACAATTTTCACATTCAGACCATTATGCACATATCCTTCGTTTGAATTTCGTTAAGACTCTTCAACCATGGCGTCGACCCAAGATTCCGTCCTTTTTCTCGTCATTCGTGGTCTTTTCACATCTTCTCCCATCCCCTTGTCTTTCACTGACCGATCCTCTTGAGTTTCCCCGAAACCCATGCTTGGTTTCTCGACCAACATACCTGTACTCATGGGCGGGGGTAAAGGTATTATGGTCGGTTCATCTTCCAGATCTTCCTTTTTCGTTAACCCCTCTTTCTTCTGATCAGGCAGGGTCATGTCTTTGACACCGTTGGCAATTTCTTTGGGAGGGTCGAATGAGGCTGAGAGTCGAGCGGCAGCAATGTCCTCTGAAAGCTCTGCCACCTCCGCTTCGTCTGATAAAGTTGGTTCGGATACATCAGGCCCAGAAGAAACGGATTCGAAACCCGCATCGTCGCCTTCACCCCAGCAAGGGGGTTCTTCTTGTATCGTGAAGATCTTCTGAGGAAGCTACGAGTCAGCCAAAACTCAAGTCGTTATGGATATGGCGGTACACTTACCTGAGCGACACGAGAGCAGAAATCTTCAAAATCCGCTTCATCTTTACATACAAATCCTAGCAACATGCTAGGATCTAAGCCAGATAATGGTATTTTCCGAACTTTATCACAGTGGAACGTTCCCAGTTGAGCCTTGGAGTATGCCGTAGCGTACCATGCCGCCTGAGGCTCGACCGCCAACTCCGATTTCTGTTGCGGAGAGGTAGGAGCTCTTGTTGGAGAAGCTTTTCGTGGGGTGGAGGCAGACGCGAGGAATGGGTCTTCAAGACCAGAGGACGTTTCGTGAACACGGTTTGAAGTAGGGATAGCTTGAGGTAATCCAGATGGTAAAGGGTCACTGTGATTATTGACACTCAGCCGTCGAGCAGGTCGGACAGTCCGTTGATGTCTCGCTTGAGTAGGAGAGGACGAATCGCTCTCCGAATCAGACATATCGTCCACGTCCACAACGTCGAGTTTGTACTTGGCATCTGGGGACATTGTTTTGCTGGGAGAATCAACAATGACCACCTCTTCTTGATCCTCCACCGGCAAATAGTCAGGATTGATAGGTATCTCCACTTTTGGGGATGCAGCAGGTGGAACCTGTAACGGGACCGCAGGACGAGTGAAGTGAGGGTCAAGATAAACCAAGGAATTGGCTTGTGTCCCAACAAAGTAATATGAAGAAGACGGTCTTCCGCCTGCGATCCCTACAGATTGAGGGAAGGTGAAAAGAGCTTTGATGGATTCGTAGTACAGAGGATTGACACCATCCAATCCTAGTCGTATACCAATAAGGACGAGGACGGCTCTATTTCCCCAGGAAGTCGAAGAGCGACTGGACGACGACTGGCGCCGTGGCGGTGCAGACTCGTCTGACCACCCGGTGGATTGTAGGTTGGAAGCGGAATACACATCAGACTTGTAGACAATACTGTCAACGGCCGTCGCGACCGCCATGCCAGAGGGAGGAAACGAGTTGACCAGCGTTCTGCATATCAGTCTGGCTGATGGGGCGTGATTGAGAGGGCTTACTTCAGGGCTCCTGCTGCAGTACTGGGTCCGAACCACTCCCCCACCTCTTTGCCCAATTCTTTACCGATGAGCGCAATACGATGCACACTGAAAGGGCACAAGGGTGACGGATCGTCCAGGAACCAAGACAAAATCCGGACATATGAGCTATAAGCTTCGAGCTCGGCTAGGTGTGCCGCTGAGGTCGGTGGAACTTGAGGTTGGGAAGGCACTCGCCAATCTGCCATGGTCAGCGGAGTAAATCGCCTTGCCGAAAGACTCACCTCGACCGAGATGTAAATGTATCAAGGCGTTTGCCAATAAGCTTTGCCCAGTTCTCAGCATGCATCCCCAACCGGCATCCGTCGTCAAGCCTCTCTCCTCCGACCGAGCCCAATTCCACGGGGAGGTCGATGGTCGCGAAGGAAGAGATGGAAGGGTGGCGGAAGATTGCCGAGAGAGGTCTACCGTCATATCCGCTGGCGGACCGAATGCAGAGTAGTACGCCTCAGGGGTAGGAATCAAGAGTTCGTGAGGTATGTACAGGATTGGTGCGTATTGTGAGCGATATGTACACCACACACGTGACTTGAAATCGTCATAGACTATCGGGTCAGCTCGAGCTCGACAAAAGCCAACAGCGAACACCAACATTGATCTGGCCATCTCAGGACCTCTCTTTCCTTCTTATCTTTCTTCGCCTTCCCTGGGCTATCCGAAGGCGGATCTCCTTCTCTGCTCGGTGAACCGGTAGAAGGAAGAGCCAGAGATAAAGTCGAAGAGGAAAAGAGATTGGTTATTGATTTCTGCGGAGATGTGGAGGATGTTGGGTCCTTGGACCTTCTCGTCCAAGCCGTGGGTCGTAAGCCAGCATCATGCTTGGTGTGTGGAGAAAGTTTGTTTGAGGTCCCAGAGTTCATCCGTCTTTCCTCAACAGATGGATCTGGGGGCAAAGGTAGCGGACGGCCGGTCGGCGTCGATGGTCGCCAGCCAGGATGACCCACGCCCAAGACCCATATCGTATCGGGGCATTTGTCTGGCTGGGCCTCAGAGTCAAGAAGATGTCGCACACCATCGACAGCTTTTTGCCTTGCTGCATTGAGGAAGCTTGCGGCGGCTGATTGTTGTTTCCGAGCGGGAGAAGGAGGATTACCGGATGGACCTCCATTGGCTGACCCACTCGAGCTATCCGCGACGGCGGACGAGGAGGACGAAGGAAGGAGATGGGAGAACCAGGTGGACATGCGAGTCGGGAAATTTTCAGTCGATCTTTGTCCAGGAGGCGCAGGCTGCGGAAGAGCTTGTCGGGACAAGGTAGGAACTGACGCACTGAAGCTTGACATTTGTCTCTGAGGGATTGGATGAAGTTGTTCGAAGTTGGAATCTTGAATGGATGATGATCGTGATCTTATAGACATTGAGGTAGCCGTCCAAGATGTCTGTGAATCATGGGAACGGCGTCGAGCATGGCCGGCATGAGGAGGCGGGGGAGGCGACCGCGTTCTGGATCCACCAGAAGTGGGTCGAGGTTGATTTGCTGGTATACGGAAAGAGCTGTGGGTAGTGGAATGCGAGTCGTTGGATGTCACCGAAGAATACGAAGTTTGTCTTTGATCAAGCGCATTTATGGACGTGAAACTATTCGGCGTCACAGCACCGGAAGAATCTCCTTCCCCCGACCGATCCCTGTTCCTGTCTCTTGAGAAGAGCTGCGAAGTCTTCTTCACCAACGCTCGTCCCTTAGAGGGTCTCTTTTCTTTGGGAGGTACTTCGGTCAGTTGAGAGTCGAACAGCGGTTGATCTTTTTCCATAGGTGAAAGACGGTCCAAACTTTCACTTGGCCGACCACTCTGGTGTTGACCATTTGCGACATGTCCTTCCAGCGTCCATCCCTCTTCCTCGTCTCCCTCTTTCCCGATGATGTTGGTGAGAGGTTCACGATCCTTTTTGCGCAGCTTCAAGCCTTTGCGAGAGGCCGCACCGAGCGAGCGGCCTTTTGGGGGTGGAAGACGATCTGGTGGAGGAGGCGGTGGTAAGTTTGGGTGTGGTCGCGATGGATGGATATTTATCGTGGGTATGTTATGAGTAGAGGAAGATGCGTGTGAAGAAGATGTGGATGAAGAAGTGGGGGAAGTGGTGGTGTGAAGAGTTGGCATCTTGTGATTTTGGTTAAGGGGGAAAGGGTGCTGCGTATGTCAGCATAAGTCTCACATAGTCGCCACCGACCGGGCCGTCCTGGGTTCGGATAACAGACATCAACAAGTAGTTACGACCAAACAGCTCACCTCAGACTGCCCTTGTCACCGTGTTGATGTTGTCATGAAGTATGGAAATGGCGGATGATGGGAGGGCGGGTCGTACGTGACTGGGCACTGATGGGCGTCGCGAGAAGGGACAGCCGGGCTTTGAATAATGGGATTCAGTCTGTTCGTTTGTGTGTTTTCGTGGATGCCGCTGATCTCAGCGTCTGCCTGGTAACGTCGGGCTGGAATGAGAAGGGGTAGATCTGGGTAAGTAGCCTATGAGGGAATGGTCTTTCATAGAGAGCATGATGGTGTTGAGTGTGACCGTCACTGGGCAGAGCGCGCACAATGACGTGTCTTTACTGAAGGGGGACCATGTGGGGCTCCACGACGACCTCACTTCACCTGCTCTGTGCGCGCGTAGGGATAATCCTGACGGAGCTCGAATTAATCCCGACGTAAATTTGGCCATTTCCCACAAATCTCGTCACAACTGGCGAGGATCCCTGCGCTTTGTCAATATTGAGAATTATTGAGATGTAAAAGGTGTAGAGTGATCCTACACAGTTCAGGATGCATAAAATGCAGAGAGATCAGTTGAATCATGCATAGGGAGCCTGCTACAATGGCTTTCGGACCTGTTTCGGATTATGTGATCCCCCCCTTTAAACCCAAAATATCACTTTCGGACCACTTTCGGGCGTTTTCGGACGCGTTTCGGAGCTGTCAATATGCATGATACACCTGATTTCTCTGCATTGTATGCATCCTGTACTCTCTAGGATCAGTTTACATCTTTTACATCTTGATAATTCTCGATATTGAGTGAGTGTAGGTATTTGGGTAACTAGTGACGGGATCCTCGCGGGTTCTGACGAGATTTGTGGGAAATGGCCAAATTTACGTCGGGATTAATTCGAGCTCCGTCGCGATTATCCAGTTTCGCGCTCTGTGCTGCCAGTTCACTCTTCTCTTTCTCACTCTAACATTTCCTTCTTCACGATGAGAGTTCCACATGATCCTGACCAAGTTTCCACTGCCACGATCACGAATTCTTCCGGACTTTTCACTATCTCAACCAAGGTAGGTCCAGCCACCCAGAGCCCTTCTACCCATTCCGACGCTACCGTCATGACGACCAGCGAGGCCACTGGCTGACGTTGGGGCGGGCATCAGCTGGCCTGTTCAGGAGAGGACATCTGATCCTGTAGCCATCTTCTTTCAGCCCGTATCCGTGAGTGTGATCATATCTGTCACCATTCTGAGCGCTACGAATCCGCTTATACTATCCTAGAAGCTGTCGTGGCATTGGAATTGGAACAAAAACTGGGATCGTGTCCTCCCTGAGACAACTCCCGATCTCAAAATTCCTGCTGAATTTGTCCCCATGATGTCCTCCTCTATTCTGCTTGTGTTGACGCAGCTCATCCGTAGATTCTCTCCCAATCATCTGAACGATGGAGTGGATGTGCCCCAGCAATGGAGGGTTCTCATGGGCTTTAACGAACCCGATCACGATGACCCCTCTGTCGCAACCAAATGCTCACCTGCTGAAGCTGCAGTGGCGTGCGTTTCTCTCGAGTTCGTAAGTCTAGCTGACGGACTTCTAGATGGACTAAGCTTGCCGCTCTGCGCAAGTATCCTCACCAAAAGCTCGTCTCTCCGGGTATAGCTTGGGACTTCGAATGGCTCAGAGCTAGTCTTTCACCTGCCTGTCGGAGCTGGGCTTACGAGATAGAATTTCTTGTCTCTCATTCCGGCGCATATCAAGCCGGACTATCTGAATGTTCACATATACACTACGACCTTCGACTCCTTCCAGTCTCAGGTGAAGAGGTACCACTCAGAATTCGGCCTTCCCCTCATCATTACCGAGTTCGCCATGCATAGTTTCAACCCAATGGTACCCCCACCTCGAAATCAACAACAGGTCCATGACTTTATGGGACAAGTAACACAGTGGCTTGACAAGAAGGACTATATTGCGGCCTACAGCTGGTTCGGTGCGGTGAGAGACGGTGGAAATCTGCATGGAGTTCATCACTTCAATCGACTCATGAACGAAGAGGGAAAGCTCACACCGTTGTGAGTTTCTTCGTGGAGAGAGTCTGTACTGGGAAGACTGACCAGACAGAGGCCGCCAGTACGTGTTTGGAGGGCATACCTAATCGTCGAACAGATACATTGCAACCACGGGTCATTGACCACTTCGGTTCTCACGAGACAAACATGTGTGTAAAATATCCTTTCATAATCCGTCTCCATACACATTACCATATGCATATGCCCCCATTCGAGACACAATGTGCTTCTCGCATCCATGCTTGGAGGGGTTGTAGGATTATCGTGCAGGCTTACCCTCATCCTCTTTTCACTCCTACACGGGGCAAGGTCCTTGGCGACAGGCTGACACGGATGTTTATGAAAGGTGACTCCTGTTCAAGGGGCACAACTCTTGACCACCTGCCATCCTTTCACGTCATCTTGACGGGTCACTGACCTATAAAAACATCGCCTCCGCGGCTAACAGGTTTCTGCACAGTCTCTGTCAGTGGATTATCCGATATCCTCCGGTCGACTTACTCGTCCTTTTCGTCCGTAGCTCTGGCAGCACTCGTTTGGCCCCGACTCACACTCACTCATTTCGACTCACACTCGCTCAATTTGACTTAGATTTCAAGACATGATGCTTGTACGCTCTGTTGCCCTGGTGGCTGCATTAGGCGGGGTACTGGCTGCACCTGCTAATCTTACCAAACGAGCTTCTGGGAAAGTGAGTGGACATAGCTGTTGTCGTATCTATTGCTGACAAGCCAGGCAGGGGTCAGTTGGGCCATACAGGAGCCTGATGCGGCTCCTGTCAAGCAGTTTTTCGGCTCCGGTTCGGTGCGTACTTTCTCGATGTCAACTTCCTTCACCGCTTATGTCAGGCCGTCACGTGGTGGTATGACTGGAACAAGGGCCCCGGGTGGCTAAACGGTTATCAAGGTACAGAGGGAGCGTTCATTCCCATGTGGTCAGTTCCTGCTCGTATGGATGTTGTGGGGTTGCTGACTGGTCCCCCAGCTTCGATACTAGCTGTCTTTCCAATGGGCTTGCATGGGGAGGTGGGCAAATTATGATGGGTTTCAATGAGCCGGGTGAGTCCTCGACTTCTTCTCCCATCTCCATCACATACTTAAGCCCAGACTGTCAGCTGACTTTCCAGACAACGCGGCGTGCGCCAACGTCCAACCTGGTCCCGCAGCAGTGGCGTATGTCCATTGTATATGACAAGCACCTCGCTGACTGGCAGCTGGCCTGGGATCGTGGCGAATGCTCGAGCTACCATGCCGGGTATCAAATTGGCCTCGCCGGCTGTCATGAACCTCGGCAGTTCGTGGTGGCTTCAAGTGAGCAGCGATATCTCTATCACTCAATCATCCAGATGACCCAATACCCAATCATCCTCATATTTTCATCCTCTTGACCTACCACCTGCAATCAATACTGACACGTAGCAATTTTTCGGGGCGATCTGTCCAGGTGGTCTAGCACGATGTTCGGTAGCCCCTGACTATCTCGCTGTACACATCTATACTCTTGACAGCGGAGATTTCATTGGACAATTGCAAGAGTGGAACAGACAATTCCCCACTTTGCCCATTATCGTTAACGAATTCGCCTGTACGGTGAGTGCGCTTTTTACTCCACAAACCTGGCTAATTGTCAGACGTTTGGAGGAGCCATCCCCTCTCAGGCTCAAGTCAACCAGTTCATGAGTAAGTCCCCGCATTGTATCCGAGTCAGTGTTGACGTGCAGATGACGTCACAACATTCATGGATGACACCCCTTGGGTCGTGTGAGTTTCTTTTGATTTCATACCAGGCCTCAAGCTGATTTCGCAGCAAGTACGCTTGGTTCGGAGCTGCGGCGAACAGCTTTGATCTTCATGGTGTAGCCGAAGCCAATCGACTCGTTGACCAAAGCGGAACCATCACCGCCTTGTGAGTTCTGGTCCCGTCGGTAGGATCTACGCTGATAATCAAGGGGAAAGCAGTACGTCGCTGGAGGTCGTCTTTAGACTGATGGTCCACATTGGGACTACTGACACGATTACTACTTACCTACTCATCTCAATGACGTCGGTAATGACGATCACTTACTGAACTCGACTGATCTCGAGTATTTGATTTTTGATCTTGTACAATATTCACTCATGGCTGTTCATGCACTGTGTTTTCGCCTTAGCACTGATGACTTCTCACTGGCCTCACTGGAACCGAAGCGTAATATGTAGGATTTGCTGATCTTTCCTCAATGTGCCATCGAACCGTGCGGTCCACGCTATAACCAATATCATGCCCAATCTCCACTCCTTATCCCAAATACGAATACGATTCCCATATGCGGCATGTGATATTTCTCCTCTGAAAAAATCTGTTTTTGACCGTCAATCCCTTCACCATGAGACCTGTATGAAGTCATTCCTCGTTTGTCTCACCCTTGACGTCCTTTCATCAGTTTTACCGCTCCTCTCACCCCGAAGATCTGGTTGTGTTTCGTTATCAAGCCCTACCACTCCCATGCATACGGTATATTTCGTCATAAGGGGTATCGGTCAGTAATCTGATTTGGTCTTTCTCCTCAATACCGGCCTTCAGCGATCTTCTTCCTCTTTATACCTCCCTTCCGCTGCTCATTTCTTCCTTCCGCGCTGAATCTCTTCTTGCAGCAACAACAGGACATTTTGTAAAATGTTGATTGTTCTACTGACCACTGTTATTCTCGCAGGTCGAAGGTGTAACGCTGCTCCTCACAAACGTGCTTCCAGCGGAAAAGTAAGTATTCTGTTATGATATGATTGGGCTGATAAAAAGGCAGGAATAAGTTGGCCAGTACAGGAAACCACAGCTCAACCTATCGATGCGTTCTTTTCTTCCGGTGCAGTAAGTTCAGTCAATTCTTACAATCCATCACCTCCCCCCCTCTCTTTTGTTCTCTCCTCTGATCAGATTCCGGTGCTCGAGTCAAATCTCCAAACCCTTCCTCCCTCTTTTTGTAGTTTGATCAGATGGACTTGGTGGGTGTTGGTTATGGTAGCGAGGACTGATTAGTAGAGCGTAACTTGGTGGTTCGACTGGAATAAAAACTATGGTCCAAGTGCAGCTTTACCCAATACTCCTACGGGATATCAAGCTCCTGGCGAGTTTATTCCTACCGTGTGAGTGTGACCTATGATTTCTTGTCGTCTATGTGTCGTCCATCCGTTCGCTACCCCTTGACCTCTTTCGTTCTGATATGCTTCCTTCGCTATCCTTGGCCGTTGGACAGTCATATTATGGTTGTACGTTCTTGAATGCAGAAGGCAAGATTCTGATGGTCAGTTATGCACCTTCATACCTGACAGACGGATTATATTACCAATCTGGTTTCCAAGAAATTATGGGGTTCAACGAACCTGATCTAGCCCAACAGGGAACGTCAACGCCTGAAGTTGCTGCTTCTGCGTGAGTTATTCTTCATGTCTGCTCTGATCTCCGCCTTCACCTTCCTTATCTCACACACACGTGGAAGTCGGCTTAGATTTTCATCTGTCATCTCGATAGAGAAATACATTTTGATAGCTCTGACACAGCGTTTTAGAGGGATGAACAATGCTTAGGGTCAAAAAATGGGGGACGGAATGAGATGTTCGTGATCGGAGAACTGACAATTAGATGGACCCAGTTGGTCGATACTGCTCGGGGTACCAACCCATCAGTCAAGCTTATCTCCCCAGCAGTAGCATTCAACCAAACTTGGTTATCCGTATGTCTCCTTCCCCACCATTCGCCGTCGTTTTACCCTCTGAGAGGAGATAGTTAAGAGTCTGACGGATAGTCTTTCTTCGACAATATATGTCCCGGTTGGTCACCTACTAAATGGGGACAATTAGGATGTCAATATGCTCCTGATTATGTGGCTGTACATATGTACACTACGGATTTTGATGGGTTTACAAGTGGTGTTGGGTCTTATCATTCCACTTTTGGTTTACCAGTGGTCGTCTCGGAATTCGCGGCGTATGTGAGTATCACTTCTTACCTTCCCTGGCGCCCGGACTTGCCTTCCGATCCCGCGTCCAATTGCCCCCTTCCCTCTTGTTTTTAGACTTTGGGTTTCCAGCGAGAGACCATGTGGTATGGCACCCTTTGGACGAGTTGACGAAATGAGGGTGAGCAATTTTAGTGAAGAATGAGAAGACGTGATAAAGTCTAGGATGGAGAAGAAGCTGACAAATTACTAGTCATTCGATTCCAGCTCGGGTCTAGATGCAGCAGGGACGAGTGCTTTTATGGGTAAATACCTTTCCATATTTCCCCAATATCACACATTCCAGCATTTACATAACACCTCTTACAGCCTGAACCCCCCACACAAGATCTCGGACACCTGTCTCACCCCTTTGGAGTATACAAATACCAAGACTAGAACTATATGAGATGTAGATCCAGCTGACTTGAAAGCGAGTACGACTCAATGGCTCGATTCACAAGATTGGGTGATCAAATACGCTTGGTTTGGAGCTATGAGAAACCCAGCTTTTCTTTATGGTGTAAGTCAAGAGAATCAGTTGATGGATACCAATGGTGCCCTTACTGCTTTGTGAGTCGTCTTTCTCACTGAGCTGGACCGATGGAGTCTGTTCGATATTCTTGGAGAAAGATTGATGAAATAGGGGTCAACAGTACGTTGCCGGAGGTCAAGTTTCGTAGTGACCATCTAAGTATGTACAGTATCATCGTAACCTTTCACGGTTTTGCCCTATGTATCGAATTACCATGTACTAATCCCCATATCGACATTGACTAACATTGATCAGATTAACAAGCTGGTGAACTGTTCCATCATTATCAGGTGCAAAACTAAGGGGGATGTGTAGGAGGTGGTGGCAAGAGGAAGATATTCAGTGATTTGCAAAAAAGAAGTGATACATTGCGAGTTGCTCGAGTCTATCTTCAATAGTACATTCAATATCCCCAGGGAGTACCGCCCATACCCATCCCATAACCTCCCATCGCTGTACCTTGACCCATCGGCAGGGCACCCATGCCCATACCGTAGTCGCCGAAAAGTCTATTTGGTCAACGTAGCTCTGATCGTGGTTGAGGGTTTTTTTCTCTTCATTTGGGAAGACTCTCAATGCGGACAATTACTTTTGATAAGGGACATGGGACGTCTGATATTTCTTGAGATCGAGGTGGAAGGTCATCACGGCTCGATGGTGTGAAGTTGGGATGAATGGTGGTGGGTGGACTGTGGGTGGTAGCCGATGGAGGGGTGGGTTGATGAGAGGAAAAACAAAATTCACTCACCCACCAGGGGGATACCTTGGCATCTATATGTACCAAGGCATCCTCGGCATCAGCTGTTGTGCCCAAGGAGACATTAAACCACTTGCCCCGTATGCACCACTTCCTAAACCTCCTCCTAACATACCCTGAGATATCAGCGAGACTCGAATCTTGTCATGATGAGTGAATCTGATTAAAACTTACATAACCACCCATACCTCCCATCATCATTGGGTTCATCATACCCATACCTAATCCTCCCATACCTAAGCCGCCCATACCGAGACCGCCGAGACCACCCTGAAAATCATCAGCTACCGCGGGGGAAAGGACGAACCATCATTGGATCCATCATTCCCATTCCACCCATACCCATTCCCCCCATACCCATTCCACCCATACCCATTCCCCCCATCCCCAATCCACCCATGCCCATACCACCCATACCCATACCACCCATACCCATACCACCCATACCCATTCCACCCATACCACCTAATCCACCCATACCTAATCCGCCCATACCCATGCCGCCCATGCCACCCTAATGTCAGATCTCGTCAAGAAATATCACTCACCATCATCATTGGATTCATTCCCTAAATCATCAGCAATCTAACCAAGCAAGCCGGAAGTGGTAGAATGGTTATGATGGTAATGTGAATATTGATGATTAAGCGGGATTGGGGGAATTGAAATTAAGGGTTACTTACCATCATCATCGGATTCATACCCATCATACCCATACCTCCCATACCCATCCCTCCCATACCCATGCCGCCCATACCACCCATACCACCCTGTTGTCGTTCGTGTTGTTGTTGTTGTTGTTGTTGAGGAGGAGGAGGAGGAGTTGGATGGGCAGGAGTACGAGTACCGAGTCGATCACGGAGAATGGCATTACGGATGGCATCAGCTTTGTCTGCGTTTGGTCGGATGGGTCGTTGCATGGCTAGATCGCGGTTCTGAACAGGAGGGGGAGAAGACATGAGTGGCGAAGAAGTATATGTGTAATTACACGATTGTGCAAAGTCATCTTGAAGGGCGTGAGAGAAGCGGACTTGTGAGGAGAAGAGTGAAGAAGGGAGGAAACTCCGACCGCGACCGAGGGCTGTGAAGAGGGTTGAGTTCGGTGCCCGGGTAGTACAGACTGAAGTAGAAGGTGGAAGAGAGAAATAGAAGGATAGAGTATGTGAAAGCAGAATGAGAAGGATAAGAGTGAAGATTGATCTAGGGCGAGAGACGCACCAGCATCATCATTGTATGTGGATCCATCGTGTAATATCCCTACACCTCAGTAGTTGTAACCAATCCCTTCTTCAACCGCCAGTCGTGTATCTTGGCCTTTCGTCGAGTAATAGAGAGTCGATAGTTTTCTCTATCGCAGTCGAGGGCGTTTGTAACGTATTGACGATATGAATGTGATCTGGCCTCTTTGTGTTGGCTTCTTAATCAGTTTTATCCCCAGGGAGACGAATAGCCTTACGCGCTACAAAGACAAAGTCTTTGGTGAATATCTGATCAATCTTCTTCACGCCTTCTTTGTTTCTTATGTTCTGTCAATAGTTGAAAGAAGTCTGAGCGTTGTCGTCGTCGTCGTCTGGTTGAATGATGTTCTTCAAACTTATGTCTTGTGCTGGATCGGACCAAGTCTAACTGATACAAGAGCAAAGCTGAACGGCGATCAACCGACTTGTCAGTGGGGTCTTTCAGTACGATATCACCGAAGGCCAGAGAAGAAAGGAGAGCATCACGGCCGTGAGACGGATGCCACTGAAGTAACTCCCGAGAGGTCGGAAAGAAGGGTATTCGAGGGGGGAAGGGCCCGAAGCATACCGCAAGGGTATCAGACGAAACAAGGGGAAGATGCCAGGATCAACCCCGGGCCGCAGAAATAGTATGTCAAAGGCTGCCTTTCGAGGTCATGATTGGCCGCAAGAGGTAAATAGAGCAGTCTGAACAATTCACCATCAAGGCGCGTGAGAGTGTATGGAATGAAAAATGAGGTGACCGAGGGATATTAGAAAGACTCTGTCGAGGGAAATTTTGCTCCTATTATCGGGTGAACCTCTTTCGGCCGTCATTTCAAGCTTTCTTTTTCGACACCCTCGTTCTGTTGGATGACCGATACATTCGGAGGCAACTCGAACTAGTCAAGCTATAACACGAAGATCCGACATACAGATGACAGCTTGCTACGTAGGTAAAAGTTGAGCTTGTAGGCATGTGGCAGGTCGTTACGAGTGTGGCACAGACAATACATACGTTTATCCTGCCTGTGCCTATCCTGCACTACTCGTAAAGTAGTATCACCCCCCTCACATTCTTCAACTTTCGCAAGGAACGAACGTGTCAACGAACAGCTGAAACATTCAGACGGCCTCGACAAACCGGTGGCTGTTTTATCACCTTTCTACACCTCCACCAACGTTTCCCCAAGAAGTCGATGGAAGCAGGTGAATCCTACCCTGATCTCCCCCCCTGAACCGTGAAACTGGTACAGGGAGAAACCTAGAATCCACCGAATTGGGTTCTCGGCGTACGGCTCTCCGGTGGCCGGTGGCAGACACAGGGGCGGTCGTTGGAATCTAGTACGTCACTCTCCTCTTTCACCTATTCTCACTCTGTCAGAGATCAGTTACTGGAATGCATGCGACTATACGATATCTCGGTTCTCGTCTTTCGCCGTCCGCCGAAATCCGTGCCTCGTTGACTTTCCCTTACTTCTTCAACCACATTCCACGGGCAAAAAAGTTTACATTCCAGACGGGCGACAATTCGAATTCCAGTACCAGTAGTATTGAACACGGGCGACATTCCACCTCTCAGCCCCATGCATATAGCTGACCGGTGCAATATGGTCAATTTACTAGATCCTGCAATTCCCTCTTATTTTTTCACCTCATCGATTCTTCCAAAAGGCCTGAAAAAGAGATGCGTTGGTCGCTTTTGGTTGGATCGACATTGATTTTCACTTGGTCATCAGCAACTCCATCCCCACAACCAGCCGCATCAGTCGGGAGACCTCTTCGTCAAGCCACTCGAGAATCAGTCATTGCTTCTATCCGCCGAAAAGCTCTTGGTCCACAACGAAGACAAACGTCTAATGCTCCATATCCCGTATGTCCTGGTGAACAAGCATCAGATTTACTACATGCCTTCCCTTGGGCTGTCTATCCCGATACGATTGGAACGTATGATGAATCTTCCGATTTGATCAGTGCCACAACTGCTACATCATTAGACGCTTGTATATTACTTTGTCAATTGGCTCTTTGTGAGTAATCTACTTTCAACTCTGATCTTCTAGCCAGCGCATAAACATCATATTCCTATCCGAGATTCGGGCTTCAAACTCCAATCGTGCATCCTGGAAAGGAACGCTTGTGTGGCCAGACCGGGTGGGAGGAAGGGAAGGAGAGATTGACGATGATTGGTCGATGATCAGAGCTGATATTACAGTATGCATCGACATTAGCTGGCAACCTTCAGAGGACGACAATTGTTATTTGTTAAGCGGCACTCAAACTGCATTGACATATTCTCCCGGTATCTCAGCTGTGTTCCGGGATAACGCTTGTGCCAGCTTAGCTGGAAGTGGTACGTCGAAGTTCTCCGCCTCGTAGATAGATGTTGACATATAGCCAACGGGAGACCATGTTGTAATATATACACGACTTTGTTATAGGATACATCAGGTGATAGATACTTGTTGAGATTTATACACCAACAAAGGTTCTTTTTCTATCAATTGAGCTGATTTATATTCCACCCTCTCTTATCACATCATGTGAGAATATTTTGTGCCATAGGAGAAAGAGGTCTCCTACAACTCGGTCTCAAACCGTCACGTGCTTGTATCCGTCGACCTCCGTCTACACTTACTTGACACCGACACGGACATTCCATACATAAACTCCAAGCCACAGTACCATGTAAACGTCTTACATACTTCAACAGATGTTCCGAGAACCATTCGACTTACATTCCACTATCGGCCCTACGGGATTAAGGAATGACTCACTCCGCGTTTCTTCATCCATCCATAGTGATATATCGCATCCCTTCTATGTTCCTTGAAAGTTACCGAAAGACCCAACGATCGGGCCGAATCAAAGTTTTCTCTCAAATCTTTCGGTCAAATTGCTTCGGTTCACTTTCGGTTCATTCCATCTTGTTGTTGATTTCGACTTTCTTTTGCTCAAAAACAAGATAACAATTTCAACAAACATAAGAATCGACTTGTTTTCCTTGTTGTTTCATTGACCCACTGACCTTTTCCATTCTAATCTTTCGTCGTCAACTTTAATCTTCACTGTCTTTACTCGACTTGATCTTCTGACCCACTAATTTCGAAACGATCATCAAAAGCAAGTACTCGTACTGTCAATCTTTTTAACAACAATGCGCATTTCTCTTTTGAGCCTCTTCATACTCCCTCTCGCCCTTTCTGCACCTTCTCCTCAACCTGCCAATTCCCCAGGTAAAACACTCCATCAAGCAACAAGGAAATCCGTCATCGATGCTATGCGACGTGAAGCTCTCGGTCTTCGTAGACGACAAACTACAAACGCGCCTTATCCCGTTTGTCCAGGTGAACAAGGTCCCGACGCTACGTATACGTTCGCATGGGCCGTATACCCCAATACGTTAGGAACTTACGAACCGTTCACCGATCAAATTTCATCTACGGAAACGACTTCTTTGGATAATTGTATCTCGGCTTGTGAAGGTTATAGCAGTATGTTCTCATGTTCCCCATTCACTCATCTTTTTTCTCTACCTCATTTGTTTCCCTTTCGTCAGATGGAGATCAACGGAGGAAAATACTCATATTCGGATCGGTAGAAGGGGATGCGGGATTGGAAATACTTGGACAAAGCTTATAACTCAGATTGTATAGATATCAGTTGGAGACCAGCTGCCAATCCTAATTGTTATCTTCTATCTGCTATTCAAACCAATTTACAGGAATTTGACGGTCTTACAGCCGTTTTCCGCGATACGGATTGTGCAGGTATGGCCGCTAGTGGTGAGTGTTTCTCCTGACGTTCTCATCTGACGTGAAGAAGTACGATCTGACAAATAGCAAATGGTCGGGCGTGTTGTAATATCTACACTACTACAGAGTAGTAGCAGTAAAGGAAATTTCATACTCTCCGATCGTATATATCTTCCCTTGACTATAAGCGACGAATGGACGTCGAATATTGGGTTTCAGGATTCAGGATTTTTTATTTTTTGGAAGGACATTACATGGACATTTTTTTTCTGGTTGAGGTGCACTCATCATTGACTCATGACTCACATCCCTCAACCCTGAAATTAAATCTCTGTCACCGCTGACCACTCCGTACCTTCACTAAGAGGAGTAGCATGCTAGTAGCATGTAGCCCTGGTTTAATACTCGTGTTAGGCGTAATGCCGGTCGTGAGGGCGCTGATCTTCCTTGACAATCTGACACTTGAATGATATACCCTGTGTAGACAGATCGTTCGAGTTAATCGATTAGCTCCTTGACGACCGCCCACTTTTCCCAAGGTCACTGGAATCTTCCATTCTACTTTCAAAACATAATCAAATCATCACACCGAAGACCACTACATAATCACGACCGAATCCTCTTCAAAAAAACATCTACAACACTTCGAAAAACAATCACAATGCCCCGAACTCCAACTTCCAAATCCGAAAAAGAAACTAAGCCATACGATCAACCCCCTTCTCCTACTTCCCCATCTCCGAGAAAAAGGAAACCTATCCTAGGCAAGACCTGGACTCCTGAGGAGAAGGTGAAATTGCTTGAAGTGGCTTTGAAAACTGGAGGGAAAGCAAACGGGTTTGAAGGGCAGATAGAAGGTAGAACGGGTCACCAATGTTATCAAACTTGGCAGTGAGTCGAATTTTCATTTTCATATGACGATCGTTCCCTCTTTGCAAATTACACGAGGTTTCATAGTTTCATCTTCTGGTCAGAAATAGAATCGGTGAATCGGAATGGAATCTACGAAAGACGCGAGAGAGAGAGGCAGAAGGAGAGAAACATGGGATAAATGTCAACGAAGGAGAACATGGCTGACGAGAAATGTAGTCATACAGTCTTACCTGCTCTTAAAAAACATCTCTCGTCCGGAGGTAAATGATAATTTCATTTTCTGAAATAAATATCGATGGATGACATGGGTACGTTGAGAAATATCATGAGTACATAGGATGGATATCATACTTACTTTTCTTTGTATATGCAACTCTAGAACAACGTGTAATTATCGTACTGTACTCGTATCGTCTTATCATGAAGAAAACCTCGTCAGCCAAATCACTAATTCGCTCGTCGCTTAGTTTCCTTGACGACGAACCCTTTACCCTTTCATTCCAGTTCTCGACCCTTTCTTGCTTTTCTTTTCCAACTTTCATCCAACTTTCCTCCAACTTTCCTGCAAAATGCCCCGAATCAACTCGGAACCTACGCATGCCAAAGACGTCAAGCCTTATACACTTCCACCGAAGAAAAACACTACGTCCAGCTCACTGGTACACTCTGATCTTACTGAGATCGGAAGACAAGGAGTGAAGAAAGAAGACTCGAGCTTGGTTGTCAAAGAGGAAAGTCAAGCACAAAAAAACGGAAGAGGAAAGATGGAAAAAGTAGGGAGAAAGGCGGGGAAAGAGATTAGAAAAGAAGGAAATCCGCGAGCGGCAAAGGTTTGGACGGGGCAAGAGAAGATCAAATTGTTTGAAGTTATCATGAAGAATGGTCTTAGTACTAAAGGGTTAGAGGGTCATTTTGAAGATAGGACAGGTAAACAATGTTATGATACTTGGCAGTGAGTACTCTCAATTCATCTCTCCACTTGAAAAGTGTCTCTCGAGCCATTCTTTGACGCATGAGATTCAAGTCGAGACACCATACGTGAGTTGGGACTGATGAGTAGAAATACCATGGTTCCCGCTATCAAACGCTTCCTCGCTGAAGGTGCTAAGAAAACTTGACATTGTCATCGGCGTAGGGAACGATAACGATGACAAATGAGAAGGAAGGATATGAAGGCTGACGAGATGGTGGTCGATGATTACATCGATACATCGTTTTCGAAACACAATTGTACGGATAGTCGGATAGTGGGGAGGATGTAAAAATGGATAGTTGTGATAACTTGCGAAGAGATGGGATCATTTCCGCCCTTTTCCACCACCCTTGACTGGCCGTTTACTCTTTGGATGTTTCTTCCGTCTTTCTGTGCACATTGGGCAGATCCACGGTTCAGTTGACGAAGGTGCCGAGTCAAGACCCAGACAAGCCAAGTGGAACTGACCATCAGCCCGGTCCTCTTTCGAATTCCTGCCATCGTTGACTGACTCATGCACCTCACATTGCGGTCCAGTGAGGGATACCTCAGGGTTGAGTCAAGACGAAACAGAGAAAGAGGAAAACTCACCCATTCCACCTCGCACTCATCATCATCACATCCCAACATCTCCCCATAACTGACTTGTTGACAAAGACAATACCTCTTCGTATCCGTGTCACCATCACCACCACCATCCATATCATTATCCTCCTCTTTAACATTCTTCTTCCCATTTGTTGAAGTCCGTTTATGTGCCGGTCTTTCTTCTTCCACATCCAATTCACTTTCCCCTTCCTCATGTTCGTCTTCTCTTCCTCTTTTGACTCCTCTAGCACGAGCTGCTCTACCAGCTTCTTTCACGTCTTTTCCGTTTCCTGCACGGGTAGTAGAGTTCTCACGACTGATAGCCACTCCGCCGCTCACATCCAAGCCCAGCACACCCTTATCGCCCAACATCGACTCCGTCGAAGGGGAAGGTTGCATGCCGAGAGAAGAGGGTTTCAGACCGGTTTGAGATTCCGCGTCGGAACCATCGTCTTGTTGTTCTGCTTTGCGAGCTTTGTTGGCTGCTGCAGCGATCTGTCGTGCGGTTTGCTGAAGGGGGAGTTTGGTGGTATATGCGGAGGATGAACCGAGGGATTCTGCAGGGGAGAATGCACGGATGAGTCTGGACGTAAGTGTTGATTCTGTTTTGACCCATAAGGTGAGAAAAGGTGAGCTTTGAGATCTGTCCAACAAGAAGAGAGTTAGAAACCGATGAGATAGACACTGAACCAAGTAGTGAAGGGGATATCACACTCATGCAAGTGAGTTGGAGGAATGTAAAGTTCGACTTACGGTCTTCTTTTCTTATGTGAAATCCTCTTCTTCTCTCCTCCTCCGTTGGACACCTCATCATCTTCTTTCCCTCCCAATTGCTGTACACGATTCTTCTTCCTCTTGGTCGGCGTCTCGCCCTTATCTGCACTGGGCACTGCCCTTCCGCCAAAAGGAGAGTTGGCAGCTCTGGTCAATCCGCGGCGGGATGAGCCTTGAACAGGAGGAAGGGGTACAGTGAGAGTTTGAGTGTAAGGAGAAGGTGGGGCAGGGACGAAAAGGGTAGAAGCGTCGACTAGGTTTTGTAAATGTTTTTGATGAACGAGGATCTAAGAGTTAGTCATTCATCTTATACTCTAAATCTGGCTCCAATCATCCCCAACGGACCAGTTTCTTCGAAAAGAGATTCAAGACGAGGATGAAGCCTTCCGTTGAGTCATCACTCTCTGAATTGTACATGATCGACGGTCGGCCCACAGGCTTCGCACCTCTCATATAAGATGATCAGCGTGTGACATGAGAGGGAAGGTCGGAAATGACAGTCGGGTGTTAAAGGACAATCAACTTACACCATCACAAGCCCCAGCAGCTACTCTGATCTTATCATCCCCTCCTAATTTATACCTCGCAGCTTCCTCCGCTATCTCCTGTAAGAGCTGAAACCGTTTTTCCGGTCCTACGGTATCGTCACCAATTTGTCCGATCAGTAGATCGAGTTTACGTTCGAGGTTGAGCAGAGTGGCTAATAGGTTAGCCCTATGAATCAAATCTGATATTCCCGTTTTCTTTGTCGCCCACACGTCAAACAGACGCACAGCTCTTCGAAATCCTCACGTCAAGTCAAAGGTGGGATGTGTACGAAAGAAGTGGGGTTACGCGAGAGAAGCAGAGGATAACTGATCATCCAAGTATTGTTGGTCAGATTGAATGATGAGTGTGACAGCCAGCGTTATGGGGCAAGAGGGTCAACGTGATGAATTAAGGAGTGTGAAGAATACACACGGTGATGAAGGGATAAATGACAGAGTACTCGTATGGATGGAACAGCGAAAGAAAACAGGCGACTCACAATACAAAACCGCTCCTAATTCATTTAAATCACTATGGACCCTGGTCAATTCCGGTGGTATCTGCTCAAACGTATCTACCATATCTTGTATGATCAACAGATCATGTGGTTCGTCCGCGCTCGCTGTAGGTGGAGGAGTAGGAGAAGGAGGGACGATGATTTGTTTTGGTGGCATCGTGCGGGTGTGGGGGGCTTGATATCAGCCGGATGGTCTAGGTCCTTCAGAGTTCGAAGTTGATTGTTCTCTCTACAATATCACTCAAATGTATTGGTTGAAGGGATGGAGTATGGTAGTGCACTGGTATTCAGATATGCTGGTGTATTGATGTATTGCTGTAGTTATTGGTAAAGAGGGACGATTGAAGGGGAAGCAAGGAGGAGCTCGGCTTTAAACGGTGAAGGAACAAGCGTGACAGGGTCAGAGTTACGTAATCCGTCACCACATCTGGAAAATGCTCAGTCGTAAAGCTCCCTGCTCTATTTATCTACTACTAAGGGGAATCAGACAAGTTGCGATTGGAAGATGACAGATGAGATGATACAGTATGTGATCGATACTTATATCGGACAGGATGGAGAAAACTTGATCACGATGATATACTGATACATTTTTCTATGTTGCATGATTGTTCTACTTGTACTTTATTCTTCATGTCTTCATGCTCACATTGACTCTCCATGATTTCGATGTCTCACTTATTATGCCTCTTACTTCATGCTCCATGCTCCCATGACCTTGTCATGTGTATCTATTACTTCTCTCTCCCCATGTGAAAAAAAATGTCTAATGTACAGAATGGTGTTTTGTTTTCTCGTCATTTTTCGTCTTTGTGTCATCAACATGTTCATATGTGTCGTTTCCCCCCCTCAACTCTCTCACATATTACCAATACCCTTGACCGAACCTCTCCGCATGATCATTCTCCCTATTCGGTGGAGTATGCCATGATCTTGTCTCTCCCATGGGCCGTTGGCCAGGATTAATACCGGCAATACCCAAACCTGTCTCAACTACCCCGCCACTCGCCCCAGGCAGATACGCATCATCAGCTGTCGATCCCCATATTGCCTCTTCCTCGTTATATTCCTGTGATCCCTCGTTATAGTCATGTGATCTCCATGGGTTGTAGGTGTAACCAGGAGGACCGGCGTTAGCAAATTGAGCAGGCATCGGTTCCGCCCTTTGCCACTCTGGGTCATGATTCGTTTGAGTGGTGGCGGATGATGGTGGAGGAGGAAGATAGATAGGATCAGGTATGTATGGAGATTGGTTGTGGTAAGGCGTCGCATGACTAGAATGTGTGAATCGAGCAATGGGAGAAGGTCGAAGAGATTGTGCTGGTTCTGATCCTGAATAATCGGAGTATTGAGCAGATCGAGGTGGCATGGCGTATGGTTGGATATCAGGGGGGTACATGGGGAAGGCTTCTTGATAATGTAATATTCCTTTTCGAGGAGCACCATCTTGTCCTGGGTGAGGATCGGCCGCTATTGTATAGAACACCAAATGCTGACAAGTCAGCAACGATCTGCGGAGAAACGAAGTCAATCCAACTTACCTCGGGAGGCACATTGGCCGGAAGTTGCATGGACGCGAACGCCGATGTGAGAGCGGAATACAGATCGCGCTGTCCAGACGAGATGTCCACATCCATTGCATGTTGCATCGGGGGCAGCTGCTGGGGCATCTGGGGAGCATTTGCAGGCGTCGGTGCAGGAACATGTCCCACAGATCCTCTTCTGCCATGAAGTTGGTGCGGAAATCTGGCAATTTGTCGGTTTAGAGACGACGACCGACCCAGCCCAGAACCTTCTCCTTGTTGATCCATCACCGGTGCACCGTATACCACATCGGCGTAATTGGGAGTAACTGGATGGGTGAAGCCGGCTTTCCGACTTGGTAGACGCATCTGTTCCATGACCGAGGTTGATGAGCTGGGAAGATCTCCGGCGAACGCGTCGACAGCTGAACGTTTCCTTGGATATTCGGGAGATGCTCGAACAGATCCATAGGGAGTCGTTTTGGCGGGTGAAGCGGTTCGAGCTCGGTATAAACCACCAGGAATGGGTATGGTGGGAGCGGCAATGGACTGAGGGGTGTACAAGCCAGCTTGCGGAATGGTGTAAGGGGAATATGCAAGGCGACTTCGGTTCAAAGCGTTCTCGCGTTCCTTGGCATGAACGAAACCTTCGAGGATCATGTTCCAGTGTTCGTAGTCTTCTTTGTTGACCGTAAGGCTGTATGTCAAACCCTGGAGAAATTCTGCTTCCATCAACTGCAGGGCGTCAGCAACAACTGCTCGAGAAACGGTGTGAACCCACGTTTATCGTCTTAACGTTGTAACCGGAGAGTTCAGCCCAAGTCGCATTGGTATACGTGTTGCTAACCGTCAACTCGGTGCCGAAGCGATCAATAGAGATCAGACTCACTCATCAAGGTATTTATTTGCCAGGATCAAACTCGTCACGAACACTCCCCACTCGCTCCCTTGGGGTAAAGGATAGTCTGCGAGCTGCGTCATTGTTTTGATCCGATAAACGTAGAGCAAGGAGATGACGCTGACGCTGTGAGAGACGAGGGTGACTTGAAGGATGCGGGCAACGTTGTTGATAAAGGACTCTGCTGGTTGGAATTGTAATGGGTTGATGGGAGAAGTAAAGTTCGGGCTGAGGTCCAAAGAGTTGGGTATGTTTCGCGAGGGTGTATTTGGTCGTATTTGAGGGAAGCGTCCGAACCATATGTGCACCAGCAATCCAGCTGATAGTCAGCCACACCATGAAGAGGGAGAGGACATGACTAACCTATGTGGGCGGCCAGAGGTGTCTGAACAGTAGCAGTACCAGCAAAAGATCCCTTCTTCGCCATGTTCATATCAGGCTTCAAAGTCCTCCTTCCTCTGACTGGATCAAACAACTCTGGTGTTGCCAAAGTGGGGTCGAATACGGGTGGAGGTCTAGGTTTAGCAGTTGCCACCGCCCTCTCGGGTCTTAAAGACAGAGGAGCACCGACTCCTATCGACGCCCCAAAGTCAGGCTTGCCATACATGTAGTCCATGATGTCCGCGGGCGACCGACCTGCGAGCGTGGAAGCGGAGGAATGGGCGTACGGATAAGCGTAAGTGACGTCGACTATGAGGGGATCATGCTGGTAGTGATAAGGAGGGGTGAGGGGAGTGAAGTGAGAACTGGATTGTGGTGTGTATGGATATGTATTCATGAGCGAGTGTAGGATTGGGTGATAATGCCGTGATGTATTTGATGAGGGTGGGGCGACTGGTGTGTGAGTTTGACCGAGGGGAAGATAGAGGTGAAGTTTGCCGAACCTCGGAAGAAGATAAGCAAATGGGAATGGGGGATCGAGAAGTGAGAGATGTCTGCATTGATCAGTTGATGCGAATCAATAGTTTTGACCGAGAAGTAAAGAAGTCGGAAAGTGAGAAGAAGTTGGAAAGTGAAGAAGAAGGGTGTGTATAGGGGGGCATGAGAAGGTGTAAAATATGAAAAGAAAAGATTGCTCACTTGAATGTTCAATCTTCCGTTTGGTCAAAGGTGGCGATGATCAAACCCTTGTCTTGACTTTTAAACGTCTTCTTCAAATTCCCAGACCACCAACTGAACTAATACACCTCGTCGGGGGAAACGTTGTGAAGAGAAGGTGGTGAATTATATTGTTTGAGTTCGCCGCGAGTCGGAGAAAGAAGAGTTGATGTGTCACAGAAATCACAAATCTCACAGAGAAGTGTTGTGATCGAGGCAAGGTCTGGCCGTCACACAGATGAAAAAAGAGGGCTATGGCTGCGGTCCCGAAGCAGTGCGGAGGGGTGTGAATGACCGAATGAGGTGTGATAGGAAGGATGAATTAGTGGACAAGTGAGAAAAGGAAATGATGGGACAAGGTTTAACGTATGATCCGCGTGGGTTTTAAAAAATGAGCCTTCCTAAACTTGCACTTGACTGACGACGGCAGATGGAGAGATCCAAGCGCCCAAACGGGTGGCGGCGCAACAACGGCTTGGGCCCGAAGCCCCGAGGGAGGGAGGGAGGGTGATAATAGGATGGGAACAGAGGGAACTAGGAGGGATGAGGGGGATCCGATAGTGTCGGGTAGGGAGGTTTTGGTCCTTTTTTTCCAAGAGGCGTATGAAGTGCGTCACTCCTTCACAGTGAAGCGGAAGAGGGGTGGTTCGGTTTCAACCTTGACCGTGTATGGGATGGGATGAGATGGGATGGGGCTTGAGATCAAAACTGATCGTACCTCGCCGATCTAGTCTCTTTCTATGATGAAAGATGAAGGATCAGTTTGATTGATTGAGTGGGGTGTTCGAGGGGGTGACGACGTGAACGGCAATCTTTTTGCGACTTGGTCCCTTCGGTGGTGGCGAGATCTCGATCCCAATGAAGGCTATACTTGCCGGGTGGACGGAAGGTGCGCAGTACGACCAGCCAGGGAAAAGAACGTACTCGATCGTGCGTGGAATGATTTGATGTTTGATGTGATGGTCACCTTGCAATCGTAATTCGTATATAGCTCGTTTGGTCGTTAAAAATGTCGTCCAATGTCCAAACTTCTACTTAAAACTTCCGGTGTCAAATCTTCTATATTCTTCTGTGATCTTCGTTCGCTACAATGTGATGATGAAGTGATGTTATAATTGAAAAAAGTGATGTCGAGTATGGTCGTAAACCCTTCACCCCTCCGCTTTCAACAGGAAAAACGAGGGGATGAGGGGGAGGGAGGAAGGGAGAGGAAGAGGGAGAACAAAACTTCCCTTACTCCACCTTTGGATGCAACGCGTCTCGGGCAAGTAAAAGCCAAAGGGAGTTGTACAAGATGAGTCGGGTGGAGTCTCCTGAAATGTCTTTAGGACAAAAGAGGATATGGAGATTCAAAGGGATGGTGCTGAAAAATGACGTTTGATTGAATGAAAATCTCTTCAAAACTACGGACTACGGGTTGCTGTGCTGAATTTGCTTAGATGCTAGTTGATTCTTTGTCTCGTTTCGTCTACTTTCGTAGCGAAGCTCAGCTTCCGGACCATGAACGAAACTCGAGGCGGGAAGACTTGTGGTTGGGACACCTTGGAAAAGGCAAGTATGAATGATGATGATCTCTCTTCATTCCCCTTCCCCTGATCATGAAATGTTCGAATGTATCCTCAACGTCTTGCCACCCAACCCACAACGGCCAACTTACCCAAAGAAAGTAAGATATCCGGGGTAAAAGGGTGGAAGAAAATCTCATCTAAAGTTAACCCTCGTCCCTGTATCGATGGATCCGAATCCCTGTTCCATGTTTACCCTGTGCGGCAACAAAGGGAACGGAAATATCAGGGAGACAAAAAAACAATTCGTATAACGGGTACTAAAACTCCATCGTGACACCGAAGCAAAAGACAACCTATGACACTAGTCACTGGTCACACTATGCATTCGAGTGACTTGGAGGCCGGTGGATACAGGTGGAGGTGGAGATGGAAAGGAGGAGACGGAAGGATAAATTTTTGATTGCCACAATTGCATCCTTGCTACAGTACAAGCTACAAACTACATGGATCTCGGGCATCATGGAGGCGTCAATCGACGGGCAAAAACTTGTCATCAGAGGTCAAAGTTCAGAGCGGTTGGCGTCGAATAAGGGGGTCGTACCATGGCTGTCGCAGAGTACGTGGTCCAGGAGACGCGTAGGACGATAATAAGGTTCTCTCGAAGGACAGTAGTAGACACACCACCTTGTCCGGCTTAGACGGGAGCCGAGACATGGTGACAGGGGCGAGCGGTAAGCGGGGTTCGGGCAATTGGGGAAACGGGGAAAGGGTCAAAAATATCAAAGAAAATGGTGACGCGAGATATGGGGTTGTTTCGGCCTGTGTTAGGTAAGGATGGATGCATGGATGCATGACGCGTACCCAGGGCAACGGGGTCAACGGGACGGTGTTCGTGAATGGTGAGGGAAGTGACTTTGGAAGGGAAAAGCTGTGTTTAGCCAAGAACCACGCATCCATTCTTTCAAGGGTGCCCTATGGCCTATGGCCTATGGCTTGCCACCCCCGCCGCCAAAGACCGCACCAAATCTCACAATTCCCCACAACTTCTGCGCGTAGAGCAATAGTCGCGTTAAGGAACATGGGATCTGAATATTCAGGAACGGCTATTATCATGAGGTCATGTGAATGAGAGATTTGGGAAGAATGGTTCCTGCTCCATGCCCCAAGCAAAGCTCCTTGGATCGAACAATACATATCACCCTTGTAACTGACAAAGACACCGGTGTGGTGTGTTAACACCATGTATCGATGCTGACTCTCAACGCGACCGTAAGCAGTCAGAAGCGAAGCATGTTCGCAGCGACGCTACCGAGTCAGGGCGGGATCCCCGGGATCGACTAATCAAGCGCTTTGTCTGACCTCTGTTCGGTTGTCGGATGTTTCACCCTAACTACAACGAGGCAAATAGATATGTCTGATTCGCGTTTTAGTCCATGCCACATTTGGCTTTTGACGATCTGTTTGGTTCAACTATTGACTAGCGTCCCCATCTTCAGATAACTGCCAGATCGGGCCAACACTACTAGTACTCTTTGCACTGTATGAGTATCAAGATCACATCAAGATTTACGCTGTTGAACTCTCTTATCCCCCTTTTCGGCTCTGACACGAAGTTTCGCTTGTTTCTTCGATTCACCGGGTGTACCACTTCCGTTTTTTGTTGTCTCGGGGTCTGGTGAGATGTTGGAACGGGGTCCGAAGAGGGAAGGAAGGAACATTCCTAACAGGGGTTTAAGTGTGTAGAATGCTTTGTATGTACCGAAAATCGGAATCTGTTTATTAGTAGCTGTCCCACTTTGTTGAGCCCGGACTGGAGATAAAGGGGGTGAAGGAGTATCAGGAACTTACGAGCAACATCAACCACCAAATCCATTCGCCTAATAGAGCACTGCCGAGGGTACATATCCAAGTCATGTAAATCCTGTCAGTCAGAGGTCGATTCACCAATATGACACTCCTATCATTCCAGCATGATTTCTGCAACTCATACCATCTCCACGACTGTCTCCAATTGATACAGATTACAGGGAGGAAAATAGAGAGAGGTAATGATCGTATCATGAGCAGAGAGCGAATCGAGCAAGAGGTAAAGAAAAAGAAAGAGAAGACAAGAGCACTTACAGATCCCAAGCTAGCTCAACCACCCCCTTACCTCCTAAATCCTCCCCTGATCTGACCTTCCCATCGCTTCCTATCCTCGGAGTAGAGATCAAAACGAACCATCTCCAGACTGATAAACTCCCTACGAACGATCCGATCTGTAAGACGACAGGTATCAGGCGCGGTATAGCGGATCGGGATGTTATTCGGGATAGTATGAGACGTAAGATCAATGCGGATAACTGAGATTAGTGTATCAATCATGTCTCGTAACTTGTGATGCCACCACATAAAGCTCGTGACTGGAGTCATGACTCTTTCGATCTTCCAAGCTCATGAGATCACTCTTTCCACACCCCAACCTCCTGAGAATCCGTGGAATGTGTCTGAGGAGAGAAGACACACTCGGCCCACCACAGGGGAGAAGTCTCAGGTGATGATGTTAGTTGCAAAGATAAACGAGGGATATTTATCAAAGAGGAAGTACTCACGTTGACTATCAAAAATCCTAAGCGTAGGTTCTTCAACGCTGTCTCATTGGCGGACACGATCCTCTTGGACGAAGCGTTGGCCTGGAGGTCAACCCGCCGTCAGATGATCTTGAAATCAGAAGAACGAATGGTAAAGTAAAACGCACCATTCCCTAGTTCTCGTTGTCCACTATCTTGTCCGTTTCCACTGACCCAATGCTCACAAAGTCACAAGGCGACGGAGACAGCGGCTAGCGGCTACAACGGAGATGGGAAGAAACCACGTGTCCATCATGTGGCAAAACTTGTGCCTGAAACACCAAAAGTCTGAAACTCAGCAAACTAAATAGAAGGCATTCGACTTTTTCCTTAGATATGAAGCATCTCAAAACCACAAACCGATGTACAAAACTATCAGACTACTCGGTAAATCATCTTCGTCTTCTAGATGGTTATCAAGACATTCAAAAGATCCATACGTTCTCAAACGTTCCTCTTCCGATGAGAATTATCGATCAAGATCTTCTTTCAAACTTCTCTCCCTGATCACTCGCTATCCTCTCTTCGGTCAAGGATCTAATGTGGTAGATCTTGGTGCTGCTCCTGGTGGATGGTCACAAGTGGCGGTCAAGTATGTATTCAACAAGCAGAAGCAGGATCAGAAAGTGGCCGATAATAAAGTGGAACAACACAATGTGATGAGAGAGAAAGAAAGAAGAAAAAGAGGAAGTGTATTCGCGCTTGATATACTACCTATGGAACCTATACCTGATGTGGACATCATCACTGGAGATTTTCTAGATGATAATGTGAGAATAGAACTTTTCAAACGTCTAAGGAACTCCAAGATTAACTCGTCATCGAGAGAAGTAGGAGAAGCTCGTACGTTGGATAAAGAAGTTTTACCTTCAATGTATAAGGATATCGAGCTAGGTGAGATAGGAAATGTGGAAGAGAAAGATGAACTATTGTTGGATTGCGTGTTGAGCGATATGATGGCTCCTATGTCTGGTATCAGGATAAGAGATATACAAGCTAGTTTGGATTTAGTACGAGGTGCCACTCAATTCGCCAAGACAGTCCTTCGATCTTCTCCATCTTCTTCTCATTCCTCCCACTCCCCCCTCACAAACCCATCGGATCCGAACGCTTCAACAACCGTACTGAGATCCCCGGGGGGCTCCACTCCCTCTTCCATCTCGGGAACGCTTGACACTTCCTCAAACACCCAAACGGAGTCACTCGGACATGGGGGAACATCTTCAGCGGGTGCTCGTCCAAATGGAAAGAGACCACGGAAAAGCTCGGGTGGGAATCTCGTGTGAGTCCTTCGAAAGTAAACTGCGAAAGGTTGTCCCGTTTGTCATAACAGAGGTATCTCAAGTTTGAGTGGGGAATTCCGTCAATGAAGAGAGTTGTCTCGAATTAAAGAAGACGAAGCAGAAAAGTAGAAGAGAAAGCTGATGGACAGTATGAAATTCTTTTCTCATCCAGATTTAGACGATTTCAAACGACAAGAACTCATACCTTTCTTTGATAAAGTTTTCGTGGATAAACCTAAAGAGAGTAGAAAAGGTCCGTCTTCCTCTCCTCCCTCAATCTCTTCTTAACTTGACATCCATTCGTCTTCTCGTGGCATTCAGTAATGGAACACGGAACCCCAAGTAGTACTCGCAGAGAGAGACGCCGGTAGGAGACAAATTGTGGAAGCTAATATTAAGAATCGAGTGAAGCTTATTTCGTTTGCATGGGTTATAAAGGAATTTGAACCGACTTTCGATTTCCCAATCCGACGAACACCAATGCAAATCACCTTCCCTCAAGACACCAGGTCTTTCAATTACATTTCATTTCATTGACACGACCTCATGACGTTTCCATGTGCGAAATTGTCTCAATCATACGACGAACGTCTTCGCGAGACAAGGCGGTGCTCAACTGTCTCTTGAAGCTTCGTGCTCAACTATCCTACCCGAGTTCTGTGAAGACAACCTATAGAACGCCGAACTCTTTCAATTGTGTAGAAGTCGAGATTTTTCGATATTTGAATCATTGGACATCCTTGAGAGAAAAGTATAAGAACAGTATACATCCTTGTTATTACCCGAGGACACAAGATTTGACGATCTACTCGTTTTCCGCAGTATAAGGCCGAACGACCAACGGTAATCCACATCCTCTAGTCATCAACTCTCCTTGAAGATAAGGACGTGTGGAGAATCTGTCCAATCAGAAACTTCTTCCTCAAATTTATATTCCTCACTTCGTCCAGTAACGAGCAAGAAAATCAGAGCAACGATTCTCGAAGAAGATTGATCAAAGACTCGACCAACTAATTTGTGCATTGGAGAAACTTGATGGATACCAATTCAAAGAGTTTTACACCTTGAACGTTGAAGAGAGGCATCAACCTTTGGGAAAGGGAGAAAAGAAGAGCAACGCATATGTATAACGATAGAAGAGGGAAATGTTGGAGAAGGGTTTATGACATAAACTCACAAATTCCATTTATAAATCTTCCTATTTGGAACAGGCATGAAAATAAATTCCTTTATCAAATTGAATAAGACCAATTTAATCTCTATCATACCTAATTTATACCCTACGCATTTCCTAGGTCCATCGATAAAAGTCAAAAGACCATGATAACCTATGTTCTCCACCACATGTTCATTTTCATTCTCCTGTGTTTGTATCGAAATGGAAACTCTACTTTTTTTCCTTGAAGCTATTGATGAGGTAAAAGCCTGGTTAACGTCTCTATCTTGTGAAATAGAAGTGTCCGTAGGTGACGAAGTGACAGAAGGAAGATTTATAGAACGTCCATCGTAATCGAGCCAATGAGAAGGATCGAATTTCTGTGGAGAAGATCCCCAAGAAGTATGAGTCATATTGAATAATTCGATAGGTATTTGTACCTTTGAGTCAATCATTTGATCACCCCTTTATCCCATTGCTCTTCGATAGCAAAAGTGCGATATCACAGTATGTATCCAGACCCAGACTACTAAACCTCTAATTCTTTCGGTCTGTGCTTCGCTAGCTTCCTGAATCCTCAAGTCCCCAGATCTTTATAGTTCGCAGTCATCATCGAAGGAGCTGGCGGAAGGTTGATGAAATCAGACATGAGAAGTATGAGTGACTTTGAGTCTTGAAGGAGAGAGTCGACAAGTCAAAAACTCACAAATTGGCCTTTTCGAATTCTCACCTCGGTGATTGGTTTACCGTCTGTATTGATTATAGGTGAAGCTAGAGGTATAATATCGTTTTGCGTGGCCTGACGAAGCTATACTCAGGATCAAATTCATTTCTTTCACATTGTCCCTCGATTGTCCCCGCCTCCCACCCCCCGATGTTTTGTTCCATCATAAGCTGAGTAAGGTGGAATTGTCGGGTACCCAGAATACGTTGTATCATCCAGCTCGCTAGATATAAAGGATTGCTTGGAGGAAACTACTATTTGAAACGGGAAGAGAAGAGAAGAGAGAACAACTCACCGTACCCGGTATACTAGGATTACATCTTAATGCCTCCATCATCACAGCGTTGAGGTAGGGTAAATCATCGATATTTTCAAAAGGTAGCTTATCGCCATATGCAAGACATTCAGCCCGGAGTCTTGATTGAAATTCAGGTTGAAGGGCGAGTTGCCAGAGACAAAAAGCGACTGTTCCACTGATTGTTAGTCTGTTTAATCCTTTCGTCCCTTCTTCCCTTTTTCTTTCATTGTATATTGAACACTGAGTTCTCATTGCGAATTCGCGTTCTCCATTTGTCATACGTTTGTGTCACGATCTATGGAAGATGGAGTCAATACGAAGAAATCTGATAAAGTTTCAAGTGACAGTGATCAGGTATACTATGAGTACGCGGGACGAATGAGACTCACGCGCTGGTATCAGATCCAGCAAATTGGAAAGTTGCCAATTGACCAATTATCTCATCTTCTGTCAATTGTTGATCGGGCGGATTGGCCAGATTAGCTCTCACTGCAATTTCAGCTATTTCTAAAGCCTCAAGACATCATACAGTCAAGTCCTGCTTGTTGGCGTCCTGCTCCAGGATCGGTTTTTCGATTTTGACTTTATGGACATATCTTGGATCAAATATTTTAGACTTGGTAGACTAACATGTAGCGAGTGATGGGTGTATTCAGTCGTTGAACAAGGATGACTGATGAAGAGTGAAAAGGAAAGAGGTAGGAATGGAAAACTCACGCATTACACTAATCAAATCCTTCTGATCCTTCGAGTCGTTCCCCTCTGCCATTTCACGTTTTCGTTCTGCTACCCTTTTCTTCGCTAAAGCTTTGAGGGGTCCCATTCCTGCGTTAACCCTGCGTAGATTCTCGGAGGGCTATGAACATCAGTCAAGTTTTCTTTCCTCTCATCCTCTCAAACCACCTCTTTCTCGCCAGTCGGACAATGGTCAGGGAAGCTTAATGATCCTCAACACAGAATGACCATCTGAAAGTTGCAAATCGACACTGAGCGACCTGTAATTGCTAGAAAGACAGGCAGGGTGTGACCGATTTGAAAGGGACAACGAGTAGGGAGGAGATAGGAGTGAGTACGAAGACAGAGTGAAGGGTATGAGAAAATAGAGCTGAAGACGTGCACTCACCCATATCTTATTTAAAAGAGGTAAGATGATCCTCAAATGCTGATCCCAGCTATACATCCCATTATAAGGCTGCATCATCTTTTCATACTTTTCATATATCTTTCCACCCTGTCCATTCCATTCAGCAACACAATCGAAATCGTATCCCAATGTAGTTTGTCCGATGACATCGTAGAAACACCTTAATGTGAGGTCGTAGATATCTATGATACGATAAGTTTCAGGAAGGTTCATCATCAGATCGTCTCGTGTGTAAGGAGGGGATAAAGTAAGGTCTGAACAAAGATCTGCTATCGTATCTCTAAGCTATGAATTCAGTATTCTCCTAGCTCTTGAGTCTTCATACACTTTTCGAAGACATACGGTCGATCTCTAAGACCGACAATGGACAAACTCATTTAAGGACAGACCGTTGGATCGAATTGCTTGTGGTTGTGTAACAAGCTCACAGTGGTGGATTTCATCATGAGAGGGGTTCGGATTTAGTATCAAGGCGTACGGTTAGAAAGGTAAGTTCAGAGGGATAGAGGATCATTCCGTGCTCAACCAGACAGAGATAAGAAGGGGAAATGAAGATAAAGTACTCACTTGCTCAACTTTCTTCTGAATTCCTTCAGTCATATCTTTCAATCCCTGTCGACTAAACAACCTTTGTACAACCTTCCTCTGTAATCTATGTCTCTCCCCTTCGGCAGGAATCAATCCATTCGCCATATATCTCCCCAACAATAATCTCAACCGTTCCGGTTTGACATATAAAGAAGTGTTACCGAATATATGAGAGATAGCTCTTGGGTCTATGGTCACTAAACGAGGATTGACCCATAAGAGACCATTGATTTGAAATGTCTTTCCGAGTTTGGTAACCCATTCATCTAGACCTTGGATGAAATAGTAGCTGCATGTCAATAAGTACACTATAACAACGTCTTTCCCGTTCTCTTCTGTAAAGGAGGCAGGGACTGATGGTATCCATACGAGAGATGAAGACAGGATTGATATAATGGGTGAAAAGGCAATGCAAAGAAAACTCACTCGACCAGAAGAGGATAATGTCCCATCCATCCATTCCCTCCCGGAGGAGCCCTCAATTGTCTAAAAGGAGAGGTAAGTGGTCTCCATACAACATAATGTAAAAACCTCAAGCCGACATACGTCCCAACTAACAACACCACCTCCCCCAAACTCGGTATTCGAATCGGAATCGTCATCAGAAACTTATACACAAACAGCTACAGGCCTTTCTGTCTACTGTGAAACTAGATCACCATGGAACTCCTTTTCTTCGGTCTTCAACATGCCGGATGTCGGTTCTGATATTTACATGTTCAGGTTAGCTAGGTATCATATGTGTAAGTATGTAGTGTTCCGTGCCGCCATGCTGCATGCTGCTCAAAGCACATTTCCGTGCCTAATTAATGATCGTGGTGTTCAGGAACGAATCAAAGAACAAAAAGGATTCGCAGCAAACTATTGTCTTGTGATAACAAATTTCTCGCATACTATTTATGGATATGTGCTACATGCCTACAGTACAGAGGAAGAGAGACAGGGAAATTACCACCCTCCTAACCACCACCTACCCTGTTTCTTCACTCCACCCCCTGCACCTTCATTAGCCACGGCAGCGACAGGTTGAGATTTCGTATCTCCCCCTTGAGGTGATGGACCGCCTTGACCACGCATTTTACGTTCACGCATCTCCGCAAGACCCTGACCACCGCCGGCGGAACCGTCTTGTTCTTTTGGATTAGAGCGAATGGAGACGTTATGGTCGGCTAAAGGTAAGCTCAATTCTGGAACTTTGATAAGCGTTTGAGGGGGTTTCGCCCAGTTCTTAAGAGCAAGTATACGAGTTATGCATCTAGCTACCGATTCTACATAAATATTCCCCTTTCAAGACAGACTGACAAGATATGGCAAGTGGATAAAGAGTCAAACATGTGATGGAGAGGAAATATCGTGATCAGCCGCAGATACGAGGTGCGGGATGATTGACGAATTTTTAGATAAGAAAAGCATCTGACCCACCTGACATACTCTTCCTCCCTTCGGCCGAAGTACCAGCTACAGTGGGTGATCCCTGATTGACAGGTGATGCTCCTCCGGATTTCAAAGATGGATGGGGATTAGACGAAGGGGATCTGGTCGTCAGATTCACTAAGGCCCAGACTCCCCCTTTTGAGCATCACCATTACAGGATCTGATCAAGAGCGATTATCATCATCTGAGAGGGGATCAAGGGAAAGATACAACACACCCTATGACTCACCCATCCGTATCTTTGCCATCTTTGACACTCTGACTCCTGCCATCTTCTACCGGTCCAGGAGCTGGTGTCTTTCCCGACAACTCGCGTAATGGTGCATTCCAAATGTATACACCGCTCACCACGCCTGATATCAGCTGACACAAGCAGTAGAATAGGAGACGTTGTGGGCATTGTGGAAATGATAAGAGTTAAAAATGGACAGAGGAGTGAGATCGCGATTTACCTACGCCGGCTGCAACAAGAACGGGGACTAGCCTTCCAGTGGTGGTCATTTTGTAATTTTTTTTCTTTTCAGATCTTATCTTCCAATGTCAATAGCACACTCTGTCGTGTTATGTGTGTCGGCTTCAATGTATCAATGTATTGGTGGGGTGCTCTTCATGTCACCCGATGAAGAGCGAAGGACTGACGTCAATGTCACAGCGGGGCTCCATCGATGGGTGGAGAGAAAGTGCCACATTCTCTCAGTGAAGACAAAAGGACAAAATCCCGATTTCGCCGTTCGTCCAGCGTTTTGAGCTCTCGAGATTGTTCAGAAGCTCAAAGTAGATAGAGTTAGACATATAACAAGCCCCTGTACCCCTGTACACCAGCAAGAACAGACAAATCGAGATGGCCTCGTATCAAAAACACACGGACTGGGCGGCAGATGAGGATGCCGAGCGTGGGTTTTATTCCTGATACTACCTGTCCTCTCCTGGTTCACCTCACCGGCAATCATGCTCTCGTAAGAGAAACTCGTGAGCCACACGCTCTCAGGATATGACATTACATCGTGATAGTGGGGAGTGGAACATGCAACAGGTAGTATGAAAGAGATAACGTCGGGCGTGTGATACTCTAGCTGACTTATAGCCGAGTTGCCACCCGATACCGAAACCACCACTCCAGATGGAATAACCACTATCATCACGTGGAAATTAGACGAAAAGGGTAGGAAAGTCAAACATACTCGCAGAGTCAGACGGAAGATGGTGACTCAGGTGGTATCACATGCCGCAGCTGAGAGGAAGAAATGGCCAAAGCGAGTCTCGAGGTTTGTATCGCACAGAATAGGAGCTGATGGAAATAGGTTCGGAGATGATAAAGGTAGACCGTCGGGACCGGATAGGAAGACTACTATTATTGGAGAGAATATACATCTGAAGATCGGTCCAGTGTCAAAGGTTGGTTGTCCTCATTTACTCTTTCACTGTATCTTCCTCGAAACTCATCGTCACCTACACATCTCCCGTGGTAGGCTCTTGTCAATAGTGGCACGTCAGCCGTCTTGAAGGTGTGATCTTCGGAGGAAGGCTCGTTCTACGGACATATTTGTTCATTTGATAGCTGCTTGTTAAGAGTAGCGGGCATGGAAAATGGGGTGTAAGGGACTTTGGGACGAAGCTCATAACAGGCCGAACCGGTCGAACAAGAACAAACTGCAAAAGCTCCCGTTGGCAAAGCAGTCGTTTGTCGTCTGTGTAAAGGAGCCCATTTCACCGCCAAATGCCCATACAAAGATCAACTCGCAGCATTGGAGAATCTCGAATTGGGTGACGAGGAGCCTGCCCCGGCCGCTCCTAGTGGAATGAGCGGTCTAGGAGCGAGGGGTGCTGGTACAACTGGGAAATATGTTCCTCCGTGAGTCGTCGCCTTCGTCCGAGTGATCACTAGGTTGTTGATCACGTTTGTTCAACCCCTTTCAGTGTTTGCGGAATAACGTGTTGGAAAATTTTCCCATGCTGATGACAGATCTCAACGTGGTGGTCCTGGTGCCGCAGGAGGAGGCGAATCAATGTATCGCAACAGAGACGATCTCCCCACTCTCCGTGTCACATCTCTCTCCCTCGATGCTGAAGACGACGACCTTCGCGCCCTGTTCGAGCCCTTTGGAAGGGTGGCGCGTGCCAACGTCGTCCGGGATCGTGAAACTCGTGTCAGCAAAGGGTTCGGATTCGTATCCTTTGATAACAAGGCCAATGCGGAGACGGCTCTCAACAGGATGGATGGGTTTGGTTATGACTCATTGATCATTTCAGTTTCTTGGAGTCGTAAGTCGACCCTTCTCCCCCACTTGCCCCATGACAACTTTCTATATCCAGGGCCGACGTCGCTGATAGTGCAGAACCCCGAGAACAAAGACAGGGTTAGTTTGCATATGTATTTCATCGATCCTCCACGTTTCATCATGCATCATTTGATGAGCTGTTCGAAGCATTTGCTCCTGCCGAGGGCGAAGTCGGTTAGGCGGAGCCGCCCTGTTCGAGGCTACATCGGCTATGGTCGTAGAGTGGGGCAGAGGATGAGAGTGAAGATGGGATTCGAGGATAAACGCCTTACCTTGACCCTTGATGTAACTTGCTCCTGTGCATAAAAGGAGTGGGATGATCACCCACCCGGTTTCATCTACCTGCTGCACGCTGCGCTGTGAAGCATTCCCAAGGCTTATGCAGGGAAAGCTAACATCACGAAAAGATCAGGTGTATGGCTGCATGTTAGACGGTGTATCTGGACGTTCGGCCTAACGCGTCTACGCCACTCGATATGACCCTACCAGCGTACCAGCCCCCCTCGGCCGTCGAGTAAGAGGGACGACGTACTCTAACATCTCTTTCAATTGAACCATCTTCATCTTTAGATCTCATTCCTGCTCTTCTCCCGCCACTACTTTGCTATATGCTGCGTCATAGCATGTCCCAGACCCAAAACAACACAAAGAAGTAAGAGGTGATTCATACAACGGGCGTCACCCACGATCGAGGAGAAAGTACTCCTTTTTGTCTGTGCGTCTCGGCCATTTCCACATCTCCGTCCTTCTGCTCTCTCCTCTTTACATCTATAGTTACACAAACAACCTATCACAACCCCCTCGACGACGGCGACGGCAACAGTCGGCTCGGTGCTTTTATCCCTGCCTCCGTCTCCCATTACATCGGATCAGTCACTTAGATCGAAGGAGGGAACTTGACTACCATTCCTCAACAGTTCGGTCTTGCCACCCACCTCTCCATCGACATCTTATCATCTATCATATCCATCCCTTGACATACATACTCTACCACTACACATCTATCGCCTCAGGCGTCGGGTCGATCGAACTGTCAAATCGAAGTGACTGGTGGACAGAAATAAAGCGATAAACATAAACCCTTCAAGTGAGACAAGTGTAATCCAAGTAATCTCCAGAAGGAGAAAAATCACCTGTAAAGATCAGAAGTGTAGATAATTATAATCATGTCAACCTCAAGATCATACAATTTCCCTTCTTCTCCAGCACTCACAACAGCTTCTTCACTCAATTATTCTCAGTATGGTTCTGGATCTTTTGGCCCAGGAGCTCGTAATACAGCCACGAGCGCTACTTCTTTTTCTCGTCCACCCGTTGGTAGGAATGGCTCAAGTGGTTTAAGACCTCCTAATTCAGCTCCTGCTGGACCGGGAAAAGGAGATAAAGCAGATTCGAGAGAAGTGGCTAGAGTTCATTGGGGTGCTCTGAGGGGTTATTTGGCCAGTTGGCTGGAGAAGGGTGAGTGAGGACCTTGGGTCTATATGATTATCATCATGCTTCTCATTATCTTGGTCATTTACCACTCAATGTAAAGAGCTCCGTCTTGTTCAATGACTTGTCCACTTGTATCGTCCTTTCTACGCAGGCTGGATGGATCAGGATTTTGTCCTTACAATGGAGGAGAGGTCACATCGGGGTGGACCGATGGAGGCGGGATGCACTATCAGATGAAATGCAGGGTGAGGAGGAGGGTACTGTCAGGATGAAGGAGGAATACTGGCAGAGGATAGGGACGTGCAAAACCAGGATGGGATGGAGAAGAGGTCGGGTCTCCGGCTTAGTGAGGGGTGAAAGAAGTCCGGCCTGTCTCATGGGATCAAGAGGAATGACTGATGAGAAAGATTAGATCTTTTGGCTGACGAATAGAATCACCTACCGCTCGAGCTAGTGCTAGAGAGAAACTCACCAGACTTACAAAACTACAATTCCAAGAATTATCCACCGATGTATACGACGAGTTGATGCGCCGTTTGGCGGCAGAGGAGGGTAGTGGAGACGGTACGTTGAGACCCTCTCCGTCCCCACACACGCACGTCCGAGGGGGATCGGGCATCCAATGAAACGAAATGAAGCCAGGATGGACCCCCGTTGCGTGCATTTCATCGATAATACTTCATGGGGCAACCCATGACTGAGTGTGATGGGAGATAGACGCAGGGTGACAAAAGACTTGATTCCTGCCACTAACGAACAGTGCCATTCCTACCTGTCCGAGAAGATTTCCATCCGAAACGAAATCAGGCTCGTCAAAAACTCGCCACGCTCCCAAAGAATCGATTCAAGGACTTGGCTAGTGATGTGTTCTTTGAGCTCAAGAGACGTTATCCGGAATTTGAGGAGGAAGCTGTTAGTGGTAATCCTACATTCTCCCTTCATTTCACGTCACTTTCGGATTAGTCTGACTCCAATCTGTTTAATCGAAATGATTCATTGGAGTTACTCTATAGGTGTCGCATGATGCACCTGCTAATTCCCAGGCGAACAAGTACCAATATGACGAACCGCCACCGGCTCCTGGTCCTGTACCTCTTCGTCCTCCATTCCCTCAAAACCCTTCTCAAGCTTCCACACGCGACCGAGATCGGACTGAGACACCTCCGCCTCTGTATAAAGGCACCAACCAGAGTCAACAATCTCTCCATCAACGTCAAAGATCTCGCAATGCTAGTCAGTCCTCATCTGGTTCTGGTTTACATCAACAACGACCCTCTATCGATCGGGGTATATCTGGAGGGTTTGACCGAGATCGAGACCGAGACAGACCCCCTGCGGCGTTGACAGGGACGACAAGTGAAGTGGTTGTACCTAACAAATCGCGTTTACGAGAGGAAGAGATTGAAGTTCCATATGCTCGTGAAAGTCGAATGATCGACCCTCGAGATTCGAGATCGGAAAGTAGGTCGTCTCGGGGCAGAAGACCGAATTCCAGAGGAAGTTTAGAAGAACTCGCGCCTCGGGCGACCACTCCGCGAGGGCAACGAGTGGATCAAGGGGATGTATTGTCTCCCGGGACGGACGATAACAGGGAATACTACGATCGAATGTCCTTTTCGTCCAATGTGACGAATAAATCAAAGTTGCTCAATCAAAATGTCGTAGGATGGGATGAAGAAAGAGAACGGAAAATCAGAGCAGAATACGAGTTACGGATAGCTGGATTAGATAGAAGACTGGTCGCTGCTGAGGCGGAAAGAGATGAGGCGAAGCGGGCGGAAGACAGAGCTAGAGAACGACAAAGAGAATACGAAGATGAAGTGAGGGGTTTGAAAGAGGTCAGTCGGAGTAGATCTTCCTCATGATTCTGATCAGCTGACATAATTTAGAGAGCGGCTACTCACGCTTCATCTTTGAGATCGTTGCAACATGAGCTAGACTTGGCTCGGGATGCCACGGAAACGGCTCGGAGACATAGTGAGGAGAGTGGACAAGCAGCCGCTGACGAGATCAACCAATGGCGAGATAGATGCGAAGGATTGGAAGAGGAGTTGAGAAGGTTAGAAGAGGAAATAAGAAGATTGGAAGATGAAAAGGCGGCGTTGGAAGGACAACAGGGCGGAATGGGGGTGAGTACTCGATTCATTTGTTCATTCGGTTCTCTTGTACAGATTCTAGAAGCTATTTCGAGAAATGATGCTGATAGTCGTAGTCTGAAGCTGCTGCTTTTGCTCTTAAACGTGAAATGCAGGGATTGGTCGACGAGCTTAATTCATTGTCAGCGGCCAACGAGCAACTTGTGATTGAGAGAGAACAGGACGCAGAGAGGATGGAAGAAATGGAAGGAAAGGTGGAAGATTATAGGAAGAAGTATGACGCGGTGAGAATAGAGCTGCGTAATCTGAAGGGTAAGTATCTGTCTTGTGTCTTTGTCCTACCCTTCTGGAGGAATTACAATCATCGTATCTAAATTTTCCGTCTATCTCCCTCGTCACCTACCAGTACATAATCATTCTTGTCGAATGATTGAGTCTCGCCACGTTGGTAATGGAGACAGAACATGACGGTGGTCTCTTGGATGGATTTCCGAGGTGTTTGGTTCTTACTCATCTTTAGCCACATCAACCATGTTTGTCTCCAAACCTCTCACCGACGACCATCTCCCCGCTTCTGCCGATGGGAACATTCTTGACATTCACGTCTCCTCATTCCAAACCTCCATAGATAGTCTTCTTTCTTCCGCTCGCTCATCCCAACCTTCTGGCGTACTCCCATCGATGAAAGCCGTCGTGGAAGCCATCACCGACATCGGTGAAGATGTGAAACACTTCGAACAATCTCCAAACCTTGATGTTGATGTGAGTCGACTGGAATCTCTCAAACATGAATCCACTGCACGTCTAAGCACCCTTATGCAAGCTGCAAGAAATCACGCCATGGCATCTGGTCTTTCCCCCGTTTCTCTCCTCGATGCCGCTGCAGGTCACCTCAGTGCAAACGTTGTAGAAATCATCAAACTACTCAAGATCAAACGTACCGATAAAGGAGAATTAAGAAGATCCCGTAGTTCTCTCAGTATCAGAGAAATGGTTTCTAGACCACCTGGTCAAGATCCTCGTTCGGCCAGTTCAGCAAATGGTAATTTCGATAGAGAATATGGAATTTCTCAAAAAGAAGAATTAAACCATCAACAACCTGCGGTTATGGTTCGTCGTCCTTCAGAAATACCCAATATACTGGATGGAAGAACTACACCTTCTGTCAGTTCTACACCAGGAAGAAATACTCCTTCAATAGCTTCCACATCTAGACCAACACCTTCCGTAGTTCCAGCAGCTTTGAATAGATTAAATGGACCTGGTGGATCTCCTTCAAAAGGTCCGTCGGCTTTCAGGAGTAATTCTTTTCAATCAGCTTCTTCACAAGGTAGACAATCTGATGCGTTTGATTTGGACAGGAAAGCTTCCATGGCGAGTGATAGGACAATTCCCAAACCTTTGGTAGAATCACGAAGTGGGAAAGAAGATGGTCAAAGATCTGGAGGAACGGATATACGTAATGGTGGAATGAGAGAATTGGCAGGATCAAGAAATGATTTCGCTTATGGTCAAACTAGTTCACCTATCACTGCTGAATCGACTGTTGGACCGTCAACGGCTTATGGTGGACAGAATGATTATGCTTTTGCGAGAGACGGGGAAGGTGATGGAAGTTTAGATGATGGGCAGGAATGGGAGGATTTAAAGGTGAGGAGCTTCGTCTTCTCACAGATCTCTCCTTTCCATACATCCATCTTCCGTTCCACATCACTCATCTCGTGTATAAAATCCATTGTTCGTATCCTACATCTTAAGATACGAGACACGTTCCAACCGAAAAAACCGACACAAATATCAAAGCTCATTCACACCCTAATTTCTTTCAAAAACCTTGATAAAAACCCTTGACATATGCTAACCCATAGCCATACCTCAACACTCAATCATCTTTACTGGTCAACTCGATCCAAAACCTTCTAGCAGCAATACGTACAGGTTCAGCAACTCCAGCATTAAACGAACATTTATCAGAAGTCATAGCTATAGCTTCTTCCATAGTAGCGGTCAGTACGAATTCTCTACCTAGTTCTCTTCGACAAGAAGGTGATCAATTGTTATCTGAATTAGTAAATAATACAAATAAACTTAGTGAAGCACAAGAAACTGCAAAGAGAGGGATTTTCGAGAAAGAAATAAGACAAGGTATAGCCAGCGCTAGTTTTGGTGTGGCAAAAGCTTTGAAAGCTTTGATGAAACTTGGTTCGGAGTGAGGATTGGGTTTCGAGAATTTCTCGTTGAATCAGTTACATGATCTATCCATCTAGATGTTGGGTACTACCAGATGGATATCCTCAGTATATCTCATGAAGATATTCTTTATTCTTCATAGTCTACGCATACGTCAAAACTCAGAAGGTCAAATCGAAATCCGTTGAAAGATCGGAATATCAGAAGATTGGCAGATCGAAATGGAAGATGAAGGAGAGAAAGGAAGATCTACGTCTCACTCATTTGAGTTCGCTCCGCTTTTAGGTCAAATGGAGGTATGGAATATACTCTTCGTTTAATTCACAAACAACAATGATTTTATATTGCTTATGCATACATAGCATCAAAACACACTTCTCTTTTTATTCACCACACTCCCTCCCCCTTGTTCCTTTCGACTCTAGAGGTCTGACTCATCTCAACGCAATTTGTGCCATATGATAAACCCCTTGAGTGCAAAATGGCACATCGAGTGCAGTGAAGTATGCAAACCCATCGAAATTCACCATTACCGTAAACGGTCAATAGGTTTAGAGTAGCAGTGATTTATAACAAATTTGGATAGATATCATAAAACCAGATATATACAATCAAATACACAAAAAGTTTTTATAAGCGACGTTCTGAGTTTCTTCCACATAAGGATAACCTAGATCACTTAGGAATTCATCGAATGTTGCGTAATCGGACGGAGGGACTTGAATCCCTACCAGGACTTTACCTACGTCTAAAAGTGTCAACTCCATACTTTTACATCTACCACTTCATTCATCTTGAAGTTCAAGGGATTATAGAGGAATTGTTGAGCAAGGTTAGTCTAGTGTGCAATACTTTTGAGAATACTGTACATACACCTGAGAGAGGTTTATGGGAATGATGAAACATTGTGATTAGGCAGATATGGAACACAAGCATCATTATCATGTAATGTGTGGAAAGTAATAAGGAGGTTAGATGAACAAAAATGCTTTATGACCAACTCACCAGCACCATGATTACGATAATGAAACAAAGAGATATTCCAATCTGCCTTTACACTCTTCAAAAATTGACCCAAAGCACCTAATCTTTCAGGGAATTCTCCATATCAGCCTCGATTATCTCATATCATTTTCAAGATTGAGACTTACCAAATCGGAATATCCTCTCATGTTCCACCACACTCCTCCCTCCTACCAGGTGTCTAACGTGTGATTTAGCAAATTCATCCTCACTCAAATCCACAGCTTCGATACCATTCTCCGTGAAAGTCGAAATGAGCTTTGCCACTTCTTCAGCTCGAGCTTCGGGAGTGGGACCGGAAGCAGTTGAAGAAGAAGATCGTAAGATGAAAGAAGTTATTATGTATCCTGTTGTAGGTGATGAATACCGATATGAAAATTCTGTGACGGCTCGATTATCTAAAAGGTTGTAAAAGTTTACAAAGCTATCGTTCAGTTTTGTTCTCTTTTTTTCTTCGTACCAAATTATGTGAGATTGGAGGAGGTGAATTAGCGAAAGAAAATTATGATGTGACAAAGAACACTGACACACGCAAAATGACCCACCTTCCAGGACGCTCAGGTAATCGAATAGACATTAATACTTCTCTTCTTTCTCCTATCTCCGCACGCTCCGCCACGAATCGTAATCTACCAAAGTTCATATTCCCCCCAGAGACAACAGCGACAAAACGTTTGTTTTTCCCTTGTAGACCGTTTCTTTCTATGTGCGCTTTCAAGCCTGCTAACGCTAACGCCCCTGATGGTTCAGGTATGGATCTAGTTTCTATTCATCAACCCAGCTGTTTAGGTGTCAGTTGAAGTAACTCACCTTCAAATATATCTTTGATAGCCGCACAAATCTCATCATTCCCAACTTTCACCACTCCGTCCAGTAATTTCCTACAAACTCTAAAAGTCTCTTCTCCTACTATCCTCACTGCTGTCCCATCTGCAAAAGGTCCAACTTCATCTAACATGACTCTCTTCCCTTTCCTCAAACTACGTTCCATAGCATCCCCATCGTGAGTTTCAATCCCATAAACCCCCACCGCAGGAGCTATACGTTTGATATACGCTGCTATTCCCGCTATCAACCCTCCTCCTCCGATACTTGCAAAGACACCATCGACTTCAGCACAATCTTTCATCTGCCGACAAATCTCCACGGCGATCGTACCCTGACCAGCGATGATCAAGGGGTTATCGTAAGGAGGGACGAAAGTAAGACCATCTTTCTCGGCCAGTCGGAGGCATTCGGCCTTGGCGGCATCGAAATCTTGTCCGTGAAGAACAACTTTGGCTCCGAGTCTTTGAACATTTCGCCATTTGATTGAAGGGGTGGACACTGGCATCACGACGACAGAAGGGATACCGAGGGCATGACCGGATAAGGCAACGCCTTGTGCGTGATTTCCTGAATTGTCAGAGAGGGTCATGAAATAGTGTGTTTGCACGGACCTGCGCTACATGTAATGACCCCTTTTTCTTTTTCCGCTTGGGAAAGATTGGCCATCATGTTGTATGCTCCGCGAACTTTGAAGGAAAAGACGGGTTGGAGATCCTCTCTCTTGAGCCAGATCTATCGATTCAGCTGTTGAGCCACATGATGACATGAATTGATGACTGACCTCGTTGCCAAGTCGCGCTGAGAGATTCACTGCAAGTGTAAGAGGGGTTTCTTGAAGGTTTAAGGGCGCTGAATAGACCTTGGCTGAGTGATTGTCAGCTTGAAAGCGAAAAAGACTTGAAGAAACTCACATAACAGGATCATACGCAGGTAGTCGGGTACCAATCGTCCATTGCTGTCACGCTCCATGAAATGAGGCGGGAGAGTTTGATACAGATGATCAGGGATATCATCATCAGAGTGTCCGTTTTGAGAGTGCTTCAATGCCGAAGGTGGCTCTGGTGCGGTGGAAGAGTATTCTATGGTCATGGTTTGTCGGGAGGGCGATAGTGGATGTGGGTGAGTGGTGTTCGGGCCGGACACGACGTGCAGTCTTGACTTGATCAGTGATTTTGAAGTGCTAACATAGACTTACTCACCCATTTGGCACCTTACCTGGCATGGTGAAGGAAGTAAGAGTGGTCGAGGAATGATATCAAAGTGACGAGGTTGAGTGCGACTCGGATAGACTTTTTCCAAGTCAAGGTTAAAGGGGGGACCTTTTAAATGTGTCCCCCTTGAATCTACGTACATACTGTACACTCCTCCTTGCCGTTCTACAAGTAACTTAACTCCCTGTCATCCTATCACGACCACTCATGAACAATACAAAGAGATAGTACTTCACTGCAGCTCAGAGAAGATGTCCGTACTGTCTTCCCAAAGTCCCAAATCGGCTCACTATAACCAAGCTCTCACCAGCGCACTCCTCTCTGGAGCATGGAGTGACTCAAAACCTGGGTCTACTCCCAATGGCACAGAGCTCACTTGGGCAGAGCTGGTTAGAAAGTGGGGAAAACATACAGGTGGTAGTGAGTGGATCTATCATCTTGAGGAATGTTGCAAGTTGACCTAGTTCAGATACAACTTTGGTCAACCATCTACGAGACATTTCTCTCCTCTACTTATCATCCGCATCCCACTCCTCGTCCTCAGGTCACGTCACCGCTAACTCCTCTCTTCCACCTGCCCAGTCTTTATCTGTGCCCGATACGAACGGCTCGCCTCAATCTTCTGCCGACGCAGCTTCGAATAGGACTGCGGCGTCTCATTCGTCGTCCTTCATACACGTGCCATTACCCGGCCGAAGACCTAAAACATCGTTGGATGGGACCGTCAGTCAGATTATCCCATCAACTTCGGGAAGTACTATACGACCGCAAAATGTCACTCGGGCTGCGTATTTAAGCACTCGAGATCTGGACGGGGATGACGATGGCGCCACGGAAGCTTGGGCGGAAGGGTCGAAATGGTGGAGAGGTGTTGCGCTGGAAGAGGTGGATGATGCTAGAGACGGAATGAAGAGCGTGGAGGGACTGATGGCCAGTGGAACCCTGAAGCTTGAAGAGACGCAGGTATGTTTCAAACCCGTATGGTGATTTAATACTGATAACACAGTCCGCGCGATTGACCCATCTGTACCACCTCCACGCCCTCGGGCTACATACTGAGGTTATCCGACTGGGCCGGCAAATGGACTGGGAAAATCCACAAACAGGTTCTGTAGAAGGTGATGCTTCAGTGTTGGAACGATTAAGGGCCAGAACCCTCTTTGGTGAGCTGCTATTACGTCCGTCAACATCTGCTGACGGTGACAGGTATGAGTGCTGAACTCATTCCGGAGCCTGATTATGACCTCGCTTTTGAATCCTATCTATCTGTCATCCCTCTCTTGAAGCTCTTCAAACAGTACAACCCCCCTTTCCCTACTTACTTGTCTACACCCAAAACCCAAAACACCGCACTACCTTTTGACCGCTATCGCGAAGTATTTCGCTTCATCTCTACTGCCCTCACCCGCGCCGCTATCATTACCTCGCGTGCCAATCGTCCCATCATCAACATCCTCCGTATCGTCCGCACATATCACGCCCTTAGCTCATCATGGCCTCCTGCATTCCGGCCAGTTCAGCGACAACGAATGCTTCTTCTTTATCTCAGAGCTCTTCATGCCGGATATCCTCCATCAGGTGTACCATGCGATCATCCGTACCTCTTGACAGAAGGGGCGTCTCCTCTACCTGCCCGTATGGTATGGCGCAAAGAGGTCATCGAAGCAATGCGCACTGGTCGACAACTATTAGCAACCACCACCACATTTCCACGAGCTGGTTCCGTCAACGCTCCTGTCACAGCTTTCACCGACCTATGTGTAGCACTGTACGACACGTGTCCCTTGCTGGTGAAGGAAGTTCTGGGTGTCCTATGGTGGTCTATGACCTACACTTTCCAATCCCAATCCGTTCTTCGTCATCTAACCCGTCTTCTGGCGGCCTCGGGAGATGCGACCGATGCACGGAGAACATTCGAATTGTATGTCGGTCTTGTGCTGAAATCCCGTCAGACGGCACAACCAGAAGTTTCACTCCAGCTCAAGCGTCGCCCCACAGAGGATATGCCAGCAAGTCCTTCTGATATTGCGCTTCAGGCTGGACAGGCAGCAGATGGGGATGGACCCATGAGTGAAGAGAGGAAGAACCAAACGGCCGAAGCGGAATCGGACGGTGATGAGGATTTCGTGGAGGCTCTCTTAGTCGGTGCACGCGTTTTGTTGAAAGACCTGGGAGACGCGGAGGAAGCCTGGCGCTACGTGAATCTGGCGGGAGATGTGGTGATTAACGGTGATAAGCAAGGGCAAGGGTGCAGGGGTAATTTGAAGGCCGAGGTTGAAGAGTGTAAGGGCATTGTGAGGATGGCCATGGCCATGCAAGGTGCGTCTGACGGCTTAGTCCCTATCTCATTTTTATCGTGTTCGATATGGCCTTGATTGCAATATATCTGGAACGTACAACTGATATCATACAGGTGCTGATCCTACAACACGGCCCACCTACCAAGCTCAAGCCATCAACCATCTTACCGCTGCTACATCTCTCAACCCTAAATCAGCCTCTGTATTCTATCACCTTGCATATTGTCAAGCAGAGTCCCGGTCTATCAACTCCGCCACGGAATCTGTGGGACAAGCCCTGGAACTTGACCCGCGAAATCTCCAAGCTTGGCATCTTCTTGCCCTACTTCTCACCGCCGCTGCTGATTGGTCCGGAGCTATGAAAGCTTGCGAAGCTGGTGTGACAGTTTGGGAAGATGATGAAGCATCTTCCAATCAAGATGATCTCCTTGATCCTACTGGCCCCCCTGGAAACCCAGATGACGGAGATCCGATGATCGAATCCAAAGATTTCGCCGTCACCCCTGCCGTTTCTTCACCTTTGACATCTTCCTCTGCAATCCTTCTCTCCACCTCTGGAACACTCCGACCTCCTGATCGTAGGTTCAAACCCCCCGTACCCAGATGGAAGAAACTCGACAATGTAATACGTCTCAGAATGACTCTCAACATCATCGTGGAAAAGATGCAAGGACCCGAAGTGGCCATGTTGAAACATCAAGAGCTCTTCGCCTTTTTCTCTTTGCGTAGTGGACGTCATCGTCAGAACTTCGGTTATCAGCGAAACGGGCTTCAGAACGTCAATTCCGCTACCAGCGTTAGAGATTTAGGGGGATCTTACGTATCTATAAAATTCCCCACTCAACCATCGACACTTGTTTCTAGTCCCACCTCTGCCCAATATCCAGTGGTCGAGGGACCCGGTGTGGCGGTCATTCCACCTTCTCCTGCGGATGAAGATCAAGGTAGACTATCGAATGAAGTCGGAGAAGCTCCAGCGTTGATGGTGTCGTCAGCTCATACTTCACCTGGAGACTCCACTACAAACTCGGAGAATGATGCTGATGAAGGGGGCACCTTGAGGATAGGTGAGAAGAAAAGTGGACGAAAGAGTTTCACGGGGTCGAGAAGATTATTACCGAAACATCTTCATGTGCCGAATACTAACAGGAACAGTAGTATCAGGAGGGTTCATACCGTGCCGGATGGTGAGCATCATGGCCTCGTTATTCCTTAGCCGTCCTCTTCCCTCTCTTCCGGTCCCATTTTATCCTACAGTATCAACTCACTCAAGTAGAGTTGAGCCCACTTTTCTGACTTACTCTCTGATCACGTTCGAGTGGTTGTTACTTGCCACATCAGGTGCTGACCGACCAGATACCGACATTCAAAGATCCCGAATCTCATCCGTCTCATCTATTGCCCTTTCTCTCGCACCCACAGCGGTTCATTCTCATTACCGAAACCGACCCTCTCCTTCCCGCCCATCCCCTCCTCCTCTCCCCTCCTCTAATCCCGCTCAATCTGACAATCTCACACCACTAGAATCCCGCGTCTTGTCCAATCTATGGCTCATGTCCGCTTCTACTTTCCGCCGTTGGGGAAAATCAGAACAAGCTTTGGTATCTATACAAGAGGCCGAATCCCTCGATCCTGAGAACCCAGACGTTTGGGTCCAATTAGGAACCCACCATGTCGTTTTGAACAACTTCGAAGCGGCTTTACCCGCATACACCAAATCCATCCTTTTGAGACCGGACCATCCCGCTGGGATAGTAGTCTTGGCCAAATTGTATCTGTCAACTGGACAGGTAGATCTTGCTCATACATTGTTAAATCAATTGACACAAGATACGGGGTGGGACGTTCCGGAAGCTTGGTTTTATCTAGGGAAAGTGTGTGAAGCTCAAGGAAGGATGGGAAGGAGTAAGGAATGTTTGGTCTATGCCTTGGGGTTAGAGGAGAGTAGACCTTGTAGGAGATGGAGAGATTCGGTGGATAGGTGGTTATAATGGGCATAATGGTCTCCTCGTTACCTGGAACTCATCCGAGATACAAGTTCGGGCGGTTTTCTTCTCCGATTACGGGCATGGGTCGGAGATGATGGAAGGGAGAAGAAGTACGAGTAGGGTTTTATGATAAAATGTAATCGCATATTAGCATCATAGTCGTTATAGATGTTCAAGATGTAACGCCTTATGGATTGAAATGATAAGTGTATGTTGTGGTCAATTAGTACAGTAAGGACTATCCTGTGTCACCACCTCCACAAGATTCGCCAGGTATGACCGGACGGAATAATGGGGATGACGAATGGAAGGAGGGAGGGAAGGGAGGAACTTGTCTCTTGGAGAGATAAGTTTGACCGCACGGTACCTCAACCCGTAGTCAAGATCCATCCCCAAAAGCAGTGCGGACGGTTCGGAACTTGCGTCCCCGATCCAATCGGCCGAGACTAGCACCGACATGACGACATGACGACATCATAAGTCCACTCGAAAATCGTACTTGAATGGAAGGGGAAATTCGAATGGAAACTTCTGCGCACGGTCCGTTTATCGTTTGGTTTATACTTCTTCACCTTTCTTTTCAAGGCGGTGAAAATGGCCCAATATCACTTTTCCCTCACGTACGACTATCTCGTCGTGACGACTTCCCCGACTCAATCGGTCGAGAAGAGCCACGACGTCATGGCTCCACTCAAGCATCATAGTTGGTTTGAAAGGAGAGGTACTGGTTAGAAGTCCTATCCTCAATCCTTTTTTCATCTAGTCGAATTCAACCATGATGCCTGTGCAAGCTGTGCAGGGGTGATTTTCTTTCCCACAGGTCTCAGGGTATAAATATATGACTTGAGGAATCCCTAAGAAGCATTGTCAACAAATTTATCATCCACTTCACCACTTATGGAACCCCGCGATACGGCTAGCTGCTATTCTGACGGTGTCATACGTAAAGATACCAAGTCCGAAGTGGGTCAACTCGTCACTATCCTTTTTGATCTTACCCTTGAGCCTGATGACACGGCTCCTATTGACCCGCTCGTCAGCTCAGATCTTCCAGTATTCATGTCTCTCGAAGATCTCAAGCCAATCAGAGACAACTTGAACAATACTCGCACAAGAAGACGCTCATCTATGGAGGTTGAGACCCAGGAAGAGTCCGGACTCGAAGACCTTGAGATTGCTATTGAGTCGCCAGAGAGCAACGAAAGAAGTGATGAGCTACCAAAGACACGAATTGTGTTTGGTAGCATAGCTCACTTTCAGTCAGAGTCTGCTACAGTGCCAGTCCGCAACCAGATGGCACACATAGAAGAGCAGATATCACTGCTTCTTCCGCCTGATCATAACGGTTGGCCGGGAGCTGCAAGCTTAGGACTGCAGCTATTTGATGATTATTGGGAGTCCCTGCCCCCGGCTAAGAGGAGCATCTTGACGTTACTGCTTAAGGGACAGGATACCAAAGATAAATACACTCCCGATGAAGTCTCTGACGTGCAATCTGATTATGAGGACGTTGTCTTATTGGTGTCACGGCCGTCGAACAACTATTTCTTAATAGACCGACGGTCGACGAACCTCGGCTAACTTCACGCTCTGAGTCGATGTCTCACCCAACCAGGAGGGCGCAGACGTCGAAAGGGGTGTAACTACGGCGTACTTCGGCGTAGTTACTCTAACTAGGGTTTTGTTCTACTGATGGCGATGTATCTTGATTTATAGCTATCTCTATCTGTCTTTCACTACTGACAACAATCAAGGATCGCTGAAGAACTTCAGCGATCTTCTCAGCTAATATTATCTACTCCTCCTAGACGTTCATCCAACCCTCTCGCGCTTTGACGTACTTCAACGCACTTCGTCCAACTTCCCCGAGCCCTCGGCCATCCTCTTCCTCCTTCGACTAACTCCGCCTAACATCGCCGCACTTCTGCTCCCATTGTCCCTACTTAGCCTAACTCCGCCTAACATCGCCGCACTTCTGCTCCCATTGTCCCTACTTAGCCTAACCCCGTCTAACTTCGCCGTACTTCTGCTCCCATTGTTCCTACTTAGCCTAACCCCGTCTAACTTCGCCGTACTTCTGCTCCCATTGTCCCTACTTAGCCTAACTCCGTCTAACTTCGCCGTACTTGGTGTCAGAAGTCCTGAGTTACGTGTAGAGTAAAGAGGTTAAGGCGTGATGGGGTTTTGATGGCCAAAGGAGGGTCATTGTTGGTGGAGTAATCGAGGTGTCACGACGTAGTTCGTGACAGTCGCCCCCTTCTTTAGCCGCGAACGTCCTCGTGAGCGATTACACCTCTGTCGTGGCAAGAGAACTTAGCAGCGTAGTACCCCATTCTCTCCCTCCCCATGACCATCCTCCACTCTTCTGCTCTTTGCGCCGCACTTCGTAGTTGGGCCTCCTTTCACTCCAGAACCCGACAATGAGACTCCCCTAACTTCGTCGAGGTTTGCCGTAAGAAGCCCTGTGTCTTTTGTAGGTGAGACACGCTTCCTGAATGGCAGCCGAACAACACCGTTGTTTGTCGAAGTAACCCTCGCTTATATTGAGATGAGACACTATAGCGTGGGAATTTTGATCGTCCCTGCGATGCCTTTTGTTGATGAAACGCGAAGTTTGCTGCATGTTGACGACGAGGGGTTAGGTTTGATTATACTAAATACTGAGCAGTTCGTCGAGCTTCTCTCTTTTTCCCATCTGCTTTCAAAACTTTCTATCTCTCTTACCTAGAAAACAGATTTGTTACCTTGAATCATCGCCTCGAGTTTTATTCTCATTTAAATATCTTAACGTCATGGCCCCTTCTACTCCTACACCCAGCCCTTTCGCCGCCATGAGGAACTTTGGTGGTATGGTGTCATCTGCTCGTGAGTTTTCATCGATACTCACCCTACCTCGCCGAACTTGGCTGATGTTCAGTTTCTTTCGGCGACAGATCTCGCCAAGTCTCCTCCCTCGGCCTCGGCACTCTCTCTCTGGGGGAGCCGTCTGGCGCTGCCCCGCCCCCTCGCTCCGCCTCTCCCTCCGCTGGTTCTCCCTTCCCCGTGTCTGGTTCTCCCGTCCCCGTAACGGGTTCTCCTGGAGGGCCTCCTCCTGCCGCCACTCCTCGCCGTAGGACGCCCGCCTTTCGTCCTGGTGAGTCTCCGTCCTCCTCCGACCAGGGCTCGCTCAGTGGGGGCTCGGAGTCGGGTGATCGACCCGACACCGAAGAAAGTGAGGATGATGATGATGGGGAGGGTAGGATCGATAGTGAGGGTGAAAGCGAGTTAGAAGAATACCCGGATGATGATGTGGAGGTGATTAGTGTAGAGGACAACAACGTAGATAGTCCTGAGCGTGAGTTCTTCGTCCAACCTCTCACACCTTCGCCGAACTTGGCCTTGTTTATCTGTTCTTTAGCTCTCCAAGACATTGCTAACTCGCAGCCGCTCCTGCCCCTCCCCCTGCTCAAATTGTGGGCCAGAAACGACGCCGTTCCCTCTCCTCTTCTTCTTCTTCCTCTTCTTCTTCTTCCTCTTCTTCTTCCTCTTCCGGGGTTCTCCCCCCCCCCAACGCCATCGCTCGCTGCCGCCGCCCCCGTCGCTGCTCCCCCCCCTTCTCCCAGAGGGGAGCCTTCGCCCAAACGGGTGAAGAGATCACTGCGGGAAGAAGAGTACTTGTGGGAGAAGATGAAGTCCGAGCCTGGTCGTTGGATCGCGGTTGGTGTTGACGAAGCGTGTGATCGTTGCCGGTGAGTCCACCTATTCGTACTACGCCGAAGTTACTCCTGCTAATTAGTAGACGTGAGATTATCACGTATAATCGTCCAAACTGGCCCTGCCTCAAGGCAGTCAGGCCACACAACAAGGCCCTCCGTTGTGCTTCATGCACGTCTGGCCCCTGCTCCTTCTGTCCCGTTTCCTCTGCCCGGGACATCCCGCCCCGTCCCTTCGACGCTTCTCCTCTCCCCCCTCCCCAGACTCCAGCGTCTGTCCCCCGTTCGCGGGTACCGTCTTCGTCTCTCCGGTCGGTTCGCCGACCTTCGCCGTCCTCCCGCTCGTCGCCTCCCTCGCCCTCGCCCTTTGTTCCTGTGGCCGGCCCGTCGCGTCTCCCGGCTGCTCCTCCTTCGTCCTCCCGTCGTCCTTCGACCTCTCGGCCCTCGGCCTCTGGTCCTTCGGCCTCTCGTCCTTCGGCGCCACGTCCGTCCTCTCCAGTGGTAGCTTCTCCTCCGGCTCACAGCACCCGAAGTCGGCGTCCTTCTGTTCCTCCGGCCACTTCGGCGGCCCCTCCCGTCACCCCTCCCTCTGCTTCCCAGAAGACACCGAAGTCTTCTTTAAAGAAATCAAAAGGGAAATCTAAAGAGAAGGAGGTTGCCTTCAATGATGGTGATGTGGAAGGTGAAGATACTCAGCGTGCTGGTCCCTCTGCTCCCCGGTTGTCCCTCGTCCACCCTCGTATCTCCCTGGACGTCCGTATTCCTGAGGACGAAAAGGAATTCGCCACTTATCGTTCTCTCGTCCTCGGTCTCACTACTCAGCTCGAGGCCGCCCGAAATGACACATCTCTCCTGCTTGACTTCTCTTCTCGTCAAGCTAACGCTTTAAACAATCTCACTGCGGCGTTAGTAGATGTAGTCAACACTGGGGCTCTGGACGACGGAGCAAGGACGAGGTTAGCGGACGTCTCTCGCCGAAGCCTTACTGAGATAGCCGATGTTCGCCGAAGACTGTTCGACACCCCCTTCCTAGTCACTCCTATGGCGTATGAGCCACCACCGTCCCTTGACTGGTTAGGTCGCCGTAGTAGTTCTCGTGTCCCAGCTTCCGCCCAGACTGCTCTCGACCTCCTCAGTCTTCCCTTCGAGTGTCTACGGACCATACGTTCTCTGTGGAGGACTCCGAGCATGCAAGCTGCTCGAGATGTCCAGGACTTCGGTGACTTCTTCGGGGCTATGAATCGGGCATGGAATGCTTCTCTCTCTACTGCGTTCCCGTCTGAGACTCTCGATCTACCTTCGGTCATCGGTAGCCTCCACACCAATCCCGCGGGACCGAGTAGATCGAAGGAGAAAGGAAAAGGAAAAGGTAAGGGTAAGAGTAAGGACAAGTGAGCGGTACGTAGCTGTAATCCTATGTTGTATGCAGTACGTTCTATCTCCTAGCCCTTCGCAGTCGCCCTTCCTTCGGCTTAGTAGGGTGAAGTTCGTGGAACTTCGCCAATATGTCGTCAGCTCCATCGACGTTCTCCACTGGTTCCCATGATACTGAGTCGTCTGTTCCTTCGTAACCTAACCACTCCACCAAGTACTCTAACTTTCCTGATCTCTTATTTACTCTAGAGTCTACAATGTCTTTTACCTCCCACGATTCCCCTACATTATCTACCTCTACTGGGCCAGGTGGTTCAGCTTGCTGACCAGGGAATACTGGAGGATGATAAGGACGGAGCAAGGAGACATGGAATACGTCATGGATACCTGCCATCGTTCCTGGTAGTTCCAATTTACAAGCATGAGAACCCACCTGCCGTACTACTTTGTACGGCCCACTTTGCTTAACATCTAACTTCTTCATTGGTCTCTTCGTCTTAATATTCTCTAACGACAGCATGACTAGGTCACCTTCCACGAAGTTCGGCGTAGTCCGATGTTTCCTGTTGTATCCTTCGGCGTACTTCTCGTTAGCTCTCTCGATTCCCTCAATACATTCTTTGTGTATTTCGGTTAAGTCTTTTACCACTACTGTAGCAGCAGGTACCTCAACCTCACTGGTCTTAATCTCTTCAGCCCACCGAGGGTGGTACCCATAGTTCGCATAAAACGGTGTCTTGTTTATCGCAGAATGGTGGGTGTTGTTATAAGCGAAGCTCGCTCGAGCAAGCAGCTTTGACCAGTCGTTTTGCTGATAAGAAGTGAAGATTCTAAGGTATAGTTCGAGGGATTGATTTGTTCGTTCGGTCTGTCCATGTCACGGCCGTCGAACAACTATTTCTTAATAGACCGACGGTCGACGAACCTCGGCTAACTTCACGGTCTGAGTTGATGTCTCACCCAACCAGGAGGGCGCAGACGTCGAAAGGGGTGTAACTACGGCGTACTTCGGCGTAGTTACTCTAACTAGGGTTTTGTTCTACTGATCGCGATGTATCTTGATTTATAGCTATCTCTATCTGTCTTTCACTACTGACAACAATCAAGGATCGCTGAAGAACTTCAGCGATCTTCTCAGCTAATATTATCTACTCCTCCTAGACGTTCATCCAACCCTCTCGCGCTTTGACGTACTTCAACGCACTTCGTCCAACTTCCCCGAGCCCTCGGCCATCCTCTTCCTCCTTCGACTAACTCCGCCTAACATCGCCGCACTTCTGCTCCCATTGTCCCTACTTAGCCTAACCCCGCCTAACATCGCCGCACTTCTGCTCCCATTGTCCCTACTTAGCCTAACCCCGCCTAACATCGCCGCACTTCTGCTCCCATTGTCCCTACTTAGCCTAACCCCGTCTAACTTCGCCGTACTTCTGCTCCCATTGTCCCTACTTAGCCTAACTCCGTCTAACTTCGCCGTACTTGGTGTCAGAAGTCCTGAGTTACGTGTAGAGTAAAGAGGTTAAGGCGTGATGGGGTTTTGATGGCCAAAGGAGGGTCATTGTTGGTGGAGTAATCGAGGTGTCACGACGTAGTTCGTGACAGTTGTCACGACGTAGTTCGTGACAGTCGCCCCCTTCTTTAGCCGCGAACGTCCTCGTGAGCGATTACACCTCTGTCGTGCCCCATTCTCTCCCTCCCCATGACCATCCTCCACTCTTCTGCTCTTTGCGCCGCACTTCGTAGTTGGGCCTCACTTCGTAGTTGGGCCTCCTTTCACTCCAGAACCCGACAATGAGACTCCCCTAACTTCGTCGAGGTTTGCCGTAAGAAGCCCTGTGTCTTTTGTAGGTGAGACACGCTTCCTGAATGGCAGCCGAACAACACCGTTGTTTGTCGAAGTAACCCTCGCTTATATTGAGATGAGACACTATAGCGTGGGAATTTTGATCGTCCCTGCGATGCCTTTTGTTGATGAAACGCGAAGTTTGCTGCATGTTGACGACGAGGGGTTAGGTTTGATTATACTAAATACTGAGCAGTTCGTCGACCTTCTCTCTTTTTCCCATCTGCTTTCAAAACTTTCTATCTCTCTTACCTAGAAAACAGATTTGTTACCTTGAATCATCGCCTCGAGTTTTATTCTCATTTAAATATCTTAACGTCATGGCCCCTTCTACTCCTACATCTAACCC